ATTTAAAGATAGTGCAAATTAGCAGACACATAGTATGCTTGAGTACTTTTCGTACGACCCTTTTCAGAGTATAAACATCAGATAATGCCAACAAATTGGCAAAGAAGTTCTATCCAGGTGTGGATCAAAAGTAAAGCGAGAAAATGCTTTGATTCGTTATATAAGGTGAAATTTTGTCCAAAATCTGTCTGGAAGTGATATATTCGTGGAAGTGAGTGGAAGTTCTTGTAAGACGCCCGCCATAGCTGCAAGATTCAAATAAAATGTGATTTCTGAAATTTCAATACTTAATTCTATCTCAAGTGGAAACCGAATCGGTACATGGGTTAATTTTGAGATAGCTCGCGTTATCTCACGCTATTTCACACTATCTCAAGTTAACTTGAATTTAGACCATGAGTTAATTTTCAATTTAGCTCAGAATTATCTCACGTTAACCCATAGTGGAAACCAAGCTTTAAAGGCATTGAGTCATGATAAAATCCGCTGTGTCATGATTTTCATGACTGCGATGCTATTGGTTGTCCTGGAACTGGTCACATGAATTCACCTCGTACTGATTGACAAAACAATTTCCATCAATAGCAAGTTGTCAACAACGGATGCAAATATCACATGGAACAGCAGCGATCACGCCGAAACCAAACCTATAGAGAAGGCCTACTTACCATGACTCAATGCCTTTAATGAAGTGGTTTTGAACGAAAGCTACCTACAAATAGCAACAAAGCTGAAGTATTTAAAAAAGAAAGCTTTTTAGACAATGCAATGAAACTTGACGCTGAAAACAAAATAAACCAAATTGAGGAAGAAAATTACATTATGAAATGATAACTCACCTAATGTTCGGCATTTATGGCCAACTGGATTTTCGCACACCTCATCGCAAGCTTCATTGAAAGGGCACTTTTCGGAACTTGTTTCTGTCCGGCACCTTGGTGTATCCTAAAGAAGCAATGGTTGTCTATTTCATAAATAATATTAAAAAAGCAGTGGCAGACTGGCCCTTGTGTCTAGCTGGCGATTGCCACCCGGGCCCCACAGAATTTTAAATAGTGGGCCCTTCATAAAATGAAATTTTATTCACAAATCCATAAAGATAAACTTAAACTTTGCTGATTGGAAACAATTGCTATCCCGCCTGAATTCTCTGGAACCGATAGACATTATGCAAATCAACATCAATTTTAAGAGTATGTGAATTGGGCCTTTTAAATGACCAAACCTACTTCAGGCCTAACCACACCTACGGGTCTTTTCAAAGCCACAAAGCCACCCCAGAAAACCCCTGAAGTTAAGTGCCAGTCCGCCCCTGCCAATGGGTTCACTAAATTAGCAGTAAATGCAAGTAGCTCTTAAAGACAGTTTATTTTCGAACGATGTCGATGCGAATATACTAACTTTTTCTTAAAGAACATTTTCTTCTGGTCGAAAAATTGCATCTAAGGTTGAAGCAAACACGGAATGATTCATGATCAAAGTTGCAAAAAGCCCAAATTGCAAATGAAAACATGTTAATTGGCGAATACAGTACGTCACCCAACAGAAATACTAAAACAGCAACACAAAACATACATGTAGCAGAATTAGCAGAAAAATATATCTTTAGGTAAAAAGATTATCCGTCACAACGATAAATTTTGCATTTAGGAATTAAAGAGAAAATGTACAAAGAAATATTATGATACGAGGTAAACATTATACTGTAAATTAACAAAAAGCCAGCAAAAAAATGATAAAAAAGGTTCAAACTTTTCTGTTTTTCTCAATGACTAGTAGTTAAAAATATCAATAACTCATGATAAAAAAGGATTGCCCAAAAGCCTTTATGCCCAAAGTGAACTTAGAAGTATTGCCCAAAAGCCCTCAGCAATTCAAAACAGGAAAAGATAGCGCTATGGGTGTCACGGAGGGGTAAATGTCCCCCAAAAATCCAGGGCGACCTAATTTCTACCCAAAGTTTGGGGTTTAGGGATGGGTCAAAGTTTTTGAAAAACTCTGAACTATGATCCTGGAGGTACTAGAAGCCACTGTAAGCAGGGAAAGGGGGCGAAGTGCCTCAGGGCATTGAGGCCGAGGGGGCCTCAAGTATTAATGAACTCCATTTGAAGAATAAAATCAATGAGACGTAGGTATGCCTAAAAATAGTTAAAAGTTCTAAACGATTGCAAGAAATGACTGCATGAAATGTTCTATAATCTAAGTGCTAATCTAAGTGCAATAATCTAAAGGGCGTGGTAGCGAAAATTTCTTGCTCGCTCCGCTCGCATGGAGACCTCGTCTTCCGGTTTTGTTTCAAGGCCTTCCAAACCTAAGTACCCACAGTCACTCGAAATTTGAAGCGACGATTGACTAACGAGAACATCCTCTTTGATAAACAAAATCAATTGCGTCAAAATGCCACACCCCCACATTGAAATATCTTAGGCCACGCCCTATTTTGTCGGCAAATTGGTGACTGGCACCACCCTAAGTGAAAGTGCTTAGCGACGGCCCTGTTTACAGCAAAAATCAGAGTTTACAACTGTCGACAACAAAGCACTAAATTTCCAGTTTGTGGAAAACAAAATACCGAGATAACCGTTGTTGACAGCAAAAATCAGAGTTTACAACTGTCGACAACGAAACACTAAGTTTCCAGTTGTCGAAAACAAAATACCGAGATAACCCTTGTTGACAGCAAAATCAGAGTTTATAACTGTTGACAACAAAACACTAAGTTTCCAGTTGTCGAAAACAAAGTACCGAGATGACCCTTGTTGACAGCAAAATCAGAGTTTATAACTGTCGACAACAAAGCACTAAATTTCCAGTTTTCGAAAACAAAGTACCGAGATAACCGTTGTTGACAGCAAAAATCAGAGTTTATAACTGTCGACAACAAAGCACTAAGTTCTCAGCTGTCGAAAACAAAATACCGAGATAACCCTTGTTGACAGCAAAATCAGAGTTTATAACTGTTGACAACAAAGCACTAAATTTCCAGTTTTCGAAAACAAAATACCGAGATAACCGTTGTTGACAGCAAAATCAGAGTTTATAACTGTTGACAACAAAGCACTAAATTTCCAGTTGTCGAAAACAAAGTACCGGTAGATAACGTGGAACAGCAAAAATCAGAGTTACAAAAAACAACTGTCGACAACAAAGCACTAAATTTCCAGTTGTCGAAAACAAAATACCGAGATAACCGTTGTTGACAGCAAAAATCAGAGTTTACAACTGTCGACAACAAAACACTAAGTTTCCAGTTGTCAAAAACAAAGTACCGAGATAACCCTTGTTTACAGCAAAAATCAGAGTTTACAACTGTCGACAACAAAGCACTAAATTTCCAGTTGTCGAAAACAAAGTACCGAGATAACCGTTGTTGACAGCAAAAATCAGAGTTTACAACTGTCGACAACAAAGCACTAAGTTTCCAGTTGTCGAAAACAAAGTACCGAGATAACCCTTGTTTACAGCAAAAATCAGAGTTTACAACTGTCGACAACAAAGCACTAAATTTCCAGTTTGTCGAAAACAAAATACCGAGATAACCGTTGTTGACAGCAAAAATCAGAGTTTACAACTGTCGACAACAAAGCACTAAATTTCCAGTTGTTGAAAACAAAGTACCGAGATAACCGTTGTTGACAGCAAAAATCAGAGTTTACAACTGTCGACAACAAAGCACTAAGTTTCCAGTTGTCGAAAACAAAGTACCGAGGTAACCGTTGTTGACAGCAAAAATCAGAGTTTACAACTGTCGACAAGAAAGCACTAAATTTCCAGTTGTCGAAAACAAAATACCGAGATAACCCTTGTTGACAGCAAAATCAGAGTTTATAACTGTCGACAACAAAGCACTAAATTTCCAGTTGTCGAAAACAAAATACCGAGATAACCCTTGTTGACAGCAAAAATCAGAGTTTATAACTGTCGACAACAAAGCACTAAGTTCTCAGCTGTCGAAAACAAAATACCGAGATAACCCTTGTTGACAGCAAAAATCAGAGTTTATCACTGTTGACAACAAAGCACTAAATTTCCAGTTTTCGAAAACAAAATACCGAGATAACCCTTGTTGACAGCAAAATCAGAGTTTATAACTGTTGACAACAAAGCACTAAATTTCCAGTTGTCGAAAACAAAGTACCGAGATAACCGTTGTTGACAGCAAAAATCAGAGTTTACAACTGTCGACAACAAAGCACTAAATTTCCATTTGTCGAAAACAAAGTACCGAGATAACCGTTGTTGACAGCAAAAATCAGAGTTTATAACTGTCGACAACAAAGCACTAAATTTCCAGTTGTCGAAAACAAAATACCGAGATAACCGTTGTTGACAGCAAAATCAGAGTTTATAACTGTCGACAACAAAACACTAAATTTCCAGTTTGTGGAAAACAAAATACCGAGATAACCCTTGTTGACAGCAAAAATCAGAGTTATGCAACTGGTCGACAAACAAAACACTAAATCTCCAGGTTTTTCGAAAACAAAAAAATACGAGATAACCCTTGTTGACAGGCCAAAATTCAGCAGTGATTATAAACTGTTTGACAACAAGCACTAAATTTCAGTTGTCGGAAAAACAAAAAGTACCGAGATAACGTTGTTGACAGCAAAAATCAGAGTTTACAAACTGTCGACAACAAGCACTAAGTTTCCAGTTTGTCGAAAACAAAGTACCGAGATAACCGTTGTTGACAGCAAAAATCAGAGTTTGCAACTGTCGACAACAAAACACTAAGTTTCCAGTTGTCGAAAACAAAGTACCGAGATAACCGTTGTTGACAGCAAAAATCAGAGTTTGCAACTGTCGACAACAAAACACTAAGTTTCCAGTTGTCGAAAACAAAGTACCGAGATAACCGTTGTCGACAGCAAAAATCAGAGTTTGCAACTGTCGACAACAAAACACTAAGTTTCCAGTTGTCGAAAACAAAGTACCGAGATAACCGTTGTTGACAGCAAAAATCAGAGTTTATAACTGTCGACAACAAAGCACTAAGTTCTCAGCTGTCGAAAACAAAATACCGAGATAACCCTTGTTGACAGCAAAATCAGAGTTTATAACTGTTGACAACAAAGCACTAAATTTCCAGTTTTCGAAAACAAAATACCGAGATAACCGTTGTTGACAGCAAAATCAGAGTTTATAACTGTTGACAACAAAGCACTAAATTTCCAGTTGTCGAAAACAAAGTACCGAGATAACCGTTGTTGACAGCAAAAATCAGAGTTTACAACTGTCGACAACAAAGCACTAAATTTCCATTTGTCGAAAACAAAGTACCGAGATAACCGTTGTTGACAGCAAAAATCAGAGTTTATCACTGTCGACAACAAAGCACTAAATTTCCAGTTGTCGAAAACAAAATACCGAGATAACCGTTGTTGACAGCAAAATCAGAGTTTATAACTGTCGACAACAAAACACTAAATTTCCAGTTTGTGGAAAACAAAATACCGAGATAACCCTTGTTGACAGCAAAAATCAGAGTTTACAACTGTCGACAACAAAGCACTAAATTTCCAATTGTCGAAAACAAAGTACCGAGATAACCGTTGTTGACAGCAAAAATCAGAGTTTACAACTGTCGACAACAAAACACTAAGTTTCCAGTTGTCGAAAACAAAGTACCGAGATAACCCTTGTTTACAGCAAAAATCAGAGTTTACAACTGTCGACAACAAAGCACTAAATTTCCAGTTGTCGAAAACAAAGTACCGAGATAACCGTTGTTGACAGCAAAAATCAGAGTTTACAACTGTCGACAACAAAGCACTAAATATCCAGTTGTCGAAAACAAAGTACCGAGATAACCGTTGTTGACAGCAAAAATCAGAGTTTGCAACTGTCGACAACAAAACACTAAGTTTCCAGTTGTCGAAAACAAAGTACCGAGATAACCGTTGTCGACAGCAAAAATCAGAGTTTGCAACTGTCGACAACAAAACACTAAGTTTCCAGTTGTCGAAAACAAAGTACCGAGATAACCGTTGTTGACAGCAAAAATCAGAGTTTGCAACTGTCGACAACAAAACACTAAGTTTCCAGTTGTCGAAAACAAAGTACCGAGATAACCGTTGTTGACAGCAAAATCAGAGTTTACAACTGTCGACAACAAAGCACTAAGTTTCCAGTTGTCGAAAACAAAGTACCGAGATAACCGTTGTTGACAGCAAAAATCAGAGTTTACAACTGTCGACAACAAAGCACTAAATTTCCAGTTGTCGAAAACAAAGTACCGAGATAACCCTTGTTGACAGCAAAAATCAGAGTTTACAACTGTCGACAACAAAGCACTAAGTTTCCAGTTGTCGAAAACAAAGTACCGAGATAACCGTTGTTGACAGCAAAAATCAGAGTTTACAACTGTCGACAACAAAGCACTAAATTTCAATGGAAAACAAATACCGAGATAACCCTGTTGACAGCAAAAATCAGAGTTTACAACTGTCGACAACAAAGCACTAAGTTTCCAGTTGTCGAAAACAAAGTACCGAGATAACCGTTGTTGACAGCAAAAATCAGAGTTTGCAACTGTCGACAACAAAACACTAAGTTTCCAGTTGTCGAAAACAAAGTACCGAGATAACCGTTGTTGACAGCAAATGTCAGAGTTTACAACTGTCGACAACAAAGCACTAAGTTTCCAGTTGTCGAAAACAAAGTACCGAGATAACCCTTGTTGACAGCAAAAATCAGAGTTTACAACTGTCGACATAAAAATGACGAGCTGAAAGAGGTCAACTTTAAAGAAATCTCGAAGACATGTTCCTTCATTATCGAGTCTGATTCTGCTTAAATTCACAATCAAAATTGATGAAAAATGCGCCAAAAGAAAATCGGGTATTCACATGTCAACTATCTAGACATCTAGATATTTCACAATATTCAATCAAGTATTCAATTAGCAGAGAGCTTTTCAGAATTCAATTAATTGAACTATTATTCATATGCATATTTTTGCTAATTTGCAATTTTATAAGCTATAATATGCATATGAATAATTTGCAGGCCTGGCTGTATCCAAGGGCTTGTCTACAAGAGTGGTCGCCAGGCACCGTGAAGCCATTGAGTTATCAGGGGCTATTGCCCCTCCACTTTTTTCCAATAATATGTTAGATATGTTTTTGGAAAGTTTACCGTAACTATGCTCTAACGCTACATTGAATAGTAAACTCCTAAGTAGTAGCAGTTCTTCTTGACTGGAGCCCTTTTGTTTATTTTCTAGGGGTTTTTCTTGATGGTTTATTATCCCTAAGCTAATTTTATTTTTTTTATAGCTATTCATATTTCTCTGAACCAGATTGTTTATAAAACCCCAGTAGAAATAAGCCAGTACTTTCTAAAAAAGGAGTTTTCCAGCGTCCTAAAAAAATTTCGGTCATGCCCTTTTCAGCCCTCGCACATTTAGACTGGTGCGCGGTCCATGGTAGTCGCATGGAAGTTATTTTGAAGTTTCTTGGTCTATATTGAACTGTTTTTGTCATGATTGAGACTACATTGATGAAGCTGTAGACTAGGGTCATTTTTACTACTTGGGAGTCTCGCAGTTACCAGACTGACAACTTTGCGCACAATAATGGCGTCAACAAACGATATGGGAAGCGTAATGACCAGTACCTTTAATCTATAATATACATTGACTTTCCTAGGCCCAATCATATAGAAATTAAAACAAGCTTTGTTAAGACCTTTCGAAAATTACCTGTGTATTATCAGAAACAAAAGACAAAGAAGAATCCTAAGCACGTTTAGAAAAAAACGACAATGGCCTTGATATTGGAAAAATCGATATGCTGAATCATTTGTCTTCAGAGAAGAAGTTTTTCACACAAAAATTATAACCTAAGATTTGATCATAAATAGCAAATTGAAACACAAACATAGGAATCATTAATGCTAGAAGAAATTTTTCGTCTCACCATGAACTTGACTGGTTGATAATAATTCCAACCCTCTACGGCCAAAAGCTTTTCTGCACCAACGTCATTTTTGTCTTTCGAAAGCAGCTGACAAATCAATGCAACCACATTGTAGTTGAAGCTTTTGCAACTTGCTTCATCAATACACGATTTAGCACACAGGGATAGTCTGGATGACGTTTTAGAAGAGATAATGTTTGCATCCAGTCTAGTTCCTCTGCCTCCAATTTTAAATAGAGATTCTTTCCTGCAATTGCCTCGGTATATTTGCACGCTGTTAACCGCTACAAAGTGACATGAAAGTAATAAGTAAACTGCATTCATTGTGATTATTACCCTTTTTGAGGAATTCACAAGAAGGCAAACATTCGTTATCACTCACTGCTCTTGAATATTGTAATTTATTATATCTCAAGACATTCGTTTTTTCAAGAGAGCCATAGAACGGTTTTCCTGCATCACCATAGCTCGCTAATGTGCAAATGCGGAATTCGATAGGATGGCTTGCTGTGTTTTCCTATACACCAACAATTAAGAACCTGCGCAATCACTGTCTATGAAAGGTCAGTAATAAGAATTTCCCTCTAAAAAAGTATATCAACACCTGTTTTCTTGACTATGCATCTGCATAATTATCTATGGCTTCCCTCAGGGGCAATCCGGTGTCATGGTTTCAAGTAATTAGCAATGAAAAGGGCCAGCTATGGGTGCGACAGAAAGATCTTGTCCATTGGCGGTGCCAGCCACTGGGCTCTAGGGGAGACAAAATTCAAAATCTAGCCACGCCCTTTGTTTTGTCATAAAAGTCACTTTCAAAGAACCAAAAGGAAAAGCCAATTTCACTAGTTTCAAATTTCACTAGTTTCAAATCAATCAATCAAATCAGACACGTCACAAAAAAACTTGGACACAATTTCACCCCTCGTCAATTTGGACAAAATACAATGTCGAGTCCCTCCAGTCCGACGGCATCTACTATAGGTTAATCAGTTTACAATGAGATATTGCTCAACAGATCTGCTGATATAAATCGTGAGACACTTCACACATTTCTTACTTGATCTTGATCAGTCAGAGATACTTGTCTTGCTCTCTATGGGTGCTTAATGGGATTTTAGATTACATTCTGATACAAGAAATGCATCAACAACGTAGAGACGTTATTGTCTCAACATGAGCAAAGTGGACTCGTAAAGGAAGGCCAGCCATTGCTCGTGCTTTTATTTGGATAGATACAGTAGATTTTCCAAAGAATTCGACTTGGTTGACCATAAAGGAAATGCTGTACATTTTAAATTATGTTTCAAACGGGCATCTTAGAGCCACCATTTTTTACACTGTGTTAAAACTTGGCAAGTTACTTGGTACTTGGTTTTGAATTGAGAGACGACTGCTGTGTACATCTTATGTCCTATCTATTAATGGAGCCAAGTATTCTACCCAAAAAAGCAAGTGTCTCATGTATTTTACAGTTTGTAGTAAGATACAGTCAAGAGGCTGCTCTGTATCAAACAATATAGACAGAGATGCTTCGGCCATTCTTAGCGATCGAGACATAAGTGCATGTCAAAAAGAAAGGGAAGTTTTTTGAAATTGTTCGGCATGTGTTCTTAACTGCTAGCGTTTTGTCTGCTGATGTATCATACAAAAGCATATAATATCTTATTGCCTAAAAATCTTCAACAAAATTACAACAAAAGCCAAAATATGATTGCTTTAATAATTTCTTGTAAGAAGCAAAAAATTTGTATCTATCGCCAAATCTCACCTAACCCAAAATTTCGTGCAACGAAGAAATTGACAAGATTACAACATTCTGCAGCCTTGGAATGACATAATGTGAGAATTGTGAGAAACTTGGAACTTGAAATGTGGAGCGGCCTACATTCAGACCTGAAATCTGTAAGAACTTAAACAGTTTCAAACACAAAGTCAAAAACACATTCTTAAAAGATTTCCAAAATAAGAAAACCTGCCGCTGTGGTTATTACTAAACTTTCAAAAGCAACCAGCATAAAAAGCAGTGTACTTTTTACCTTTGATACAAAATATATGATATATATATTACAATTTTCTTTCTTTCACAAAAAATCTTCTTTTAATGACACCTCTGGAGGGACGATTATGGAAAGCTTTTTTGTTATTATTATAGTATGTTTAGTTATTGATATATATGGTAAAATTTTATATAAATCCATATATACACATAAAGCAAGATCTGCACTCTTGGACAATGCAGTATCACTTGCCCCAACAAAATTCAACGCAAAGAATTTCATTGCAAAGAAGCTATGAAATTCAGCATCAATGTTGAGTAATATGTTAATAAAGTGTTGTGTTAATTGTAAAAGTCCTGATAAGAAAGCTTCAATTGAAACAAAGAGATAATAATTAGTGTCTTGTAGCGATAAAATGAAATATGCAAGAGTTCATATTTTGCCATTTTGTTTAGAAGAAGAAGGTTTGCCACTTTGCCACCCGGGCCATATCCCCCTGGTTCTCAGTATTAGTTATATGGGAATCTTAATTACGGAGCCACCAACCAACATTCTCTTTGTATAATTCCTTTGCAGCTAGGCAGGCATATAAACATACGTAGACTCATTTAATATAGCAGGTGGTTATTAGCAGTATGTATGCGTTGGTGTTAACCTGCAAATCAAAATTGCTTGAATAATTAAAGGTAAGTCCTCGAGAGAAGAATATTAGCTTAGCATCGGTAAGAAGGAAAATTGAAGCTCAACTATAAACAACTCATGATATTGGATAATCAACTTTGCAAGCGAAAATATACAAGTGACATTAAATTAAGAAACAATTCGCCCTGGTATAAGAATTTACTTTTATTCTAACTTGTATAATTTTATGAGATACATCATATTTCAGGCAGGGCCTCTGTGCGCGGGATTAAACTTGACGAAAAACCATATGTATCAAAAGGTTTCTAGTGCAAAATGTAATGCATTAACCATCCACAACCATATAAAACGGTCCTTGGCTAAGGTTGTCTCCATAACTATAGAGGCAAACCTCGATGCAGGGTAATATATTTGCATCAATCTTATTTTCAAATTCAAATCCTGATGACCAAGGATTGTAACTTTGTCATTACGCCCCCGCCCCCCCTCCCTCTTCTACGTTCTTAACCAACAAAGAGTGTTAAGCTCTTCTCTAGTTACCCTTTCTTATAAGAAAGTATTTTATAAGAAAGTTAAGCTCGGTTCTTCAAAAAGTTAAGAAAGTTCAGGGCTGGATCTTGAAAACCTAAGAAAGTTGAAAAATTTAGATATTGAAAGCTTTAAAGAAAATTGTGGTGTAAGAGTGAAATATTTCAACAATGCAGTAATGTGCTGAGCAGGAAACGACGAATACAGTATGACGTTGATGGTTTTTGAGAAATATGGCATATTTATTGCATTTCATCTTCTCCACCATTGCGCATGCTTTGTAACGTAAAACTTTCCAACTTAACGTCAAGAAACTATTAAGAAAGTTTTAGTGCTGAAATTAGAAAATAGCTAAGAAAATCTGAGAGCTGGGCTGAAAAAACTTTCTTATAAAAAAATGCTCAGACCCAGTTTAAACATCGAATTTCTCCCTTGTTGAATTAAATCATTTTTCCAGAAAACGATTAAGTGCAGGGCCGCTGCAGCCGGAGGGGCCACGAGAGCTCAGGCCCCCTGTTTCGAGAAAGTGTGAAAATTGCCCTTTTTGGAAAAAATATTGCGTGTACTATTTTCACAGCCAAGTAATTTTCCTTTAGATGCCAAGTTGAATAATTTAAATCTCAATTTCTAACAACATCTACTGCGAAGGAGACTGTCTCTTTGGCGAAAAAATTTCCTGTGTGTCGCCAGTTGTGTCTCGGCCGGTTGCACATGGTATTCTCTCTAATGAACGCCGGAGTCACTCATTTTACTTTTTGGCCTCAGAGAGGGGGCGCTCATTAGAGAGGGGTGCTCATTGAAGATAGATAGATATCCACCAATAAAAAACTGAGCTTTGAAATTCAAACGATCATTGTTTTTACAAAAATTAATATTGCATTTGTATCATAAAGCAAAAAAATTTACAAGATGTCAATTTCTTCCGAGTAGGAGCCTTCGTCGATTTGCATAAAGAAGGATGTAGCATCTTGAATATCTGAATTTTCAATACCATCTATAATGAGCACTCATTTGAGATTTTTTCCCCAAAAGAATACGGTAGGTCGACCAGTTTACTACTATGCAGTGTATATAATCTCGGAAAATTCAATTGGTCTGAAGATAACAATTTAGCTGTTTATTTTTTGTCTTGCTAAATTTTGGAAGAGATAGAGACTGAAAACTCGCTTTGAAATAGATAGAGCCTAAAAATTCGATGATTCCTTTCAATTTTGTAGACTATATTTTTTGATTTTTTGTTTAACTTGTAAGTTTTTGTTACTTTTATATAAATGATTGCATTAATGTGGAATTATTTCTTTTTGGAATGTTGCAATTAATCGAAATATTTGTCGAATATAACGCACCTGCCATAAGTACAGGAGAAGGATGTGAATCTGCCGCGATCTCCACTTACAATAAAAATCAAAACATAATAAATATTTTCAACTTTCGAATTTCAACTTCAACTTTCGACATTCAAATCAACTGCTGCATCATTGGGGTCAGAAAGCCAATTGGGGTTTGGGGGAAAATCCAGAAATCCTAATGACTCCCATGTATGAATAGTAATCAGATATAATGCTCTCCCCAGCGAATGACAAGTTATTTATCGAAAACAAAAATGGACTCGTTACACTCAGTGGCGTCGCCACGGACATGTCAACCCCAGTTTTCCTAGAGGTTGATTTTCTATTTTCGCGAAATCCGTTGAAAAACTTTTATCTTGGGGAGTGTGATCAGATCGATTTAGATTTTTGTTCTTTGTTCTTGCAAAAAGGCCCCCATTTTGAAAAATGCTGCTTGAGAAAGTCGCTTTTCCAATTATTTCGAAGTAGATAAAAAAGATACAAAGGACGTTAGGTTATCCACTTTTTCCGGGAGTCTGAAGAATTTTGTGGCCCCGTCTCTGAAACTGCGAAGCACAATGCTTCAGGATCGTCTACAATCTCTTACGCTAATTTCGTTTGAGGATTACTTTTGAAAATGACTTTTGAAAAAGCAAACATTTTACGACATACTAAAGTTTTTTCGTCTGACACTCCTCCGAGCATAAAACGTCAGAATAAGGTTCCGAAAGAACACGATGGAAAATATATATCCAGTTGTGGATCGAAAAAGGCCAATCAGATCGAAAAAACGCAAGCACAAGACCAATCAGTTGACCAATCAGTGCCGCGAGGTATAGTTGACCAATCAGTGCTGCGAGCCTAAAGAAAAATTACCAATGGAGTCCAGGAAAGAAAACAAACTCCTTCTGTCTACACAATGGCGGCTTTTTCGTTTTTATGTAGATCGACTCCAAAACTGCTAGATGGAAGGACGACCGGGCTCTGCCAATTATCCGAAACATGTCGTCATTATAGAGTTTTGCACAATCTGGGTTGTCTAAAAGATGTCTAAAAGAAAGCCAGTTTTAAATTCTCTACCGCAAAAAATTGTTCACATGATTACTTTTCAAAGAACTTATCTGTTATTAAGAAGTGGGTCCAGTTGAAGAACAGAAGAGTTCGATTTGAAAGATGATTAAACTAATAGCTGAAATTTAAACATTAACAATGCTAAAATATTCAGATTGCATTACCCGGTAGATAAAAACTTGCACCCCCCCCCCCCCCCCCCCAAAAAAAAATTCCCTGAAACCGGATCGGCTCGAGAGGTATGATAAACAAGATAACTACGTACATTTTCCAGAGTGATTCATGGAATGGTCATGCATATAAGGGTTGATGTATAATTTTTTGGCTAGAGAATTGTCAGATGAAGATTTAACAGTCATGAATTTGTTTGATCTCGGCTTCTACAGATAAAAAGGCTCGGACTTGTTGATTCGGGCCTTGTTTATGCTTGGGCTCGGGGGTTCTAAAAATTTTAGTGCGGCCCTGGTCAGCCCCATTGCTTTCGGTTTGTACTTAGTTTCGTACCCAGTTTTATTTTTTGGGTTTGGCAACCTAAACTCAACAGCTTGCATGCGTGAGAGAAAAATATACGCATGACACTTATCTACCATGATGTTCAAGGTGCTATTGCAATTTAGTTGAAAATTGCATTATTTTCGGTTTTAGCTAATTTTCTCGCGGTTTTGCGGTTTAAAGAAAAATAGTGCACGGTTTTGCGGTTTTTGCAAAAAAATTAGGCGGTTTAACGTTTTTCACACCCCCCCCCCCTCCCCCAATACCTCCTCGTAAAGCTACAGCAAGCCACAGCCTCTCTTTCGCATGTCAAGATATTATGTTGTTATGGTAACACACTTAGGCCTGTTAGTAAGCCAAACTTGAAGAGGGCAACACGAAAGAAAAGTTGGTGCACGATAAATCAAGAACAACACATCACTTAGTAAGTATAGAAAATAAAACCAATTTTTAATTTTGAATATATTACAAATCATTTCAGTCTGTAAAATAAAATTCGTTTGCAAAATAAAATTATCTAGGTACATGACGACATTTGTATTTGAATTTATTGGTCATTATCAAAGCTGTATCGACGTAAATTGCAAATTCGATAGGTGTTACCATCTTTATTGGTATGGTTTATCAGCAAAATTTATGGAAGTCGTATCTACGCGTATATCTGTCTTGTGGTAAAGCAACCCATGTGCGCGCTTGTTGCAAATCGTCTGATCTATTTGCAATGTTAGTTTGCCAATATTGCACTTACTTATGGCTATTTTTCAAATTGACAACCTGGTTTTATGTTTTACTATCTTCTTATCTGGCTTAAGGTTTCTGTAAACGTTTCTGGCACAATATTTGGTTTCCTCTCTCTGAAAGCCAAACTATTAGTATTAACTGAATCTGATTAAACTATACACCCCCTCCCAAAAGTATTCGAACGGTCAGGCAAATGATATGATACTTTCCAGGCAAATTTATTGCTCAAAAAAGTGTACCACCTTCAAAAGCAATTTTGTACCCTTGCATTTAACTTGTATCAGCAGAAAGCGCAGATCCTTAGCTACCAAAGTGTGTCTCAGATTTTTCAAATTTGTCCTTTCTTTGAAACTATACCCTGTCAAAAATTGGCAAACAATTTTTCTACACTCCCATGGTTGTATTTGACTATAGGGCAAATAATTTGAGATACGCTTTGCTTACCCAACACCTGTCCTGGCCATGTGCAAATTTTTTTGCCATTTGATTGGTTCCTTGGGTACAAAATAGCTGTATGTAGAGGAATTGTGAGGCCAGAGAGAAAACGGGATTTTGCTGATCGCACTTGCAAGGTACACTAGTGAACCACAGTGTAATTTGGGCCAAGTCATTTGAAGCTTTAAGAGCAATAAGCCTATTTAAATAAACACAGCTGTACGAACCTGGGATACAGCGATGTGCCATGCAATACTGTAAATGAGCTATGCAACCACAACCACAAAGCAATGATAATCAGATTAACATGTCAAGCAATTTCAGACCTTAACTCAAAGTTTTGATCAAAACAATTATGGAAACCTTTGTTTACATGAGATTTTTCCTATTTTCAAAGTTTTTGTTAGTTTCAAACATGGTATTATTGTGTGCCTTGAAAGTTTGGCTACTAGAATGTGATTTATCGTAACCTTAAACATTGAGATTTAGAAAATTAATCAAACCTTATTTTTTATTCAAACAATCTTTCATGATACAGAATTTAAAAATGGGTTGGTAAAAAGCAAACATTTTGAAACATATTACTAAAGCTTTTTGTCCGTCTGACACTCTTCAGAGTATAAATCGTTTTTGACTGGCCTATTTTGATCCACAAACTGCGTATATACATTTCCTAGCATAGAGTTTTTGATCTATGTTCTGGTGTTTTATACTCTGAAGTGTGTCAGACAAAAAGAAACTTTAGTAACATGTTTCAAATTTTTTTGCTTTTTCCAAAGCAATTTCTAATTCAATTCATAAACATGCCTCGTTGATATTGTTGCAAAAAATTGACTACATACTGTAAGTTCCTCATTTCTGCTTGCAATACTCTCAGTACCGGAAATTTAGGCTTCAATTTTGGGGGGGGCCCAGGCTTACAATTTCCGACAAGATATCATCTTGGATCATGTCTAATTTTAAGGAAACTGCACCTTTTGATGAAAATAAGTGATTTTTGGCGGGACCTTTAGAAATCTTTGCAAACCACGCCAAAATTAGGTACCAAGAAGAAAAATCCATTATGATTTTTTATATCAAGATCGATATCTCATCTAAGGCAATTGCTGATATATGAGGTCAACCGATTAAACTATTTACAAGTCGCTCATGATAACAACATGATAGTAATTGTAATGTTCACTTTCTGCATTCTGCTAATCTTTATGGAATTGAAGTTAAATATACCATTCACAAGCAGTTTTGATTTCAGTCATTTATTGTTTGTTGATTACTTAGTACTGGCTGCTATTTTCAACACTGTAAACTATTGTCAATTATCTGACGATAACCCAAATTTTCCCACAAGATCGCTGATGGGGGGGGGGGGGTTCATGCCGAGCCTCCCCATATCCCCATAATTTCTGCCATAGAATACTCTTCTAAATTCAATTTTAATGATATTTACTAATTTTTCAAGGAATTATATGTTTCACCTTGGTTTGCTTTTATTGAAAATGAAAATGTTTCATAGAGTGTTGAATCAGAAAATTATCTATGAAAATAATTAAGTCATGTGAAAGCTTGATGTTTATCTTTCATTTGTCATCCCTCATCAATAAAGACACTTTGAGGTGACTTTTTGATTGCTTCATTAGTTCTGAATGTTTTGTGCCTGCTATACCTGTCACCTAAATGAAGGGTCTAGAAGAAAACCTTGCTGATTTGAATTTATAGAAATGTCTTTTCTATATCTATTGAATGAAAATGTCATACTTATCCAAAGAGATTTTTCTTCAATTCTGTGTTTCTGATTGTTTCTTGAAAGATGATCAATCTACTGTTCAGGCAATTCAATTCAGTCTATCAATTATTTGATTTTTGTAGATTCAAATAGTCTCAAAAAGAAAAACTGTGAACTATGGGTGCAACATTGTCTAGCAGAGCTGAACTTACTTCAGCAAATCCCAAAGATGGTGGGAAAATTGAATTTTCACCTCACAATGAAGCTCTGCTGAATAATATCCTGCATTACGTGGAAACTCTTACAACTGAGCATCAAAAGGAAGCACAGGTTGTTTTTAAACAACCATTTCAATGGTCAACAGGCATCAGACCCGTTGATATAGAAAACCACATTTCTGCTAAATCATATGAAACAAGGTACAGCTTATGGTATTTTGGTTTTATAGTTAACTCTCTCTTTATTTTACCAGATACCCCTAATTATTTTATGCAGATACCTCTAATGCTTTCTGCAGCAATTTACCAGCTCTATCCAAGTGAATTCACTGTGGTGGCTGACTTCCTTGTATAGGTGTCCACCTCATAAAATGGTATGCGTAGAGAGAGTAAACTGCATTTGACAATATAAACTCACCCTTTCATATTACAGAATATTTTTGTTTAAATTCTGAATCATCAATAACTCAGTGGCAGTGTTATCATATCTCTAGTTGGCTTTTTAAATGTAATTCTAATTTTTGTCTGTCAAATATATTAGGGATCCTAGCTAAATTCACAGGAAACTAAGAAACTTTCACTTCCGATATTTTGAAGCCAGGAATAAGACCTTTATGTAAAATGAATTTAACTAAATATGCTTATTTTTCAGTAATGAATTGATAAAATCTGAAGCAAATAACAATGGCGAGCCTCACCTATCTATAAAAAAGGTTTGTAATTGTTTTCCTTCATTCAATCTTGCTATAGGATTTGCAAATATGCTACTTTTAAAGGGTTTTATCTCTTGTAAGAATCTTATGATCATAGCATATGCAATGTTATTCTTGTAGTTACTAGAACTTGAATCAATGCATGGTTTTAACCAATTAAATTTTAGACACAAAATGAGTGGATCACCAAAGTATATACTTTTGAGCAAATGGGAAATCTTTTGAATTTTGCTGGGGAGAAGAAGCTGGAGGAAATACGTGCTTGCCTTGAAGGTACTGCTTGTTTATGCACCTGTTTGATGTTAATGCAATGGTATCTCAACCTGCTGAAATAATACGAATAAGAATAATATGATATCTCGACCTACTTTCGAACCACACGATTTAAGTGGGTGAAGTAAAATAATGGCTGTTTCCTAAGTATATCCTTATTGCTCGCATTTTTTGGAGATATTTGTAATTAGACATTAAAATATGACAATAAAAGCACAAGAAAAAATATTTATTGCTTTTTGTAGGAGGTCTCCGAGGTTAATTTGACATGCGAAAGAATTTGCAACAAAAATGTTCCTCTAAAGTTCATAATATATTGCATTAGTCTATCAAAATTTTTTAATCGACACTGCTTTCTGCCAACTTTGATTTGCTAATTTGATTTCCATTCTAGCAAATCGTGACCCTATGGCGCTGATAATGGGGCCTGCGTTTGCGAAGGTCGATAACAATGACGATGCCCTTTTGAAGGCCCATGAAATGGTTTCAAAAGCCCGAGCAGATGGGTCTGAAGACACTGCTGAAATAGAAGACCGTTTCCGGCTGCTCCTACTTATAAATCAGTTTGATATAAAATTGCTTCATTCGTCACTTAAAGATATCGCCAAGTAAGTAACTCTTGTTGATAAGCTCTGCCATTTGCGTCTGGGTTTTTCCTCTTATGCCACTGCTTTGAAGCGTTTGTATTTTCAATGTACAACGGCTTTACATGTATTTGAGCTTTAAGCTTCGCCTCTGACATTAAGAAAACATTCTCGCACTCATTGGAAACTAGAAAAACATTAATTGAATGTTTTGTTTTCGGATTTTAATAGTTTGATAACAAATCATGGTGAACATTTCTTATCATTGTCCAATCTTTAGGTTTTCTCTTGTGAGTCATGTAATGTTTTATTTGATTTTAGAGACGTTAGAGTGAACCCTGCTTCTGTCGAGGTGAGCTTTATCCATCTGCTTCTTCACTTTCTTTAAACTATTTTGATACATTTTTAACTTGTTCTGACAATTGACCGAATTTGCCAATAACTCTCCGAATTGTCAAATAATTATCCGATAATTATCTGAATTCACCGACAATGCTCTGGTCTCTCAGATCATTCTCAGATCAGATAATGCTCCGATTGTTGCAATCTACACAGTAGATGATTTATAAGAAATTAGAAGTCAATGAGACAATTCATTCTTTTAAAAAAAGTGAGAGATTTTTACGAAAATAAAAGAATTTAAGAGACTTCCAGATAAAGCAATAGAGTGTCTACCAAATGTGCACGAAGTATCTATGGAGTTATTTCTATCATGCCTCGTTAGAAATAAAGTGCTGCTTGAATTGAACTTTCTGAAAATTAGTCATATGAATGCAATCATAAATAGCGATTATGAAATGATCTTCATAGAGTGACTTCAACCTCATCAAAGGTTTTTCTGGGTCAGAGACTGACCATGCTGTGGAGCACATCGACTGGATGTTATGTAAGTCTGGATTTTTTTGTTACTCTACGGTTAATATGAAGAAATTAAATACAGTCAGATTTCATGATGGTTGCACTGCACAATATTTCAAATCCCTGATCATTTTACTAATTTTGAGCAATAGTGTCTCCTTTATTATTAAGCCAATTTTTGATAATTTTTAAAGTAAATAAATTGTTTACCTTAAAGTTATTTCTCAACAATACTGCCATTGCCTGTCCAAGATTATAGAAACCCGTTTTATGTGTGCAAGAAGGAAGAACCGCAGGATAGGCTGTCCGCCGGATTCTGTGAATCTTGCAATAAGTGTTGTTACGAAAGATGATGAAGCCCTGTTTGCCGGGGCGAAATATTAGTATATTCCTTAAATTTAATTTATTTTGAATATTTAATCTCGTGACATTGGATTCTCGTCGTCGTATTGCTTTGTTCCTATAAACCCGTTTTAACCTGGTTAAAACATCTATCATAAACCATCACTTTTACTTGCAAAGCCTTTCCTCAAGCCAGCTAATCAACACCTCTTTTTTCAACTGACTGTGTTTTGCGTCCATTTTGACTAGCATTCAACAAAGTCATTCTAGGCCTTGCATAGAAAATATGCTCGATATCGTGTAGGCAGAGTTGTACACACTATTTGATGTATAGAGCAGGACGGCTGTAAGCTGCTACTCCAGGTTTCACACTTAATGCAATCATTTTACATGACGTTCTGAATGTAATGTTTAACTGCGGCTTTTTAGACCTAAAAGTGATTTTTTGGAAAATTTCTTGCTTTATCCAGTAAACATAGCCTTAAACCGTAATTTGCCAGTATGATTTCTAAGATATTTTCATCCATACATTGACACTTTTAACAGCATACGTATTTACCAATGGTTGTCGTGCTCCTCCCTGGCGTCAAGTTCATGGTGATATTGCATATATCGAAGTGAAGACCAAAGAACAGGAGGTCTTCCCTTTAACAGCATCCACCTCTGGCTACTACGTCAATAAGGGAATGAAGAAGGACGGCGAAATAGATTATGCGAGGGAAAGCGACGTTTTTCCAAATCTAATTCAACTTCTAAAGGCAAAGAGCTCTCATTTCGCTGACGTCATCAACAGCAAGGTAGATACCTGTTTCATACTTGAACTATTTTGATTTCGGTCCTGCAAATATGACAAGCTTTTATCATAATTAGCAGTTTGGCTTGCAAATTCAAACCTTATAGGCGCCATTTTTCCAAATCAATTTCATCGCAACTTAAAAGTAAGACATGACCTAGTATTCAAGCCTGCTTTTTCTCTGATTGAATTATTAAGCAACGGTATTATCTCTTATTGCAAGATAAAAGATGAGCCGTTTGTCCCTTTTTTTTAATGCGATAGAATCAAATCTCTTTATTATGCAATTATGAAATGTTTCATTCTGAAATCTTTTCTTCAAAATAAGATTGGCAAGCTACATCACTCCCTTTTAAATAGTGCTAATTAACTGTTAATTTCTAACTAGAAATCTATATTTTTTATTATTTTGTTGATGCATTTATTTTTTAAACCCTACTGCAATGCGTTAAGAAAAATATTTTTACAGGAATTTCGTCATTACGCCGAAGAAAAGCCGGAAGAACAGTCTGGGGCTGTCACGGTTTCTGAAAAGCAGCAGGCAATCGACAAAGAAGACACAGGCAGGGCAAAAAGCCCTGGTGAAGCTGTAAATGCTCAGGGGTAAGAATTATTGTGTAAATAAAGAAAAGGTCACGGTAGCAGGCTGCTCAACGGACTCCAATGAGTTCTTACGGCGAAAAATCGATAGAAATGTAGCAAATAAGAAACACCGCAATGCGCCGAGAATAAACAACAATAACTACACGTAAATTTGTGAAGGCTAATATTTCACCCCGGTATATGGGGCTTCATCAGTAAGAATTATTGCTACATCATGTTTTTAGACCTGTGTTTTCTTTGGTTGGCTAATCTTTTTTCTATTTAGCGAAAATTTATTTGCGCGTGACTGTTTACCCCACACGAGAATAACAAATATTTGCACATAGCAAAGATTTTAGGGCTAAGTATTATTATCGATGACCTCAAAGGGAAAATAAATTTCATGAAATGCTGTCTTTGATGCTGAATAAACTATTTAATAGTCACTTTGAACGCCAAGTTAAGAACATGAGTGATTGTGATATTTTGACAAATGCCTTTGAATGCTTTCATTTGCCATATGCCTGTTTTGACTTTTCTTTCTTATAATGAATATTCTTTTAAGAGCATAACCAATGTTTATTTAAAGCAGGAAAGACAAAAGAAGGAATGCAAAGGCGCAACAGAGCAAGAAGGATTCAAAACAGAAAAGTTTTAAAGAACCTTCTCAAAAGTGGAAGCAATTAAATCTGGTTGTTGAAGCTGATGATTCTAAACCCAAGTAAGATTTTATTGAAATTATTTACCATTTAGCCAATCAATGACTTTTAAAAAAAATTCATTCTAAAATATTCTCTATTCTTAAAATGGCTGTTCTTTCCATAAACTGTGCCCTTAGAGATGAAGCCAAGTCATGTTTGAACCATCCTGTCCTATAACGTGTGACACAAGCACTTTAGTGGCACTTTTATGATAATCAGATGTGTACAGGGCTGTCTGAGGAGTTTTTGGAACGCTGTTTATGTGTAACTCTCGAATATTTGTTATTTTGTGTTAAAAATCGGTATTTTCACTTTGAAAAATGAACCATCGTAATCGCAAACATCATTATGTTGTATTCTTGAATAAAGTTATTGAACGTTTCAGTCATATCACTTCTTTGGGGGAGGAGGTGGATGGGGGGGGGGGGTTAGTAGAATCAATGGTGAACCGTTATGCTTTTTATTCCAGTTATGGCTCGTAGAAATCTTACCATTAGAAATATTTTCATTTTACGCTTCTTGAATTAAAAACACTGTTAGTTTAATGGAACAATGTGAGACTGAAATTTTTACTCAAGACTCATTACAACTTTGCAATCATAGAAACCCATTTAAAATCATATTAAATATTTTATTTTCCTTTTGAAAAGCAGAGGGGAGTCACGTGATAAGGCAGATAGGGACAGTGGCAGACAATCGCAGGCAAAAGTAAAACAATATGGCAGAGCAACGCAGTAAGTGTTATTGCTTATTCTTATTCAATTATCTCGACTTCCTTCTTTCTGTAGCCAGTCTCTTTCCAAACCTTTCTCACCGCACATTGAAAATTTGAAAATTTATGTACTACTTCCACCTCTCTGTCCTTTTTTAGTTAGACTTTGTACTCAATACCCTTTCTTTTTTGTGCTAACTACTGATTCAAGTGCTATCATGCTAATCTGCTTCGTTCAATCAGAACATTTTTACATGTTTTGGCTCAAAGCAAAATATCAGAATCAAACATTTTCAAACAAACACCGTCAAATTTTACAATACTTTTATGAGGAATTCGAGAATAATCATACATCGTTAAACAGCGTCTTGCCAATTTCTGATGATTTTTGACGTGAGATGAATGCTCCATCAGTGTATTTCTTCTCAAGATGAATCCTTCACAGAACCATGGGTTATTCAAGAGCAATTTTTGCATCTGGTTTGATAACCATTATCGTCCTAATCCGAAGGAAAAGTACATAAAGACACTGTCAATGAACATGTGGATTGATGGTGGATTAAATAAATATTCCCTCTACACAACCCAGGATGAATTCAACGTATCAACGTGTGGCAAAGAGTAACACTAGTGTACCTGTTCTAGAGCTCTAGTCTTTGTTGAAAAACTAGGTGAAGAGCCCTGCCTGCACGTGTTGAGAGCGTGTTCAAATCTCCCTGCAGTTTTCGTCTTTACATTTGTATTTGATAAGACATGTAACAAATGTATTTGACAGCGAATTATTTGGTGGTGTTTGATCGCGTAGACTTCGCTTTAGTCAATTTTTTTTGCAAGAGAATGAACTCTCGATAGAAAGATGATTTGCAGCACCTATCTTATAAATTTTATTCGCCAAATCCTAGCTCTTTAGACGATTTATTTCAAGTATTTCCCTAAGTCACACCCTTTCTCTATCATGGGTTTGAGAGAACTACCTTTTGAAGATCTTTTGTACAGGGTCAGTATTTGTGCAAACTAGGAGTTGTAAAGTATTTGTGAAAATTTATATTTAGTTGATTTTATCGTTCTTTTCGTGGTTGCATACCTCATCTGTTAAATAGAAATATTGCAAATGCATGGCCTTTTTAGAGGAGCAAAGGTTAATCCCCAAGCTAGCTCAAATTATGCTGGTTGAACCTAGAATGGTCCATTCAAACGCTCCATTTACAGCAATTTTTGTTCAACGGCAATATCTTTTTTATTTTAGTGAAAGCATAATGAAAGATTTCAGTGAGAGCTCCTCTGAAAGTGAAGAAGAAGAAGAATCGCAAGACAGAAGACAGGTATGAATAAAGAGAATATAGCCTCGATTGGCAGCAATGGTATTTTCTGACAAACAACACTGAGTAACAGTTGTCTAGACTTCTGAAAGGACCGTACTTTACTAACTTGCTCTAAAGTACATGAAGTTTCTTTTAAGCATTGGCAGCTATCTAAAACTGGAGTCAGGACAGTATCTTGTTTATAAAGATATTTCGCTGTAGATTGGAGTTATAGTTCTCTCTTAGCAAGAAAAAGTCTATTCAATTCTTAAATTTTTTTAAATGTTTATGCAACAGAAATGTTTTTTAGGAGTCAAACGCTGACTTGCCCTCTGAATATTGGCAAATACAGAAGCTGGTCAAATATTTGAAGGTACATATGATTCAAACTTTTCTTATTAAAAGTAGTTATTGCTAAATCTTTAAAAATGATTGAATCATGGCAATGAAATTCAACAAAATTTCTTTATTCGTAAATATGGATTGATTCCAAAATTATTTAATTTGCTATTTTCATGTTTTATACAGGATATTTGATTCGGTAACTTAGGTTAAGGTTTCGAATTTTTTTAAAGGGTGGAAATCAAACAGCAACGATTATTGCCTTGTGTGCAATGCGGGACTTTAATCTGGCGCAGGAGACTTGTCAGTTGGCCATTCGGGATGTTGGTGGCCTTGAAGTGCTTATTAATCTTCTGGAGACGAATGAAATCAAGTGTAAGGTGAGTCATGTGGCCTAGAACAGTCGTTTCTATTTTCAAAATCTCAATATATTTTATAAAAAAGCTTTTGAATTCCATCTTCTACTCATCTTTTTTTATTTACAGATTGGTGCTTTAAAAATTTTAAAAGAAATTTCAAAGAATACCCAGATCCGAAAGGCCATTGCGGACCTCGGTGGATTGCAAACTATGGTGAAGATTCTTCAATCCAACAACAAGGAGTTAAAGTGCCTTGCTGCCGAAACGATTGCAAATGTCGCAAAATTCAGACGAGCACGAAGAACTGTCCGTAAATATGGTGGAATCCACAAATTGGTGGGTTTCTTAGACGTTATTTGTTGCTGCTTTGCTTCATCTTTTTGTGAATCTTGTTTTCCACACCCCCACTGTATTTTCTAAAGCTTATAACACGCATTGAATGGCTTTTCGTGAATTGTCAGTGTATTCAAAATGTCTTAATGTTCAAAGGCCGAGATACAACTTTTTGTTGGGGGGGGGGGGGGGGGGGGGGGGAGAATGGAGCAGCCCTGATAAATAAGTGTAACAACAACCATAGTTAACAAAAAAAGTATTTTACATATGATGGTCAAGTTTTTTTGGGGGCAAGGCTCCCTTGGCCCCCCTGGTGTATCGGTCCTTGTTAATGTTCTTGATGCATGTTGTCGATGCATTACATACCACTGTTTTCCTCTCTAGGTGGCATTACTTGACTGTGGTACCGTGTCAGCTGCCACTGAAATTGACATTAGCGTTGCACGTGCTGGGGCAATGGCATTGTGGAGCTGCAGCAAGAGTACAAAAAACAAGAATGCCATCAGAAAGGCAGGAGGCATACCTTTGCTTGCTAAGCTTCTGAAATCCAGCAATGAAAGCATGCTCATCCCTGTTGTTGGTACTTTGCAGGAATGTGCAACTGAGGTTAATGCTCTTTCTTGATTTGTTCGTAGGCTTTTCGAGTACATTCTTTCGTTTGTTCATGCAGATCCAGTTATAAGCCAACTTGTTTTTAGAGTTTTATTGTTTAGTTCATGATATGGTTTTAAGGTACTTTTAAAATCGCAAAAAAAAGTTTTCCAGAAGCTATGCCAATCATATCTTTACAACTTTGTTATTTTTATGAGAGTTGTGCTTTTTGATAAAAATTACTGCAAAGTAGCAAAATTCAAGTTACTCAAAATGTTTATGCAACTTTCGTTACGTACATGGTATTGAAAATAAGCTTCAATTTAACTTGATAAAGTGAAGAGATAGGTTTCAACAGTTTTTCTTTACGAATTCATTTACACTTCAAAAATATATTTTTTTCACAAAGGAAAGCTACCGACTTGCCATTCGGACAGAGGGCATGATTGAAGATCTTGTGCTTAATTTAAACAGCAACGATCAGGAGCTGCAAAGACACTGTGCTAGTGCAATATTCAAGGTGCAGTATCCACTAACTGTATAGTTTACTTGGGATTCAAGGGTGTATTTCAAGGCATCTGTTCATAGCTCAGCTACAGCTTGAGAGAGGGCCAGCTTTTTCAACGACCTTCTTTTCATGTAATTTGAAACCAATTTTCTAAAGACGGCTGGCATCGTTACTTAGCATCGGCACGTATTTTAAGTAAGAACATCATTTGCGAAGTTTACGGTTTTTTGTTTTGACGGTAAATTTTTTTGGTTTCAAATGAATAAACAAACATGAATAACACTTGCTACATTTTCCAGCTAGGGGGATTTTGTTTCGCCAGTCGAATGTTTTGTTTACGTTTTGGCCGTTCAGTCAAGTCAATCAAAGACAGCCGTTCGTAGGTCGATTCGTTTGATAGCGGTACCAGCAGCCTAAAGCACCATCTTGTGGAAGGCTCATCTTAAAAAACTTAGGACTATAGACTTTATCTGACATCTTAAGTTAACAGTCATTCAATATTTTATCATCATGTTTCCAGTGTGCCGAAGACGCTGAAACTCGAGATCTTGTTCGCGAATATGGTGGCTTGGATCCGTTAGTTTCCCTGCTGGCTAATTCCGAGAACAAGGACTTGTTAGCTGCAGCTACGGGGGCGATTTGGAAATGTGCAATCAGCGAAGAGAACGTGTTGCGTTTCCAAGAACTGAAAGCGATTGAACAGTTGGTGACATTGCTTAACGATCAGCCTGAAGAGGTATATTGTCTTCGATGTGGTGCAATCTCATGCAATTTAAAATGCACAATAACACTCAAATCTCAAAAACTTAGGAAGAAGTAGAACCTTTTTTCCTAAAAAGGGCTTTTCTTGTTTGAGAGGAACTAATTCAATGTTTATAAAATAGGTATTTCTTTGAGTTTTTTAAAGTGGCTTGTTTATGTAATTGTTTGTTTTGTTTATTTTCGCTACTTTTCAAGGGTATTTTCTTAAAATTTGACTGTTGTTTTCTTCTGATATAAAGGTGCTGATAAATGTAGTTGGAGCGCTTGGAGAATGTGCGAAAATCTCGGCTAATAGAACGTCGATTAGAAAAGCTGGGGGAATATCTCCAATGGTGAATCTGTTGACTGGCACAAACCAACAGCTACTGGTCAATGTTACGAGAGCAGTAGGCGAAGGTGCCAAAGAGCCAGACAACATGGCGTAAGTCAAACGCATTCTGTTTAGCTTTCTTCAATTTGTTTCTTCAGTTTTCCTATCCGAATACAGAAAACACTCGTTGCAAGAATATATTTGACCAAAGCGGTGAATTTACACCTCATTGTATTTGACACGCATGTTAGACACGTGGCTATACAGAATGCTACATATCCTTAGGGATGTTTCAATTTTACTATTTCCTGCCAATAATATCCCAAATGAAAGACATAGATGAATCTCCCTGTTAAAGTAAATAGCGGTGGCTCTCATTTTGGCGAATTGGCTTTGGAAATGTTTTACAACACAACCAACGTTATTTGATGGCGTATCATAAATGTGCCGTATGTCGTATTTGATAAATCAAAAAACTTTTTTGGAAAACATATAAAGAGATTGACTTCAAAATCATGTTGCTATTTTTATTTTTTGTTTCTCTACAGAATAATTGATCGCCTTGATGGTGTTCGCCTTCTATGGTCACTTCTAAAGTCATCAAATCCACAGGTAACTTAACCTAAAGTCATAGAGATCAAATCGTGTAATCATTTACCCTTCTTGCAAGGCAATGTCTTGAATGTGTCTAGACTGCTTGACTGGTCTACATTCTATGTTCATGCTTCCTTGCTGAAGTACGAATTCCTTTGAACAGCCGAAGTATTTGCGTGCTTCTGTTAATTCACTTCAATATCCTGTCTCCAAAAGTATTGGGTTTATATTAACACTTTTGGTAGCTAAACTGGCAGTAATTATTTTCCAATGCGTATAAAATTTCGGTGATGCTCATGCCATTAACGAATCCATTTTGTTTACAACAGGTTCAAGCTAGTGCAGCATGGGCCATTTGTCCATGTATTGAAAATGCGAAGGTGAGTGAACCCATCTGCTAATCCGATCCTTTAACACGCCGCGATTTCCAATAACGATCAAATAACGTTTTTTAATCTTTGTGAAGGCTGTATTTAAAATTTTTAAGGCTCAACCTATTTTTTAAAAATCAAACAAAACAATGAGATCTAGAAAATTAGATTTGCAGGGATGGCTGAAGTTTTTCAAAACCACTTTCTAATGGTTTTGAACGAGCTGCAGAATGTGTAAATGTAATTTTTCCAAACACTTGGTGCTAATGACTATGACACCACAGTTCTGCATCAAATGGGCTTCTTTGAAAGTGGGTCTGTCTCATACTTGCATTTTAAAGGTATTTTTTATGAATTTAACCAAGTGGCTCAAAACAGGGGTCCCATTTTATTAAGGTTCATTATTTCATTAGCATCAGAGATAAAGGTTCTCTTTTTCTGCACAAGCAGAAGAATACGTGATTTAGATAAAATAATTAAAGACAATGACATAATCGGCTGAAATAATAGAATAAGGAATGGGTTGAGCGTTGGGTTGTTTTTCTTTTGCTGTCTTGTTTTGCTCTCATATCATGTCAGCTGATATGACAACCGAGTCGTTCCTTAAAAGAAAGCTATGTCATAGAAATTGCGTCAATCATTCTCCAGTTTAAAGTTCCCCAGTTGCTTCGGATTAGCATACCAAGTATTATTAATATTTTTCACATATTTCCCATGTTTTCTGTCATTTCTAACTTGAGTATGTCAGTTTTGCTGTAACGAGACACCATTTTTTCAGATCAGTCAGTCCAATAATTTGTGGCCACGATTGTAGTTCAATTTTTCACTATGAAATGTATGACTTTTCACTGACAAGTAAACATTATAATAACCTATATCGCTGGCATATCGTGAAAATCATATCACATCTTTCATGTCATGTACTGTCTATTAATTCCCATATGTATAATATTTACTGCACTATACCCAACAGTTAAAATAGCTATTTGAACCGAAACTTCGATTTTCAATTTTTGGATTCAAAAACTGCTTTCCTTTCGACCACTTCGTCGAAAAGGTAAATTCATTAGCCGAAATTAGGTTCTTTTGTAAAATGAAATAAGCTTGAATCAAATCAACATGAATTTTGAATTTAATTGCTTCAATCAGAATTTTACCCATTAAAGGTTAAGTTGAGGGATAAACAGCTATTGTCATTAAATATAGATTTGCCTGTCAGTCCAAGCAAATGAAGTTCTGCATTTACGAGCATGAGTATATCTCCGTTTCGGACGGAAATTTTGGTGATTGCGAAAAATTTATTTCTCCTGATGAGAAATTCAACTTTTGGAAGGTGCAAGAACATGAATATAGTTGCAAAACAGACCGGCTGTATCATTCGAGTTTGGAAATATTTTCAAAATATTGCTCATCTGTTTCAGATTATTTTTGAAGCGATAACAAAACAAAATGTGATGTTCAATAAAAGCTCAGCCTACTTTCTTTATCAGTGAAGATCTCATTTTGGCTCTAAATCTTTCATTTGCCCTTCTTTATATGACTGATTTATCTTTAATTTTCTTGTTGTGTCTGCGCGAAACTATAAACGCACTGACGATTTAGCTTCCTTTGCTTGATACAATTCGAATTTGCCGCTGCTCAGACTCTTTCTGCGCATGCTTGTAAGTAAATTTTTGGTCGCAGGCCTTGTTTTGGACTTATCTTAGTTCATCTACCCAACATGCTTAAATTGGCGCACTTGAATAAGTTTTTAAGGCTCCAACCAGTTAACATTTGATACTTGCCTTGTTTAGGATGCGGGCGAGATGGTTCGCTCCTTTGTTGGGGGCCTTGAACTCATTGTGAGTCTGCTGAAGTCAGAAGATAAGGAGGTATGATATAATTTTTGTGACAAATAATGTTTTCAGGAAGTCTTTACCTTTCTTATGCATAAAGATTGCTGCTGTCGAAAACACCTCGAAATGCTCTTTGTAGCCTGATAACCAGCCCATTTTTCCAAAGAGCTGGCCATCCATTATCCCATATTTTCAACGTGGGAACCACCCTGACACACCCTGTTTATATACCAAGCTCATGAAATTATATCTGCTTTATCAATCGATCTCGATTTTTTCTTTTGATAAAGACGTTATCCTGAAACAGGACTCTTTTTAGACATAAGTCACTTTTTCTAAAAGCAAAGGCATTTTGTCCTAAAGAAACAGGACCTTTTTCTTACGAAGTGCACTCTATTAAGATTTAATACATGTTTGATACCTGTGTACATGTATTTAATACATGTTTAATACACTTCTAAAATAATCATATGTAAAATCATAAATTGTGTTTTTATGTGTTGGCATATATCTCTATGATATTAAACTTGTTTGTTTTCAGGTTCTCGCAAGTGTTTGTGCTGCAATTGCAAACATTGCAAAAGACGAAGAGAACCTTGCGGTCATCACTGATCATGGCGTTGTGCCAATGCTTGCTCGGCTTACCAACACCGTGAGTATTCGAATCGCTTCTTTGCTCTTTGTTTTAATCTTACAGAAAAGACATTGGAGCTCTCTTTGCACAGCGTTGGTCCTTAAAGTAAGTCAATGTACTTGAAAAAATTGTGCCATGCAGTACAGAAATGAGAACGCATGCATTCTGTTATCTTGTCGTATCAACGAACAAAGGAAGAGCAAGCCAATGGTATTGCTTAAAAATGTCACCAGTTCCCCGTTATCAGTGAACTTAGCGTTTTTCTGCGCCGTACATAAAAAAGAATGCGCGTACAAGGAATCACGCGAATAGTGATGGCGTGCTTGTAATGTGCCGCAAATAGTTGAAATTCTATGGTAATTGCCGATGTTGAAACTTCTGTGATAAGTGTGTTTATAGATGCTTACACCCGTTGCATATATTTCTCTAATCTACATTTCACAGCAGTCGCTTTTTGAAAACGCTTCATGGCCATATCAAGCTCTTTGTTCGCAGATAAACATTGCCTTGCAGATGCATTTCAGATGCCTTCTAGATGCCCTGCAGATACCTTGCAGATGCCTTGCAGAAAATAATATCCCTGTTTTGTTCTTTGCGTTTTGCTTAATCGGATATTTCGCATCTTTTTTCTTTACTATCAAAATACAATTCCAAATGTGCACTTTTCTCTGCGTTGTGCACGTTTGGGCGGATGGAATCACAGAAAGACAGTTTGGGTGATTCCATATAACAAAAAGTCTTGGCGCAGTTATCAATTTCAAATGCAAAATTATTAAAGATATTTTATCATAATTGAACAGTTATCAAGAAAGAAGGAATAATAAGCATATTGAAATTGTACTTTATTTAATCATTTTTTGGTAATTTCCTTGCTTTCGGGATTTTTGACATTGCAACAGACACTGCGTAGAAAAGACTTCGTTTAGTGCAATTTTTTCCAACAAAAATATCGTCTAAACTTCAACTCTAAATAAAAAACCCTACCTACGCTTAATTAACCAATGACAATTGCTAAAAATCTCTGAAACGCACATTTGAGATGATAAGGAACGGACATCGCGTATTGTCTACTGGTAATAACATAACTTTCTGAGGTTGTTTTCAGCTTTCGCGAATCTAAGAGTAAACTAAATTAAATTACCATCCAACAGTTTATAACTAAAAACATTTAACTTCATCAGTTCTGCATCATAAACTTCCCATCACGTTGAAACCTCAGCTAAGTCTGGTTCTGAGTCAAGAAAATGTGAAGAATGCGGTCTGTTATTTGTTGAGTGCAACATGTAACTAACTTAGACTGCTAGATAATATACATAAACACATGTTATACATATACATAAACTACAGTTAGTGCCTTTTAATATTTACCTTGACCCAATATATTGAAACATAACTGGAAATAATATTACGTTTAAAACACTTTTTCCGACATTATTGTTGCCAGAACTAACACAAAACTCTGCACCGTTACTCGAATGAATTTTGCTACCTGGTCCCCATCCTAAGGACACTATCTATCTTCTATGTAACTGTTCCTTTTCTCCTATTATTTTTTCCTTCATATCTAGTTGAATTGTTTTCCTTGTAATTAGCATTCAATTCGGACGCAACCATCTTAAATCTCTGTTCAGTCCTTTGTTTTCCGTCGTGTTACAAAAGCAAATCCCAGATTCTTTTATAACTTCCTGACTTCATTCTCTCCTAACTGCTGGTTGATTTTCTTCCGTTTGTTTCATTTTTGCTACCATGGTACCAGTTGATTAATCCATTTGTTTACACAGGTTCAGTGTTGTTTTCGATAATTAGATGATTCAAAGTGATTTTATTTTAGGCTGCATAATTGTATTCTTATAGCCAGCACGCTTCTGTCTTTGCTAGCTTCCTCAGCATGCTTTAAGAATGCATTGCTTCTGCGCGTGCAATGTTTTATGTTTCATCAATAAGTGACCTGGTATTTGAAAGCAATCTTGTTTTGATGGATTACAACAAAGTGACTATCTTGCGAAAATAGGCAAACAGGATTAGAGAGGCCTGTGGTGCAAATCCGCTTTAAAAAAAAGTATTCTCATTTAACAACGATTCGCAATCAATGCTTCCGCCCGGGAAACTGATATGCCCGAAGTATTTGACGTTGCACTGGTTTTGGCTTGGTATTCAGCAGTAAGTGGTATGCCAGCACCTCAATGCAAGTTCTGCCTGCATGTGTCAGAGTCATGTTTCCGTATCTTTGTCAGCTGTTAGCAAGTTATTTTTTAATAATACGTCGTATAACCGTCCTATCTATATAACCGTCAAATATATTTTAATTTCTGCATTTCAAATTTGAATTTATCTTTTTCCAAAATCCTTTTGCCATAAACTATATGGTTACGAAATTATGCATAAATCATGGTGGCCAGAAAGTTCTTTAATCTTTCTATACATTAAACTAAACAAAATAGCCTTTTAAAAGATTATCCTAAGTTGTTCTATGAAAATAGTTTTATTTTTATGAGTTACATTAGAATTTCCTTTTGTTGGTAGCTTAGAAAATATTAAAAATTGTTTCATACTGTTGGACGCTCTCAAAGTCAGGCTCTTCCTAACAGGCTGCCATTTTCTTATGCATTTTCAGTAAAAAAGCTGCTTCAATCCGAAACCGATTGTAGACTCTGATGCCTTTTTCTGAACTTTTATGTAAATTGAATGGTCTTTGAAAGGAGTGTTTTTATATGGTAAATGAAAGCTCAAAATAAAATTTATTAACGCTAATTTTTCTCAATATATTGCAGATGTACTCTATTAAACTTCTTCCTACACATTGCTTACTATGTGTCGCGGAGAGAATCCATTAGCTCTGGAACCAATGCAGCTTGCCCAATGTAAATAAAGTTCCATGTTAAATTTATTTGATTTGTAAAAGACTTAATTTGATTGATTTGATTTTTAATTATTCATACAGGGTAATAAATTCAGTAATGAAAAGATAACAACTGATTTACAATGTGCCCTGTCTAAAAACCTAAGCTAATTAACAATCAATTAAATAACAAAGTTAAACCAAATTAATATACAAGTTATTCTGGTAAGGTGAAAATAAAAATAAAGAAAAAAATGTTTGATGCTGTACAAGAACTCTCACACCCTTTGGTTGTTCAAAGATGGTTTCAGCAAACTTTTGAAAGTAGCCAGTGAAGGGCCATTCTTTATTTGGTGCTTAGTTTATTCCATACATTCACACCTCGATATGAGAAACTACGTTGCCCGTAAGAGGTTGCAAAGCGAGGAATTGTAAGATCCGTGTCTGCATTACGGAGAGACCGGGAACTGTTTCCGACAATTTTGTAAACATTAGCTGCATATATTCAGGAGCTAATCCCTGGAGAGACTTGTAAACTGCAATTGCAGTTTCAAATTCAATAATTTCTTTTATAGTTAACCACCCTAGGCTTCCAATCAATGAAAGGGATGATGCATCGTTAGAGAAAGAGCTGTTAGTAGTGATTCGTGCAGCACGGTTTTGCAGTTTATCGAGCAGGGTTTCTCCACAACAACCCCACACCGAGTAGCAGTTTTTAAAGTGTGGTTCAACTTTACTTGTATACATGTTTTTTTTACAATTTCTAATGGGAGATATTTTTTAGCATAATTAAGCATGCCCACTGCTCTGGAAATCTTACCTATAGAACAAGTTATATGTTCTTTCCACTTAGTTCTGAATGAATGCCCAGATACTTATTTGATCCAATCATATCTAGGTTGTCCTCGTTTATATGGAGATTGATCACAGGATCTCCATTGTCCATATAATGTTTTTTCAAATTACTCGAGGAACCAAGGATCATGCTTTGCGTTTTGGGTACATTAAGGGAGAGTTTATTACCTTCCAACCAAATCTGAATCTGAATTAAATGCTTCATTTATCTCGGCTATAGATTTTGATGATTACGAAATGCTTGTGTCATCAGCATACATGGTCACTTTTGTCCTTTGCAACGCACAGGGCAAATCATTTATATATATTAAAAATAGTAATGGACCGAGGCACGATCCTTGCGGTACGCCGCAGTTCGTATAGAATAGAGGTAATATCGGAAAGGAAACTATTCTGGTCAAAGTCCTTCATTTGACGGGTTGTAATTTTTTGTGCTGTCCTTTGAAGGCTCCACGGTACTTCCGAACACAGAAGATCATATAATGGTCTCTTAGCGATGCCTTCAAAACGCCCGATTTGACGATATTGGTGGCTGCACTAACTGCAATATGATCTATCAAAGTTGACTTATGGCATGTTTCCCTTTTTGCCTCACTTATCAACTGTGTTAGGCCATATAACTGATAAAGATCTGCGATTCGTTTCGAGTTATTATGTTCTACATCTTGCTCTACTGCTAACAGATCGCAATTCTGGTCCCCCAAAAGGATTATCTCTTTGTTTTCTCTCTCGAAGAATTGGAGAACTTTTTCCAATTTTTCGAAAGTCGCAACCGGGTCACTGGGTGGTCTGTTCCAAGCAACTACTAAGAAAGGGCTTGCTTAATGGTCCAAATGGTCCAAATGACTTAATGGTCCAAAGTGTACAGCCTATCACAAGATAATTTGATGGGGCCAAAAGCAGCTCTGTTTTGGCTTACAATTTGGACAGTAATTCAAATAAATTTGATTAAAGAAATTACTTAATTGATATCATCTTTGTCGTTCAATAAAGAAAATTTGACAAACGATGGTCTGAATATGATCGCCTTGCAATGATGCCCAAGTGTCATTTTTGCTCAAAGAACCAAGTTTTGAGGCAATGCTTCCTTCGCCCTTTCGCATTTCCTCGTCCTTAGAATCTACAGCCCGGGATCTATGTATGTTTTGTAAAATCTTCGTTGAATGTTGCTTTGATACCAAGGCTGATGTGAGGCAGGCCTTGTTTGGGGGGTGTGGACTACAAATTTACCTGATTAAAAAAATTACCTGATTTTTTAGTTGCTGACACAAACCTCTGCAATACGTTTTGTCAATCTAACTCTATGGCATGTAATTCACCACTTTCATTTATATGATAATAACAGACCTTTCCAACCCTTTAGATTGGTATATCGGGATGAGCAAAGGGTATAGTCACTACCCAAATGAAAAGGAAATTTTCGAATTTTTTTACATCCAGCTCGGTGGCAAATGCACTTTTTTAAGTGGTTTTCACTAAAGCATTTCTTCTAATCACGCTGAAAATTTCTTTATTTTTGCATACGGATTGTGCAGCAGATAAAAAAGCTGGTGCAATTTCGCCGTGGTCAAGCCAGGTAACAAGCGGTGCTAGTTGTCAATTTAGATCCCTCTTTCCATCTTGGATTTCCTTTTGCATGTAAAAAAGATCTTGAGCTCATTGTTAAATGCAATTGACGCTCCTTCCGAGAAACTATAGGAAAAATTGACACAAGGCATACTTTTACCGAGGTCTGTGCCAACAAAAGTCTTGCAACCATTAATGCTTAGTTTTGTTTATCATCAAAGAAATATCAGATCTAACCAACGAAGCAACTGCCTTTGCCTGCCTGATCTCTTTTTAACTTTATAACATCAAGGTCATTAATTACCTTTCTGTGTTTCTGTGTGACAACAACCCCCACCCCCACCCCCGTCGCGACGCCCCTGTTTGATACATTTTCCGTTCAACCTAATCTGCACTTTGATCTATGTCACGTTTCGGTACCCTTTCTCGTTCTGACTATCTTCTTAAATCATGCTTTCCCAAAATGTTATAGGTCAGCCAAACTGATACGATGATAGATTAGGCCCTTCCATTATTGGCAATATTAACAAAAAAATAGAATCAAGCCACCGCATCACCTGTTTTACTAGATATTGTGCTTCGATTCTAATTTTGTATAAAATTATCAAATATATTTTTTTTAAATTTCGTTTTTAGGCAAACATCTATCTTGGAAGCTAACAGACACCCACAATCATGCCATGTGCTCTCTTAGGCTTTTTCTTTATCAGATTCACATCTTCCTTCTGTTCTCAGATCTGCTTTGAATTTTGAATGGGCACAACTTGCTACTTGTTCTACATGAAATGTTTTGTTGTACATGCTATACAGTGTGAGAATCTGTTGGCAAGATGATTGATTCTTTTCAACTCTTGTTTGTTGTCTTTAAGAAGAGTATGTTCTGCTGTTTGCAAAATCGTAAGGTACTGGACAGTTTTTCTCAAGCATTGCCAATACTGTAAATACGACATTTGTTTACGTACATGAGTATAACGGAAATACGTTAATGAAAATGTACGCGGAACAATCTGCTGGGTAATAAGTTGAGTGAGGTGAAACGATATCCTGTCGTTATTGACCCCTTATGATAATATTCAAGCGATGCGGTTATTTATGCAAATAAAAGCAATATCGTGTGTATGAATTGCCATATATGAACCATAAACTGAGATACAAGGAACTAAGCAAAAGATAAGGAAAGATGACCATGCTAAAATTAGCAAATTACTGATTGCCATCCCTAAGCCTCCATAGGTTGGGCATGGGATAGAACCCATCTACGCCCTCACATATCTTACTGTATTTCCTTCTGTCACATATGGTTTAGAAAACAAGCGCAATAAAAAAGTTTCCGGTAAAATAAGAGAGAGAGAAAGTATCTTAAATTGAGAGTATCTGTTTAGATTTTGTACGCAAAATCAAGGTTACGGTAAACGTTTTCTGGATGAAAACATCAATTTTTCGATTTTTTTACATTTAAGTAGCCGAACTTTTAAGGCACACAATTATACCAAATTCGAAGCAAACAGAAAGTTTGAAAATGGAAAATATCCCATGAAAACGAAAGTTTCCATAATATCTTTATTAGAACTTTTAATTGAGGCCTGAAAATCTATTGACCTGTTAAGCCGATTATCGTTGCTTTGCGGTTGTAGTCGCATGTCTCATTTACAATATCGCATGGCACATCCATGTATCCAATGTACGGCCGTGTTTATTAAAACAGGCTTATTGATCTTAAGGCTTCAAGTTACTTGACCCGGATTACACTGTGGTTTAAGAGTGTACTTTGCAAGTGCGATCAGTAAAATCCCGTTTTCTCCGGACTTACAATTCCTCTACATACAGGTACGAAAAAGCTATTTTGTACCCAAGGAACCAATCGAATGGCTTAAAACTTTGCACACGGCCAGGACAGATGTCGGGTGAGCAAGTTGTATCTCGAAATTTTTGTATTTTCTCTGGTCTGTCTTTTATAGCCAAATACAGCTATGAGAGAAAAAAAAATTGTTTGCCGATTTTTGACAGGGTTTAGTTTCAAGTGGAGGAGGAATTTGAAAAATATGAGACACACTTTGGTAGCTAAGGATCTGCGCTTTCTGCTGATTTAAGTCAGATTTTGTTACCTCAAACGCAAGGGTACAAAATAGCTTCTGAATGTGGTACATTCATTTAAGCAATAAATTTGCCTGGAAAGTATCATTTAACAATATTTGTCAATTATTTTGATATGGTTAAAATCACCAAATTCTTGTGCATCGAATGATGTATAGTTTAATCTGATTCCGTTAATAGTTCTGCTTTTAGGGAGAGAAAACCAAATATCGTGTCAAAAACGTTTACCGTAACCTTAAAAGCCACCTTCAAATAGATCATTATTTTTTTTATTACCAAATCAGAGAAAAAAACAGGGAAAAAGTGACTACATTTTTTCGCAAGTGATTAAATTTTTCGCCAGTACCTAAATCTTTAGCATAAAATTCTTTTCTGAGTGCAAATTTTGTCATTATTGTTTTCAAGATGAAACAGCTGCCATATTTGAACCTGTAGGAATAACAAATGTTGATCAGTGGCTATTTTTTAGATCTGATTGTTTTACTGTGATAAAGGCACGAGTCGCTTATAGTTTTTTATGTTATTCCTCAGGCCGATGATAAATTGAGGCACCATCTAGCCGAGGCAATCGCAAGATGCTGCACTTGGGGAAACAATCGAGTAGCCTTTGGGCAGGCTGGTGCTGTCGCCCCACTTGTACATTACTTGAAATCCAAAAGTGCCAATGTGCACAGGTCAACAGCCAAGGCTTTGTTTCAGTTGTCACGTGATCCAGACAACTGCATTGCAATGCACAACAACGGTGTAGTCAAGGTATGTCTGGTCTTGTCCCAAATTTCTTGACACGAGATGTGGTGTTTTTGCCATACATGCTTTTATGTTCTCACGTCAGATTTATTAAATGTCCAACTTTTAAATGCTATGCTGCGTAGTATTTGCTGGTAGATGATCTGTTCGGTTAAGAGATTGATTCTGATAAAAACGAGCCTGCAATCCAATCATAATATAATTCCAACATGAAGAATGGTACTCTAATTTCGTTAAGGAAAATAACACGACTAAGCATATTCATCTTTTAACACGACTCTCAGAACTTACCCTGACCAATCTAGCATCTACTCTTTGTAACTGTCATGTAACAATTTGATGGGACTTTTTCTCTATCTCTTCGCCTAAATGTTTTCTCATATTTTTTGCTCTCTTCATTCAACGAGAGTATTTTAACCTGAGAAATGGCAGCCTTTTATCACATGGTTTTAAAATATAAAAATGTAACGGCCTTAATGTGCTTTCACCTAATGGCAATATTTTCGCAAGTATAAGGGAATTGTTTCCAAATGCTGTCCTCTAATGGATAAAGTTCTTGCACAAAGTTCTTCCTATAACACTACATCCAATAATTGGAAATCGTTTTATTGGAAATCAACAATATACAGCATCGTCACTTTTTGTTACCAATTGCTCCCCATAATAATTTCTGATATAAGCTTAACTAAGACCTCAAAAAGTTATAAATTTGAGTCTCATAATTCGTTTGTTCTCCAAGTGATCACTGCACAAGGGCGGAACACTCTCGGAGAAAGCATGTCGGCAGAACATCTTGGTACCCTACGCCCAATCCTTGCCATTTCCAAAAGCATCCACTTTTCTTATCCAAACAATGTTGCTCTTTTGTAATGCTAAGAGCTTCTGTATTGTACAATTGATTCCTATCAAGATGTCATTATTGTTAAATCCCCTATTGCTTCGGGTAGATGTGGTGCAGTGTCGGTCCTTTACTGAATCTTGGCACTGTAAGAACTTTTTGGATAGATTGAATCTATGTTGTTGTTATGTTGTTAAACTATTTTGTTAAATTGTGACTTTCTAGCATGACATTGGTAATACATTTTTTCGCAGCCTTTGCTGGCGATGGTTGGAGCATCGGACGACGTATTACAAGAAGCAGCAGCTGGATGCCTTGCAAATATACGAAAACTGGCCTTGGCAAACGAAAAAGCAAAATATCGTTAAGATTAATTTTTTCTGGCTTATGTATATACCGAAGTATCTTGTTAGTTTGTAAATAAGTTGACCCAAGTATTTCTTTAACCTATTGCAGCTATGACTGTCGATGGCCTCCTGTTACTACTGTCTCATAATCATTCAACTGAACTTCATTCTATCAATTGTTTTTTTAAACATTTCTTGTGGTCAAAAGTTATCTGGCCACGTGTTTGAGAACATGTGTTGCTTGTTGCGGTCTTGTTGGTTCACGTAATAGTGCAGTCGTTGAAATGATGAACCAGGAACAAATTGGTAGAAAAGCAAAACGTACATCATTTTACGTAGAATATTTTCCTGTATAACATATCCAAAATCGCCTAAAATCCAACTTGGGGAAAAATGTTTCTAGAACTTTTAAAAGCATGAGCTTTTTGACCATATGCACAATATCATCTGCCGAGGGATTCTGTAAGATATGAAAAGCTTGCAACAATTCAAGGCGTAAATTCTGAATTTGGAAGCTAAACAGGTATTCGAGTCGACAATTGAGAAATAGAATTGAGTATCAGGGCCCGCACCACCAGAAGGGGGGCCGGAGAGGCCATGGCCCCCTACTTTTTTGGTAAGCAAAAATATTTCCATACAGGTCTTGTTTTGAAGCCTTAAATTCAAGTTCAACGTATAGAACTTGGCCCCTCCACCTTGAATTTCGTGTCGTGGGCCCTGAGTATAGGTTGAACAGTAGCAAAATAATTAAGTCTTGTTGCTAACCCGCCTAAATTTTTGAAAATTCTTGATTATAAACGAGAGTACTAATTTTTCAACAATTTTATAGATACATAAATTCTGTCTTTTAAGGACCTCTGGTATCAAGACTGTCGAAACGACGCTTTAAACATACAAAAAAACAGAATTAATTTCAAATACTTTAATATCTAATTTCAGGCATTTTGGGCCTTTACGGGAGAAAGCCTTACCTGGAATGACGCATCATTGTTATATAGTCATTTGCAGCATTATCACAAAGGAAGCAATATTTTTCCTACTGAACTAAGTAAAATTTGATTGCAGTCTTTTAGAACAAGGTGTTGCGATAACATCGTAACTTTTTCAAAATACCTTTCTTAGGTTAAGAAAGTCTCGACGACACTTTTAATGAAATAAAACGTTACCAAATTGAGTTTTTTAACTCTCTGTTGAATAATTGTTTAAATAAAGCCTTGCGTGTCTTTCACTGTGCTTTATGATATTTGAGGTACCTTTTTCATAACGTGTATTGCCATTCCATTTTTAAAAACTAGCTTGCATATCACAAGGTTTTAATCCACCAAGTTGCTTAGCGATTCTGCCATATTTTATCCAGAGAGTTTCCAGAAAATGAGCCGTTCATTTGTACTGATTATTAGGAAATAATGATCTGTGTTGATATCGAAATCACAAAAGGAAATTACATCTTTGGCTGGCATGCCCCTAATACCCAAAAATAGCCCCTCCCCCGAGTAAATTGCTAAGGCATTGAGTAACTTTATGTACCCTAAAATATTGATAAATATACCTTGCTTATGGTGCGTTAACGAATATCGTATTTTGGTATTCAAAAACTGCCTGTCGGTTATAAAATTCCCGCACCTGTTTTTAGAGAAATCAGAAAAACTGACTACTTCCTTTTTTAGCACTCTTATTTATTTTCAGGCCTTGAATACGAGAATTCTTCCTTACGTAAATCTACTTTTTGAAAAAAAAACAGATTTCTTGCTTTTCTGAACAGATGCCCTCAGTTGTGCTACAATTACTTGATTATCGAATGTGGCCTCGTGTATCATATAAACCTCAATAAAACTTTTGCCCACGGTCGATTTTGGGCGATTTTGAGTATGTTATAGAGAAAATAATTCTGCACTGGATGGTGGAAAATTCGCTTTTCTACCATTTTTTCCCGGTTGACCTTAAATTGAATGCTGCACGACCTCATTATAAAGCAACATTGCAAAAATTTATGCCAAAATTCAAAAATTTTCGTGCAAAAATTTATGAAATTGCCCCGTTCAGTTATTACGCAACTATTCACCGCATTGCACCGCCTTCTTTGGTCCTCTGTTCCTAGCCTGCAATCCACTTGACATCAGACTCATAATTATTGCCAAGACCCGTAAACAAGCGCCAAAGTGTAGCTCAGTACAAAGATTCGTGTGCGGCGAGAGCCAATTTCTTTTGTAGCTAGTTTTTGTTAAATTGCCTATAGGATATTAACGAAATTATTCGAATTCTTGTAGCAAAATGGAAGAATTCCGACTTTGAAAATTGTAAAAACATGACGTGCGGGAGACAAATAGCTTCAACAAATAACAACTATTTTTCGTACTGTTTATTATTAATTCTACTGCCTTTCGCATTTCATACCAGTTGTCGGTGTTAGATGCTGACAAAGTTGCCTGCCAGGTTCCAGCATTTTAAGCATGCTATTTATTTGCAACCCAATTCCAGGACACCGAACTCTTTTAATGCTGTCCCACAATATGGGAGAATTTGTGAATTAATTAAACAAGGTGAAGGAGTATATATCTCTTTCCAATTTTCGAACCCTGGAGTTGCAAAGTTTTTTGGTGTATTATCCTGGTAAAAGCAATAAAGTTTTAACTGTTTTTCTCATAATTTTTCTTATAAAGGTCTTATCAGAAGATTGAACCTTACAAAAAATTGGCAATACGCAATACGAACGTAACCCAAAATTTTCCAGTTAAAGAATGCGATGTAATAAGAGAATGATGGGTAATCAAGGCTATTGTTTGCTGCATTTGTCTCAATAAAATGTCACCTCGGCGTGAAATGGTCGTTGCATGGCATTGTTTGTCTAGATGCACAAGCCTCGATTCAAAAGCCAAAATATTTTGTATCAGGAAGCTGCTATTAATCTTATTTTTGTTTCTCTCGAAGTGTATGAATATTACGAATCTCATCTCAGTATCACACAAAAAATTTTATGCTCAAGACAACTAAGTGACCAATAAAAACTATTTGGGATTGTAAAACGGAAAACATGCAAGATCACCAATTCATTCTTTACAAAATAACAAGTTCATCTCGATTTCTTTCAGGGGTTTGTGCCCAAAAAGGCCTCATGTATTTGTCCACGTTAGAGAAACATCCCTCCATGTGTTCAGTTACCGAGTTACCTAGAGCGAGGGGCAAGTCACTCCAAGAAAATCTCGTACACCTTTTGTGAAAATCCTATTGTTTTATCTGAAAATCCCTGGAAATCCTTTTGTTTCAGGGAAAATCTCGTACGCTTCTTTCAAGAGTGAATTGCCCCTCGACCTAGAGTGCCCAAACCAACGAGCAAGGTATGGGAATCTAAAGATATTTTCTGACGGTAAACAAAAGACCATTAAAAACAATTGAAGAATTCATTTAAATTTGACGAGAGGGTACTATGTCCGAAGAAGAACGATATTTTGCTGCCAATCTTTTTTTTTAACTTATTATTCATATCATGCAAGCTAAACACTAATAAATATTAATTTGTATAATAACTAATCTATTACCATTAAAATGAAGCCATAATCATAATTATTTATGCATTTAATTTATATATTAAAAGTTCTATTTACTATAAATTCTGTTTTTCGAATGGAATCTTTCAGTTTTCTTTAACATTTTGTTTAGCTCTTTTGAATCAAAGATTGTCGTGCAACCTTTCTGGAATGTTACGGGAATGTTACTGCAATGTTACGGGAATGTTACTGTTGACTGCTTCATCTAACGTCTTGCCTGAAATCCCTTTATTTCGCCCACCCGTCAAGTGCATCAAATTGAATCAGAAATCCAGCATTATTTCCAAGAGCTACCTTTCTTCTAAGAGAATATTTCTGGAAGATTTAGCTGTCAATTTGTCTTTCTTGGGATTCATAATTTCGAGAAAATATGCCTTTTTAAACCCTCTTTTGTTGTAGGGTACAAGAGAAAACTTGTTCTACTGCTACCACTACATTTGACAAGAGTCCTACTGGAGCGGGGATGTCCGCTTCAATGTCGATGGAAAAGAGCTTTTAGAGACACGAGACCTCTTCCTTCTTCTGTTACAAGGAGAGCATCCACATGCTATTGGCTCTTTGATCGTGTGCTCCTCCACTTGCCGCCTTCTGAATTTACTTGTGCATTCCAACAAAACTTTCTTTTCTCTAAATGTAACTGGTTTGCAGCACGTGCACCTGTTCACTGGTATGTCGGCATTCTCCGGCAGTCCGTCCCAAGACAAACATGTTCCAATGCATTGGTTCACATATATTCTACCTCTGCAATTCGGTAGCCTCACTGTTTTAAGTCCAGCCAGAGGTTCACATGCTTGCCTGTGTCTTCCTATCAATGTTCTGCCATACGAAACGGCAATGTTTAGAAGCATTGCGCCCAAAACTAGTACTGTCTTCAACTCCATCGTGATCTAAAAGAAAACAATTAGCGTCTTAGATCATAAACCTCAACTTAAAACGATGCCGAAATTTATATTACAAGCTGCAGTGTGGTCTAAAGAATAAAAGCACATAGCACCTTTTACAATTAGCAAATTTCTAATTGAATTGGTTTTTTAAAGATTGAACATCGAATTTGAATTTTCAGAAAAGAACCACCCAAGACGTGTTCCTTTTTGATTCAAAACTCTGTAAACAAAAACGCGAACTTCTTGGTTACAATGTCAACAACGCAGTCAAAAGAAAACAAAAACTAAAATAAAACGAATGATCGTTGGCGCAGTTACAAGACAGGCTGCGCAGCTTTTCGCAAGCGTGGATGACCGGCCAACACTGACCAACAGAAACATGCACACAAAACCTTATCAATAAAAGAGTAGTTGAAATAAATATTTCAAAAGAAACTTTGGGTGTGACCAGGTGACACGGCTGTTTCTTTGATTTCATTTTAGCCAGAGCGTTCGCCATCTTCAGCTGCGATTTTGACTCGCCCCTACACCACGATTTTTTAATTAAAGACTTTTTCCTTATCATTTTTGCTAGCAGATCTCAGAATTACGAATGCACACTAATTCCCTTGGAATTCAGAGAATTTTCAAAGAATTTTTTGCTTCGGGAAGATAAAGTTGGTTTGGTTTCAAATCTCATAACTCTAAATCAAAGACGATTAATCTTAAAAATGTGCAAGTTTACGGGTGAGTGGTAAAAACGTGAATCTTACTGCAACGCCTACCTATATTATGAAATGTTTCTAATTGAATTAAAACTCAAATTTTTACGAGGCATCGTAAAAATTGAAAGCTAAATCGATTCTATTTCGTGAATTGATGTGATTCATCTCGTGAATGATTATTTCGGTGATTAACTAACTATTTGCTGTTTCGGCAAAGCAATCAACCGATGTTGATGTTCTTTCGATGCACTTCAGATGTTTTGGAACAGGAACAATTAGTACACCTGTAAACAGTTCTGTAGGGCTATTTTTAGCCGCCAAAATAGTACGCTAAATAGGTTGAATATTAACATATATCCTTACGATAAAATAAGGAAAGATTTTCAACTGTGATAGTAAATCGTATCTTTAAATTTGCAAAAAAATAAAAAATAAATTCTGTTAATTCCACCACTCACCAAAAATAAACGATAGTGATGTTCAGTTCGCTGGGTGCAATGTCACTCTTCGTCGCCCTAAAGCTAAGCGGTGGCACATTTGAGAATTCGCGCTTTGTGTCGCAATTTATACCCAACGCTGACGGCGGCCTTTAATGTCTTTTGTCCCCACTGTTTTTATCTAATTCACCAATTGCCTATTCAAGGTTACAATATTTTAAGCGGAGTCATTGGCTGTTTTCACTAGCCTTTTGTCAACGGAATTGTCAAATTTATTGATCACTTCCACCATCAAATCAGCTGCTTTCAAAGCGATTTGCCTCAGTGATTAAGGCGATTCACTTGATTGTTCTACTTCAGCTTGGATATATCAAAATACAATACGAATTCCTTTTTCATCTTGATAGCATTGTGCGTCATATTTCAGTTGCTCTGGTGGTGGGGCTGAACAAAAGACTTGTAGCCCCAGATAAACTTGTCTCTGAGCCTTGCGGTCCAAATTTATCTTTTTAAATTTATTAAGATCTTAAGAAGACAAAATAAGTGTGCATTTTCACGTTTTGTATGCACGAACAACATGGGTTTCCTTCTGACTTGCCTGACATGAAATTAATACTCTTTCAATTAAGCATGAAGTCCTTCAACTTTCTAATTAAGTTTCTACCTTGCATGTAGCAAATTCCCTGCTTAGATTTGGAGGTTAGGCTAGGTTAACTGAATTGGTTGCCATAGAAGCAACATCACCTGTTAGGACGTAAAAGGAGGTACGCAAACGATAAGTGGGTCAAAAAGAGCAAAATTGGCAAGTTTTGCTCACTTGACCCAGAGATAAATCAGATTGTGAACATCAAGAAGTGGATAGCTGTAAAAACGACTGAAGAGTCGAATATTCAAGGTAAGGTTCTAACTTTTAGGATGATTGCTAACTACATTCGGATGATTGTCCCTCCTCTTCCTATTGCAATTACATAGTAAATTAGCGGTTTATGCAAAGTAATTTTTCCTTGTAAACAGCTATTCAGAGATGTGACTTTGCGTAACTTCTTGCTTGGAAGAAATATCCATCTTTTGTTGCAAGCTCACAAAATTGAATGCGTCCTCGACGTCACTAGCGTTGAAAAATATTTTGATTGTTCTAACAAAACGGTTAACCGTGATTATCTTTTTCACCGCCCTGTAACAAAACTACTCTAAAAGCAGATTATACTTAATTGTAACCGAATTGAAAAGTTTTGAACTATTCATTACAGCTCTTAGCTTGTCTCCATATGCAGTCTGAATGGGCTGTTTTCAAACAGGGAATCACCAACAGCGGAGTGCACTTTGTGGGACGTTTTCACGTGCCGTCTGATTGTGTGGCATCTTTCTAATTTTAAGAAGACTTCCATCTAAACTAATTTGTTTGCACGAACTTTAATTTAAATTGCTGCTTTCGGGCAATTGCCCGGTGTTCTTAACATTTTAACTGGCAGATTGCATCGTTCAGACCAAAAAGAGCGTTCCTCGATAAACAGGACCGAAAGGTGAGACGTATACTTTAAATTTTCTCGCCACGTCGCTGGAATCACTCGCCAGTTTTACTGTAATAATAACGTAACTTTTCACTTCAGATTTTGAAAACTTTGTTCCCAATTCTGACGTAGCAGACATAAATGAATTTCGCAGACCTAAAGCATGCATTAATGCCGTTTGCTAGTGTCGTTTCCGATGAAAATTTAAAATGTTTAAGCAAGGAAAATTCATGTTAAATTTAAGGGAAAATAGTGAAGTAATAATTTTATGTTCATTTCATGCAAATGTTATTTTGATCAAAATGAATTGCAGAACGCCCTTTTGAACTGGCGGTTGGTGTGTTTATTGTGAATTTACTGTCATTCCTTAACTTTTATAAGAAATTCATTTAATTCAAAAGATTTTGTCTAGAACTTTTTAGTGTTAGTAATCTTCTTATAAACCTTATTCAAACGCGGGCTAAAAGGCTGAATACAGAGATTTCCTGGAATGCTCTTCTCTGAATTTGGCAGCCTTCTAATAGACATCGACAAAATGGCCGTCTTCAGTCAAAATCAGGAAACGCTGCATCTATTTGCATCAAATAAACATTAAAAGTTTTGAAAAACCTTATAAAATGGCAGGGTAACCCTGAAAATCCCACGATACGATGAATGTCGAAAACAGCGATAATAAAGTCGCTGACAGTGGTTTTCCAGAAGCAACTCTGTTCGCATATATTTTCACGCAGATTCAGTAAACTCCGACAATCGATTTCTTTCAAACACAGTTTACTCAGTGATTCAAATACATTTATGGCGTTTTACATTCTGAACACTTCAGACAAGAATTTCTTATAAAGGTATGTCATTGTGGTTTTGTATGATGACATGGTTCTTATTTGATTTAAAACTATGTTATGAATGCTTTCAATCAGTTTGTTGTTAAGTTTCATGGCAAATTCTTCAGATATTATAGTTGGTAATCTTGTAAAATCTTCTTTTCCTTTTTTTCATGTAAAAAATTTCGTTCGTCTGTTTCATGAGTCATCTTGAATTTCATTAGTCAACCAGACATAGTTATCACAGCCGAAAATCGAAAAACGCTTTGCAAAAAGCCGTAGAAAAAAAGACATATCTAGCAGACCTTTTTGTACGGGCTTTATTGGGCTGATGTGTTAACTCACTTTATAGATAAAAGGCCAAAAATAAAGTACGCTGGTAAACTGGTTATTCACATATTGGCTGAATGACCGCGAGGTGAGGTGGATGTATTAAGCAATGCAGCAACATCAGTTACGCAATTCCATTCATTTATTCATAATATCTATTGTTGAGTTGACTCTTAACAATTGATAAAATATTTACCAATGTACCAAACGTATTATTCACAAGCACCTCCTGCTAAGTCTGTGATTTCTATTTTTAGAAACATACGTGATTTTCTATTAATACCCTTCAAGGTTATTAAAAAGTACGTTGATTCTAGTCCATTGTAAGTTGAATAGAGATAAGGTTTATTTTTTATTAATCATTAACGCGCTGGTCGTGGAAGGTTTTCCTCCACTCAGCCTACATTCAGCTATAATGCCGAGATCATGCATCCTATTGAAAGTCTTGTTGTGACGTCACACAAAGAAATAGTTGCTTCGAAAGCAACACTAAATCTATCGAGGTAAAGTGCTCTTTCAGCGGCAACAGGGAAGAAGTATTTTCATGAGACGTGATCAATGCTTATCAATTATGCTTAAATTGTGAAGAAAACAAATTTGGGTGCTCTCCACTTAAGGGTAGGGTATTTCTTTCAGTTGCTCAAGGAATAGCCACCCACCCTAACGAAGACCTTAGAACATGATTATTATTTTTGCAAAGGTAGCATGCTCTCCCTTATCTTTGTTACCATGAATGAGTCACCGATGTGTGAGAATCCCCTTTACATTTTAGATAAGAAATTACCACACAATTGGCTTGGTTTATACTTGGCTAAAAATGGCTTTATGTAAAAGTACAGCTTATCACGTTACCCATAAAATCTCTTCATCGAAAATGCAAAGCCAGAAGCTCTCTTTGACTTAGTTGGAATTATGTTAGTTGCGTGACTACTTGAGTTGCATGACAATTGCATTGCTTTGGTTAGTTGAAAATGTTTGCTATAAGAACTGCCTTATTTTCGCGTGCTCAAAGCGTCATGGCACATTTAACTTTCCATTTTCATAACACAGGAGTAACATCGCTACAAAAAACTCTAAACTACTGCGCAAGATACATCAAAGTTCTCATTGTCCTGTTATTAACCTTTTCTTAATCTATATTACCTCCTTCAACCTTCACAAAAAAGAATATGGATAAAAACTAAACTGAAACAGCACCTTTTCATTGGAAACTTTAAAAAGATGATAATGATTTTCATGATATGCAATCTGAATCAGAAAAAATAGGCTGTAAATTTGAACGGAAATTTTAACCTTCAGGTTCTTCTGTTTGCTTATTTAAAAAAAGTGCGACAGGTCTAAATTATCATAATAGACAGCCAAAACTAATCAGCAGCTGCCTACTTGATCTGTTTTTTCCAAGCATGCTTTGTACCTTTATACTTTTCATGTAAAAAGTGTTTTAGCAAAAAAAGATGCATTTTGATGGTTTGAAGAAAAGCTTTATAAAAGAGTTTCAATGGGTGCCAAAGGTATTTTCCGCAATGTTGTCCTCTAAAACGTTTGCAAATTTGTTGCTAATAAGCTTTATAAAGTTTAAATTGCTATTCGAAAACACAGTTTACCTGGTTTCTTATCTTTTCCAAGAAACAATGAGGTTTCAAGAAAACTAGAAAACTACGAAAAGCTAGGAAATTCATATTATATGAATATTTGCTCCTTACCTTGTTTTGAAAATGCAAGTGGATGCTGATCGTAGATCGTACGAAGGACACTTCTCGGCACCTCTCTTTAACTCTTCTCTTTCACCTCTTGTCTCCTCTTATGCTTCCTGAACAGTGCTCACACCTGTAAGAGGTCAGATCGCAAACTGAACACTTGTCCATGCGCAATTGCTTTAAAGTGCTGCTTCATGCGTATCACGTTGAATTGGCGAGGTTGCTGCCAGGGTTACATGGAGTTTTTCCCAGGCTCCGCTGAAAGCCAACCGCAGTCCCCTCTGGTCTCTTTACTAATTTTCATTGACAGAATGAATGCCCGCATGAATGATTTAGTCGTTCGGTGTCATTTTATCCTGCTTACAAATTAATTATGCACAACAGTATCTTTCCATACCTGAGGATTTTTTTAATGAAATTTACATGTATTCATAGAGAATAGAATGCTGCTTTTAAAATGATACATTTTAGGTAGCCTGAGATTCAATTTCCCCTTTTTTAAGCAAATTCTGCAATGCATTTTACAAGCTTCTTCTGATCGTTCCACAATTCAATTTCATACCACCAAACTGCTGTAGATTTTCCTTCATTCTACTGATGGTACTAAAGATCTACATTTTTCAATTACCCACTTCATTGTTTTAACAATAGCAATATAACTTGGCCTTTGCAGTGGTCAATGGATTATGAGGTGCCTTTTTAACTCTATTTCCGTTGCTTCTAATTTCCGTAATACCTTGCCCTTCTTCCATTTTTTCAAGTTTAAACTCGGATTTCTTTATTTAATAATCTTTATAAAGTTGTCAATTAATTTAGGTGGTTGAAAGCATTTTTTCCTATTCTTGATGCACTGTTTTTTCCGTGCATTACTGGCTCACTTTTTACCTATCACTTTAAGAAGCATGAGCTCTGTTGAAGATTGATAGCCCTTTTCATATTAGCGATTGCAAAAGAGATTTTTTGATAATGTATATTCTTACTTCTGCATAGTTACTTACTTGCTTTCAATTGTATATGTTTACAAAGTTTCAAGTTACAGGAAAAAGCAAATCTTGATCTTTTAAAAAAATTCTTCCGTCGCAGAAAAATCTTGTTTTTTCAATCTCTCTCTCTTTTTACTCAAAAAGTCAATTAATCAATGGCTGGATGCTATTTTGACATATTGCTAAGTGACAATGAACCTTTTACGACTTCACTTCTCGAGGTTACGTCAGATGAATGGATTCTTCCACGATAAGCAAATAAGTGTAATAATGGATACTTATGTTCAGAATGACAATAATAAGGCTCAAAAGACAACCAAGTATGGCAGATATGACACAAGCAGCAGTTAATGAAATGATGTTGTCATGATTTTGTTGCAATGGATTGCAAATAAGGGTAAAAGTATCAAATCAAAGAGGGGTCACGGTGGGCAACCCCCCTCCTTACTTATGGCGTGTTGAAATAAGAGACGATGGCAGCCTTTGTCCTTTTCATGCAAGTTCCCTTGACCGTGGAATTTCTAATTTAGGGGATTTATTATGTTTTCTCAACTGTAGCTCTTTTTCAAGCTGTTTTACTCTTCTTCATATAGCAATGGTACTCAAAATGTGCTAGCAATTTTCATGTGTCGGAAGCTAGTCAGTTTCCAAGATACCTACAGCAGATGGAATAAGAATGTTAGTTGTGAAGGAATTAGCAGAAGCTGCAAACTATATTTCAAATTCTATTGTCCTTAAACCTGCCTACTTTGCCCTTGGATCATTTTGGTGTCCCTGGCTGCAAAGAAGCGGCTCCTCAAACCATCGTCGCTTTCTTTATAAACTCTGCTATAAACACTAATATATTGGTAGCATTTTTCATGGTGATTTAAAGAGAAATATTTACGATAATTTGATAGATTTATTACCGTTTAAGAACAATTGATATAACTCTCTTTTGGTCTGGAAAATGAAGAGATATTTGATATTTCAAGAATACTTGATTGTTCTTGCTCCGTTAAAACCCTATTAAGAAGCTTCTGTGTGAGGATCTATTTTGAATTGACAAAAATATAGATATTGCGAAAGTCTTTAATCGCACAACAAAACATAATCCGTTGTAATCGTTTCTGTTAATGTGTTTTGAAAGCTTGGTATTAAATATCTTTTTGCACATTAGCAGTCGCTTTACTAGATCAAAGATTGATTTAGACAGTTACTGATTGCTGCAATTTTATCCTTCTTTCTAATGATAAATACTACGTAGATATTGTAAGAAGTCTCAAAGTGCTGTTTGCAGCTGGTTAGTCCCTGCTTTAATGCTTCTAAATATATGTACATTATCTTAAATGAAAGAAGAAAGATTCAAATGAGAAAGAGAGTTACTCTGCCACCAATTTACTGTCATTTATTTAAATCAAGGCTTCAAAAGACATCTTAATACTTGGTAAAGTGATCTATATTCTGCCACAGCATGACACTTCTTTACCTGTCACATTCGAGATCAAAGTATTACAGGCTTTACAACTAGGAAGAAACCCTTCCACTTCTAGACACGAAATTTGTCATCGCATGCTTCAAGCAAGACAATGCGATCAAGGTCTAACGTGATAGGAAAATGATGTCACCAGGATGCTTATTGTCTGTTGTTGCATCGAGGAATGATCAGAAGAATTTGGTAAAGCTTTGTCTGTGACATCTCTTTGTGCTTGTAGTTTGAACATCATCTTTAGGGTGAGGTAGTTCATTGTTGTTGCATAATTGATTTGGATATTGCATATATGGCAGGTTTACCTCAAACAAAGATATCACCACACATTAACAGGGGATACGCTTGCCACTAAATATATTCCCAGGGCACCCTACATTATAGTTTCAGGTATTGCTTGCAGGCTTCTGTTTTTGTATGAATTGATTCGTACCACTCAATTCTGGGAAAATTCTCACGATTTCTCCCAGGAATAGATACCCATGTTTTCCCACATTAGAATAGCACTTGATTTTTTTCCCAGTAGCCACATGCAGTATGACTAGGATAGGTCGTTTTAAGGCTGAAATGAGTCACATCTTCCCGTAACCATCGCCACCATCATCAACAGTAACGTTGCTATCAAAATGACCTAAAATAAGCTTTTGCACGTGCTCACAATACGATATCTCCACGCAAAACTGTCACTGATCGTTGCAACAGAGAAATATTAAAAAAAATCTGAAAGGGTTCATTTTAGACTCATTGCAGCAAGCCTTAGACAATAGTAGAATTTAACTAAATTGCACTTGTTTAAATTCCTTTTTCTAGTCATTCAAAGGTCTAGATTCTCTTTTCCTAGATGCCCTAAAGAATGATGTCTAAATGACAGTGCTCGCTTTTATTTCAATACATCTTTGCATAGACTTATTTGCAGATATGCTAAAATTTAAAATTAAAAAGAAGTTAATGAGCTTGCTGACATGAACAGCTTGAATTGTTGCAACAAAAAGCAGACAATTAAAGATTGATTGACAATGCTTTCGCAAATCGATAGTTATTTAAAATCATTTTGCCATGCATTGATTCACTACATGCACTGAAGCAATAGCTGCAAGCTTGCAACTAGGTTAGCTTGCAACAGGCCTCGCTGGTGCTCAGTCCTAGAAATCGTTGGTGACTGAGCACTTAATTTGTATCCATGGTAGTGAATGAGCAAATACAAACGGTTGCTATGGTGTGAATTATTAAGAGGCCAAACCGCCCTCCATTTAGAAGCCTGGGAAATTTGGTTTTACGATAACCACTACCCCTCACCGGTTTAGCGTGTGTACCAGACCATTGAGATCCGCCAGCAGTATAATAAAGACATCTGGGGGAAAGGGACAGAACGAAACAAAACGCCGCCAAGTTCAAATGACACTGTGATCGTTTTAGAGGCTGATTTCAAGAAGGCAGAGAAATAGGTATTATAATTGTATTTCAGTAAGTGATTATTTTTCAAGCATTGATCTTCATTTGCTAGAGATCTTTTCAAAGCTATAAATAGCTTTAGCGTCCTTTTAGCGCAGTATGAAGTTTTGTTAGTAGGCCGCAACGTCAGATTTCATTCACTGCAGGGAGTGACATCACAGTCATTGACAGATGTGTAAACGGTGTTTATTGGCATATCTACATTTCTGCTTTCGTAAACAATTTTTTTCTTCATGACATTATGTATGTTCATATTCATTTTTAAATTTAAATAATTTTATCTTTATAACATTTTATAACTTAATGCAAGTTAATAATCTCATCTCTGCTTTTATAATTAAAACTTGTCTTTAATCGATTTTACACTTGTTAGTCAAGGATGCTTAAATGAATTTGAGATGATTATTTTAACATGCTGATTGATTTGAAGCAGAACGTTGGCTGATCAAGAGATCCACTTTATTTCGCAAATCACACGTTACTGATAACTTTGCGGTTTTTTCTTCGAGCTTCGAAGTAGAGATCAATGAATCGTCGAGCATTAATTCTTCGCGAAATCCATCGTGATATTTCAGAAATTCAAATTCATTTTCCAAACGACTAATATAGGTTGAAAGATAATGGAGTCTTACAGCTTTTCCGCTTGGCCTTTCGCCATGCACAGTTAAGGCTTATCTGGTAATACAATGTACCAGGGAAAATAATCAATATTAAATGCTTGAAAGGTCGATGATACGTTTGTTTGGCTTTGCAGCCAGGAATGTAATTGCCATGTAATAAGTCGTAACAAGCTAGATGTTACGTACGACGCTAGGTGAAAACTGCAACAAAAATAGGCCCGTGCCCATCTTATTCATTTAGATATGCTAGTAATTCTCAGGGTCTTTCTTGCAAGTTTTTCTCGTGTTCCTAACGATGCAATAACTTGCAAGAATATTTTTTTCTCTCACTTGTTATTTTTTTTACTGAATTGGCACAAACACTGTACAGCACTGCAAGTAATTGTTTACAAAAGCAAACTCTTAGCTAGGTCTGCATTCCAGCGGTGGCTCTGCCAATGTCATGTTCTCTTTTACCTTCAAATCCTTTCCTGAATTTAATTAACTTGCTTGCCAAAAGGAAACTCTTAAACTTCTTTGTTAAAGCATCATAACAACGTTGTTGAATAACAAAAACTCTCTTAATTGCACTTATCAGTTAAATTATTTCATTCAAATAGGAGGCTTGTTGCAATTTTTAAACCCCTCCAGTCCTTCTGCTGGAATCGAGTTTGCATCTTTATTGTCTTGTAACTTTGGATTGTACGAGCCGATTTAAAAGGAGGATATTCATTTAAAAGAAGGATATTCATTTAGCTGCCTCAGAAAGAAAACAATCACTTAATGAAAATTAAGAAAAATTTCAAACTGGATTTATCATTACCCTCGTTAGTCATTTGAAAAGCCAAAAAATCGTCTTTCTGATTCTATGTTTTAAACATTCATATGTTAATGTAAAAAGCTTAGGGAAGGATTTTCTCTAGGAAATAATTTTTTCTTACAAACTTTTCTCACATCACACAGTAGTATACCTTGTAAAAAAATCAACATAGACATTACTTTGAGAAATATGCTTGATGTGAATTTTAAAACAGGCACAACTTATATGAGTGAGACATTTTTCAAGAAAAATATCATCTGTTATGCTATCAATCTGAGTTCCACTTTAGCATATATATAGTTAAAATGAGCATTTTGAGTGTTGTTGCGGAGCAAAATGCTTCAAAGTCTGATTTCAATTAGGAATAGTAACATGTACCAGCTACTTCATCTTTCTTTGCCATTCTGGAAACAAATGCAATAGCTGATCTAATTGTGAGGGCGATGCAATAAATAAATTCATATTCTCAATATGGAATGGGATTTTCATGCTACAATGGAAATATCTTAAAATTAGCCAATTTATCTATTATTTCAGAAATATGCATGCTGCCGCTAAACTATAATCACATACATGTTGTGTCTTGAGAGGTGCTACAACAAGATAAACCTTTATCTAAAAAATGAGTGAAAGTTCAAGTAAAGTTGCAAAAAAAATTAAGAATTAGGTAGGTTCCTGATTTTATTTCTGAAAATGAAAGCAACACAGGAGGCTAAATAAACAGAGGATTAAATTTGATCACGTGCTATGGAGATTTAGGTTCATTTTCACACGGACAAAGACAGTCATGTGGGGGTATCCAATGAATGCATTGATCTGCAGGGACATCTTGCTTCAAACTCCCCACAAAACAAAACAAACTTTCCCACGAAATGAACTATAACCTGTGTGGGAAAACGTTTTGAGTGATCTTTATCTTGAATCCGTTGCTGCAATCAAATATAGTGCACAGCTCGTCCCACCTGCACTCACACAACCACCCGCATTCAGACCTATTGAACTGAGAAACGTCAAGGATGGACAAATTGTACGATCATCCATTGATTCTTTATGTTTACTACCTACCTACTTTTCAATCAGATTCTTCAGTCATTCATAAAGCCTTTCTTTCTAGATTACGCATTACAAGAATGCTTCTATCACAGCTTTGTCACATTTAGCCAAACTAACATGAATGAACTTTTAGCCACATTATCTACACTCTTTAATCTTAAAAATGAGGATAGTTTGTTTCCAACAACTCTCCTTCCATTTTCCCGATACTTTTACAGCCCCAGAATGACAGAACCAGCAAATATGCTTTCAACTATGACGGAAAAAGATCGATGTTTCTTGTAGAATAAGAGTTTTTTACCCTTAACATTAATCTACAGAATCTTACAATAAGTTGCTATCAGCAACATCTTTGCAAATTTAGCACGTGCTTGGTCACGTGATTAGCTTCTTGTAGGGTATAAAAAGAGGAGTTTTTTATCATTTAACAAAAACGTTGGTCAGTTGATGTCAGAGGTTACTTGAGGTTAGCTGTCTATTTGTAAAACTCAATCAAAGTATTCACTCGGTCGTTTTAAATTACAGAGAAAGAAGAAACAAAATGAGGAGTCTACCGACTATGGCACTGATGTTACTTGGTGTTGCCTTCCTTGTAAAGGAAATTTCTGGAAAAAGCTCACCTTGGGACAGAATGGGAGTAACTTGTGAAAGAGAGACTGTTAAAGTCACTATACGAAATGAAATTGGTTGCAGTAAATCAGGTAATATCCGTTCAATATAAGATAACCAAAAAACTATTTTAAAACTTTTTCAATTATTCTATCTCGCTATATCAAGTTCGTTATTTTAAGTTAAAATCAAATTTATTTTTGAAAATGAATGTTGTCTTGAAAACGTCCTCTACCAGATGTTTCTTAACTTGTGACGAGTCTCTGTGATAAGCCACCTCAATAGTCACATGTAAGTCACATGGGCTTCGGATGAATAAACAGAAGTAAGAAAGGAAGTAACATCTTCTCTCTTTGTTCCAGGTGTCAGAGTGAAGTTTTGTCGTGGCACTTGCAAATCTGCAAGCGTTTTTCTTTCCTACTGGCCATTTTACGAAAGTGCCTGCCGTTGTTGTCGGAAAATTGGAATTGTGAAACGGCCAGTTTTGCTCAAGTGTCCTGACGGGTCCCACAAAGTGAAATACATAGAATACGCAAGAAGCTGTGCATGCCAAGATTGCGTGTGAGACGAGCATACCTCAGAGACATGGCGAACGCCAGAAGACAGTTACTATAATGCATCTGTTTAGACTTCGAGTAAATGACAGTGAGGCCACAATCATGTAAAGAAACTTAATGTATTAGAGCCAGAGTCAACTGCATTCAAAATTTGCATCTGAACATTGTCTAATATCATTTGAAATCCTAATGCTCTCACATTCTTATTAAGTAAGTTTCATTATATCTACGGCTTATTTAGAGTATTTCGACCAAATAACGCAGTTGTGATAAAAAGGTAGGGAAACTACGAAGTAAAAATATCGAGGCAGGAGGTGAGAGAATAAGAGACCTTTAGGTATGATGGTTTTTTACAGCGTTACGAAATCAAGCATCTAGGTCAACCATTTTTTTGATCAGGGTATGCGATTCCTGATTATATCACTTCGCTTGTCATTTCATCCTCTAAGCTTTTTGGAGACTGTGTACATCATATCGGTCCAAATGATTTCAAGGTCTCGACAATAAAATAGCTCTTCGACAGGAAAGCGATTCATTCTATAGAAATATACCGTAGTTTAAAATCTTAAAATATGATGCCTATTTATATAAAAAGCAGTATTAAAATTATATATATGTACAGAAATATCTTAATAAGATCAGTAATTGTAATTAAACGATTGTCGTTTTGATATTTGGTTTTATTTGTTATGTCAACAGTAGAAGATGTTGTTTCGATTTCTAAAATATAGAAATTATCGACTTCATATATTGTAAGTGTTATTGTAAAGCGATATAAAAGTGCAAATAGTATAACTACAATACGGCAGCACTGCTAAAACTTATCATTGTCGATACAAGGTTACTAACAACAGATAAAAACTATTATCTAGATACATTGACCACACCAATAAACTGCTGATCGAACAAAACACACAACAATGTATTATGGTTCTCCAAGTTGTTTCTCCAAGTTGAGAAAGCCAAAGAAAAACTAAATAAAGCAATCAGTAGATAAAACGATGAAAGATAAGGTGACTCATAATCTTGTCTTCTGGGTTACATCTATCTTCTTTTATCTAACGTCTTTTTACCTACTAATTCCCGTATTAGTCTCCAGTTATAGAATGAATAGTTCTTGAGTCATATTTTTCGGAGAGAGTTCTTAATTGCCTAAAAATTTGCTTTTGAACCTTCTTTTGGACCAGACCAAGGGTCACATCCTTGGATACGATAAAGGTCCTAACCTTGATTCAATCATTAAGAGCATTTACAAAACATAAAACGAAGGCTTCAAATGTGAGTTGCATTGGTTCAGAAATGTTTAAAAAGGTCTTTGAGGACTACTCCCTCCCTGTCGATGACCCTGCTGTCTTAGCAAATACATCTTATTCAATCTTTGAAATTATCCTCTGTACAACAGACTTCCTTTTTACTTCAGGTAGTAAGTATAGATTGATTGGACACCCATTTAATAGCACAACCATTGCGGTAATATTTTCATGAGAGCCTGCTAGCAAAGCACTGTAAACAAGTCGCTCAACCAAAGCCCTTGCCAAAAAGCAAGCCTTGCTCTCTGTGTAAGACTGTTCTCCGCTATTTGGGCTAGGTAATCGTATATCAGTGGATGATGACTCGCTAGAAATGTTACTTTCTGCAAGTGACCCTTCAAAGGTTTGATCTACTTCAATTTCAACTGCGTTTTCACCCTCATCCAGATTGCCATTCTGGCCAATAATGTTGGATGTAAAATCTGCTTGGCGCTTGGACTTTGATTCTTTCTTTGCCAAAATATCTTGATTATCTCTTTCAGACTGTACTTGATCAACAGAAATCTCATCAATCTTTGCCATCTGATCATTTTGTCCTTTGGGTCTGTTGCCAAGCTCCTGTTTCAATAGGTGCTCTCTTAATACATCAACATCTGAAAAGTCAGGCATGATATCTTCTAAAAGAAACATAACCTCATTATCACTAAATATTTCCCAGATTCCAGCCGAATACAAAATTAAAAATTGGTCATCAGGATCAATTCTCAATGCAGTAACATTTGGGCTTGATATTACCAATGACTTCAATACAGGATCACCATGATTTCCTAAACCTCTAGTGCTTGCAAGTAAGCCATTTACCAAGGAGGACCTTGTACTCAGAGACAAAGAAGCATTTGATTTTTTTAGTCTGTCTCTTTCCTTTTTGTTTTCAAGCGTGTGGTCTTGAGTGATGGTAACAGCTGACCCATCACCTTTAACAAAGAGACCCCTAACACTACCAGCATTCGCAATAAACAATGTGTCATTTTCAATGTAGCAAATAGTTGCTGATGTCCCACTCCAGCGAAGCTTTGATGATTCAAACTCACCAATCAATAGATAAGAATCCATTTCATGGAAGCAGGCCTTTAGTGCTTCCTTCACTAATTCTATCCTTTTTTCAATTTGATCTTCAGACATTTGGTGGTAATCAAAGTCACTGTTAGTTTTGACAATCTGTTTAATCAGAATGTCATAAAAATGTTTGGAGCATTTATCTGCAGCTACTGCATTGTTGTAACCATCAAATACACCAAAGAAGCCGTGCTCAACAGTACCAAGACAACTTTCTTTAAATGTGTATCTGTTGAATAAGAGAATATTACTGCATTTAAACAACCTTAGATCATAATGAGCATCAGTGTGCCTGCAGTTACAACATTCACAATCAAGGGTGCAATGGGAAAAAAATTATTTGATCAAAATTAGCAAAACTTCCAAAATGTGTAGGCAGAATTGATGCTTTAGGTGCCCCCAACTAGTGACCCGAGTCAACATTATTTACTTAGGCTGGTAGGTAGAGATGGGAGTGTGCCTGCAGTTACAACTTTCACAATCAAGGGTGCAATGGGAAAGAAACTATTTGATCAAAATTAGCAAAACTTCCAAAATATGTAGGCAGAATTGATGCTAAGGTGCCCCCGACTAGTGCACCCGAGTCAATATTATTATATTAGGCTGGTAGGTAGGGATGGGAGAGGGCTAGGGTGTGCTAGAAGAGGGCTATAATAGGAATAGGGGGCTTTAAAATTCTTATCAGAGCATATTTATAAGCCTTGGAAGAGGAAGATGTTCAAGCCTTTGGTCAAATCGGCACAAGCATCCACAGCATCACAATAATACATATTTTTCTTGGAGAGCATTGTGCCCAATGCAGGCCTAAACAAACCAAACAGCCAGTACTGTTTGAAGGCCGACTGTGTCCCAAATCTCCTGTGCATATTGAATAACACATATTGAAAAATTATGTAAGACTAGATGCCAATATCTGTTGTTAAACAGATTTGAAGCTTATTGAGCATCTCTTCTGAAAAAAATTGCTCATCAATTACTGTTAAGCTTTCCATTCAAAACAATTTCAGTTGTTCTTGGTGGAACTTTAATTTAAATCTTTATTAGCCAGCAGGGTGATGAAAAGGTACTTTAACCCAGTGTTGTTCAACCCAGGGGTGACTTTAGGGTACTTATATTCTGAATTTTCAAAAAAACTATGGTTCATGCATTTCTTCTAAAAAAATAACAAAAATATGTTTGATAGGTTTAGGCTGTTTTTCAAATATATCAGAGGTGTTTTCACTGCTTTGATCCATGGTTTAAGTAGAAGCTCTTAAAAACCTTGAATACAGCTACCCCCCAAAATTCCAAACATTCCAATTTAAAATCCATTCCAATTAAAGTCATGCTTTTGCCAATTTAACAGCATTTTCTAAAAACACCAACATGTCTGCCAAGAAAATTACAGTTCAAATAAATTTTTGGAAGTGAAACCACTTTAAAATTTTTTGAACATAGTTGTTAAGAGGGGTGAGGTGATCAATGGGGCTCAAATACTTTCACATCCCACTAAACCTCCCTTCTGTGTTCAAAAGGCAACTATTACTACCTGTCCTCATCAATAGTCCTCCACCTCTCGTTTTGACTGTGGCAAACGCCAACAGCTTGTCCAGAGCTTTTGAGCTTACTTGATGTTCCCGCAACTTGATAGTTTTTAGCTGCTATATTTTCATTCAATTTACTTCTCGTATCTTGTATAAAACCTGTCTTGTCATCCGAAATTGTCTTTCGAATCTTTTCAAAAGCCCAGTCAATCTTCTGCAAAACCTTCACAGGAACTGGCCTATTTGGATCGGCTTTCCCAATCGCTTCATTAATGATATTACGTCTTTTCTTCAAAAGCTGCTTTGTGGTTTTGGGAACAGTTTCTGCATTACAGCGAAATATTTTCCAGACGCGATGGGCTTCACGATGTTCCTGAAGCTTTTGCACATCAACGTACTCATCACATTTAGTACATGGGATAGAAATGCTTCCATCTATATGCTTGAAAGGTAGCTGGTCCATCTCGAAAATGTTTCAGTCTTCGATCAAAAAGTCAGCTAACTTAAATGAGCAATGGATAGGGTTCGATGTTTTCTTTACCATGGTTTCACCAGTAACCTCGTTTCCTAAATTCCAAAATCGAACGCGAGGCAACCTTCCTTGCAGCCATGATGAAAATGGCGGCAGGTTTATCGATAAGTCTTAAAAGTTGGATGAAAATTGGATGCAATGCCCTCCTTGAGCATCAATGCAGATTTCATGCACCATCAAAAATTGGTATGATTTATTGCTACCATTTCTTACATACTCTGCCGTCTGGCCAACGCGACATCGGGTGTGCAAGAGCAAATTTTAAAGTGTGTATACAAGCGAGCGCAAGCGCCATCAAGCCAAGCGTTCGCTTTGGTATACTTGTGCACTTGAAGTGTGCACACAGATATTGGGGCTATAACAAAATTTCAAAATTATTCTTAAGCCCAGCCCAAAAATATTAACAAAAATTGGAAATTAGCGAAGAATGTAAAACAAAATAACTGATCGTTATTTAAATATTTCGTTATACACTAAACACCAGGGTAAGTATTGCACCACCTTGTTCAAAATGGCGGCACTTTTTGTCAAATTTTTGACCATTAAAAAACATTTGATTGCATGAATTAGGTGAAATTGGCGTATTTTGTAGCAAATTTCGGCGGGAAAAGTTTGCAAATTTTGCTGACGCCATAGAAAACTCAGTTAGAAATGTAAACCAAATACAACATTTTGTAGAAATCAACAAACTGGAGCGCTGTGTGGAAATGGTATTAATCCAACTATCTGAGTTAATTTTCCTTTTTTAATGCTCCTTGAGTAATTGCTCCAGATTGGTTGTAAAGCCTTTAGGAGTAAACGATTGAAGATTGAAGATAAATTACATAAAAAATCATTTTTGTTTGTAAAATTGTAGACCATGCCTAAGTGAGATAATTTTCAAATGAGAGGTGGTCATTGGTACCTATAAAAACTTTACAGGAAAGTGGTCTTAAAATTTTAAAAAAAATGTTGACCAAGCTAGATGCAGCCACATAATAGCTGCAGAAAATTGAAAAAATATTTTCCGGGAGTGTTGCAGTAGTGAAAAAACCGAGAAGTTAGCAACAAAAAAATTGATGTTAAAGGGGAGAGAATTTGTTCAATTTATCTAACTGCGTTTCACTAAAGGACAGTAAAAGACATGAAACTTGAATAAGGTGTTTTGCACAAATACAAAAGAAAAAGTCACCTGAGTGAATGGAAATCTTTTTTACAAAGATTTACTTCCATACAAAAATCAGAGCTTTGGCTAGCCAGAATCAAGTCCAATCTTCAACTTTACCAAATGAAGTTTGACTTCAAATGAAAAACGTTACAAACCATGATTCAAATGGTCACCCAAAAACCAGAGAATCATTGATTGTTAGAATTTTCCAGGCCTAATACAAAATTCCACAATAGTATGTTGCCCAAATATATTGATCTATTTCAAGAAGGCTTTTTGGGGGTTCAAAAGTTTGCAGCTACCGATCAGAATATTGAAATTTGAAACTGTTAAAAGATGATTGCTACTGTTATTTTTCAAACAAATGCTCTAAATAGATTGAAGTTTTGATTGGTGGTTGTTTTGCTTTCAACCAATTGCCATTTGCCACTTAAAATCAGAAATAATTTGCATAACAATCGCTTTCGATCATTCATGTGCCATTCAATACTTTTGATACCCTAGTGGATTTTCATGAAATATTTCATTATCATGATGCAAGGTTGTGTAGATTCATGATGATATAATATTTATCACCCTATTCTCAGGCCCATAACAAATAGGACACATCCAAGCCAAGCAATTATGTACGATGTACTCTATTGCCTCTACTGCTTCCAGTTGCACCAGTTCCATAACTTTTGGAAAGCACTATTTGGAGCAGTTTTTCCATATAATTTGAAATAGATATTAGTTACGGTACATTTTGATAATGATAATAAAGGTTTGCAACTTGTCTTTTAAAATAAACAATTTAAACAATTTTTCATTGGGCTAGAATTTTTTCTCTGTGCTGCATTGGCAAAGCTAGCATGACCATCTATTTCCAGAGAAAACATTTTTCAAAAATATAATATTCTCCAATGTAACAGCTATGGTTCCACGCAAAAATATGGAGCCCTCTGAAGCCACTCTTCTATTGTTGGGCATGACTACAACAGAGGGTTCCCAATTTAGTCATGCCCATGACTATGAGCATGACCAAGCCCTGTGTTTTAATCTTATGCCAATAGTGCTGGTTCCCTATGTTTGGTCATGCCTTACAATAGGAGTGAGGCAGGAGAGAACAAAGTCTAGTCCTGCCATTTCCAGAGGGCATGACCATCATTATAATCATCAGATGTTATGACCATCATGTTAATCATCATGTGTTATTTCATGAATAAGAATGCAAGGCATCATTTATCAATGATGGCGACACTGCTGTGGCTAGGTCCACAATATGCGAGGTAATTCTCTGTAATTAAAATACAAGCAAAAGCTTATTGCAAAGCAGCCATGACTCATGTTAATCTCCAGCATCTTTTACGTTAATGGTAGGATTCTTCAGCCTTAATTGTGTTGCTCTATGTGGAGGAGTGAAAGGCACGAAAGGCCTGCTTTTGGTCCTTGGTTAACCAATAAAGATGCTTTATGTTGGGACATCAAATCAGCCAGCAGGGTCATTTTATGCAACCAAACCAAACCCTCAGCCTTTTTAGTAATCAATTGTTACTAGATGAACATATGCAGATAATTTTCTTGATTGAATGAATGCCAAATCTTGGTGCTGTTCACTAAAGCTGGACGGAAGAGATAGCAGTGTAATTTGCTAAACCAACAAATCTGAAAGCATAAACTTTTAGTTTCCTCAATTTTATTTCTTTATCATATAACTTTTCATGTACTTGAAAATTTACAAGATCAAATTATTTCATTTAAAACCCTTGTTTACTAGACTCAGTAAGGACAGTCAAGTCATGTGGATATTTACCACAAGTTAATAGAAACATCAATGTTTTTGTTTAGCTAAACTAATTTTGCAAGGTATTTTTCTATTAAGTCTAACTTTTCAGAAAGCATTCTGCAACTAGGCCTATCCATTATTTTAATTTCCTATGATATATGTCATCTTATGAGATTTGAAATATATCAAAATTGACATTTCATATTCATTGGCCCATTTGTTTTATCCATCTGCCAGTTCTATTTGGGTTGTTAGATAATCTTGATGGCTTAAAAATACCTTCAATAAATTATTAATAAAACTGTTTGTCGAAAAGATGACCAAAAAGCTCCCATTCAGTTTCATGTGATTTTTTGTTTCATTTACAAATTGGAGCCTATCTGTAAACTTTACATATAAATTTAGGCCTCCAACTTGAAAGAAATTAGGAGAACAACAATTTTTTGATCGAAACTAACTTAATCTATTATACTGTACTAATGCTCTTTAGTGTCTTTCCTACAATTCTGCTTGATAATTGTCAGAACTTTGTCTAAAGTTATGACCAACATACCAAAAAATGTCACAGCTATAAGACGCAAAGGTAATTTCATGGTGTAGGAAGATTATTGCTAAATGATAAAAAAAGCTCATTCCAAAGGTTCATAAGAATTTTTTCATTAGTTACAAGATTTAAACTTTCTTGTCTAAAAGGAACTCATCAACTCCAAAATTGGGCATGACAGAATTTGGCCACATCCACATTTTAAAAATTTGAGGTGAGGGCATGATCACTGCTTTTTGGCTGGCTATGCCACTTGGATTTTTATCTGAATCCACACCTGCGGTGTAGCAGAATGAATTGTGATTTTTACTTCGGTATTGCCCTAGTCCCGTTTTTCTTTACTGTCTAGATTTTTATTGGGTTGATAGTATACAACAGATTTTCCCTGCATTGGTATCAAAGATACATAGGTTTTGCGGATATTAGGACAACCAAAATGTTGCCATTTAAGAGACAGTAACATGCAATTTTAAAAATTTGAGTGATTTTCAAAATTCCTTTTAAAGTATCCAATTGCACCAGATTATTTTCATTTGGACCTTACATGGAACCTTGTAAAAAAGCACTTCCTAGTTTTTGTTATGTTTAAACAAAACTTTGCTCAGCACTTCAATCATTGGTGAACTGTGGAGATACATTTGTTTTTATTTCAGATAATAATCTTTGAATATAAGAACTGATAAAACTGGATATTAATGGATATTAAAAATTTACTGCTGTTTTGATAGCATTTAGTAGTTGCAAGTGTAACTTTGTAAATATTGTAATGGCATATAAGCATAGGAAAGATTCTTCGTTGATATTTTTGAAAAAATGTTTCCCATAAAATAATTAATGGCAGCTTGATGTATTTCTATTTTCATTTAAAGGTACCGCCATCAATTGTTTTGCTTATTTCAGCTGACTTCTTCATTTGCCATTTTGAATACTCCCAACTATTTAGACATGGATCAAATATATCTTTTTGGATCAAAGTGACAGACCATGGGTATTATGTAACTTTTTGTTGGAGCCTTTTGTCCAAGAAATTCTCAATTTTGTGCTTGTGGATTTGGACCTTTTTTATTGACTAGATTTTAGTAGCAAGGCTGCTTAAAATATTTAATCACTTTGAACAAACAAAGAAAACAATTACATGTACTTTCGTCAGTTATGTTGTATTGACAGCACCTATTTGCTTACCTTGTTACCTCACCTTGTATTGGAAACCTTATTTGTTTTTTTTTTCATTTTTAGTGCCCATCATCTTGGCAAAGCAAAATAAGAAAATAGATCCTGATCTTAGAAGTCAGTTTTTTACACATGAAAATCCGTTATTTGTTTCACACAATGGTTGGAAACTGGGTGCCTTCAAATACAAGGAAATAGTGGAACCATTGCTAGATAATACGTGTAAATATAAAGATCCTGAAATATATCCATTTGGAGTTCCAGCAGAACCTCTTCGGAATTTAATTGAACTTCCATCCATTTTCAATGTAAGCGAGGAAGTTGTTATTGAAGATAAAGGCAAAAGAGAAGAGTTGTTAATGGGTAGCCTCATCAAGAAACGAAGAAAAAAGATGAACAAACATAAGTACAAGAAACGCATTCATCGAGATATTGCCAAAATAAGAAAAGTCCGGCATTTCAGATTGAAAAAGAAAAGGGGAAGACAAGCTCACAAGAAAAGGCTCCTCATAAAAAAACTCACAAATGTTTTAGAAAAGAATCCCAAATCAGACTTAATCAGTAGGCCATATGTAATTTATCGTTTGAAGAACTGGTAGCTTGTAGAGCGTTCAAAAAGTTGAAGAATTATCAATACTTTTTTACAGCGTGAGCATTCCGTTCTTATTATGTTTCTATGTTCCTTCATTGTTATCAAATAAATTACAAGAGGCAAGCTGGCTTTCGACTGTGAAGCACTTTAATTACGTCTTTTATATATAGCGGAAAAGCCACTTGAGCAAAACAAATATTTTTCATTGGTAAGTCTTGTTTTCAAACATTAGATATTAAAGTGCAACTTTTCGTATATTTTTTCCCTTTTGAAACAAATACTTTCCCAGAATTTTGCTAATTTTTTTAATACAAAATGAAGACTGCCTAGCGGTTCTTATGTAGGCAAAAGACACTGAGACCAATTAACCCTATCCTTAACCCTTAACCTTACCCTAATCATAACCCTAACCTTAACTCTAACTCTAATCTGATTGAATCTATACGGATAAATATATTTGTACTATATCCGAACTAGTTAATCCGCAAATTAATCCACTTTCCTGGACGAAATCAATTTTTGCAAAAGCCGCATTCAATTTCGTAAAAATTCACCCGGCATAGCGTAAATGGGTTTTAATTTTAAAGGCGCTGACAATTTTACCTTTCTACTAAACCCAGTACAAAGACGAACAATTTATTATAGGTACATTAAGGATCGTCGTTTTTTGGCGGAGGGGATGGGGAAGGAGGGAGGAAGGGAACATTGCTTCCGAAGGAGAGGCTAACTAAAAGATTACATTTTAAAGCTGGAGAGCCACCACTCTTGGTTGAGCCAGTTGCTTCTTCCACATAGATTTCAACCAATGGCTGAAGCTGATGAGCTCAAAGATTCGCCTGCAGGCTTTTTTGTGTTCAAATATAGCTTAGATAAGAAACATAATGAAAAGCAATTAAACTTTCATATCAGAGAAAACGACCTTGAATGAGAAAAGGGCAGATGTTCATTTCATTAAAAAACGGTTCTACTTGAATTGCCTTCAGGGGAAAGCTGATCGGTGACAAGGCTGTATCTGACAAATAAAACATCGTTTTTCAAAATACGTATTCTCTTTGCCTTCCGATTTAGGGGTGGATCCAGAGCAAATTTGGGCAGTTGGTGGTGGGGGCACTGAACAATTTTCAGAAATGTGTCTCTTATTTTAAATAGAGTGAGTCTGGTAACTAAGGAAACTTAATGATATGTAGTCTAAACATGATTGAAGGTCTGTTATTGAAATTTCTCTCTTAACCCTATTCACACAAAATGCCCCTCCCCCAAATTTGTTTTTCTTCCATAACTTCAGAAGTTTAAAAGCAATACCCCTCAGATCTCTTGAATTTTAGTTATAATCTGTCTGATACATGTTCCTAAAAAAAGATTAAATTTTTTTGTTAATCAAGGGGTTTATGTAGGGGTGTTTTCAAAGCTAATCAAGTAAAAAAATGTTTAATCTGCCACGGATTCGCAACAAAAGTAGATACATTGATGAAAATTAGTATCAAGGCATTAATTTGTGTCCTTTTTATGATTCTGACCAGAAAATGCAATTTCAACATCGTTTCCTATGGATTTTTCTTGCTGCGCATGCGCGCGCATTTGTTGACATATTTCTAGGTGTTGATGGTATGAGCCAAGAGGCATTAAAAATGAACTTGAACTAATTTTATCATTTTAAAAATTAATTTAATTATATATTTTATAGGAAGAACAATAGATGTCGAGTGCTTGTGTTGGAACGTTAATAATTTTCAGAAAAAACATTAAAATTATGTCATTCTTCTTGTTTCTGTTAGTAAAATTTATTAAATTTGCGTATTTTAAAATCCTAATTCAATAATTTTGGAATTTATATGAATTTGTTAAGATTTTTTTAAATTTTCTAAATTTTTGCTCCAGCCAGCCGCCATTATGATGACGTCATCTTTAAACCACGTGACTTTGGCATGAAACAGTAGCACCGAAATGTGGATAGATAAGAGTATCATCCTACCAAAGTTCATTGTCCTAGCTAGAAGGACAAAGAAATTACGGAGGGGGAGGGGGGGTGGCACAAAGTTTCAAAAAGCCTAGTCTGGATAGGGTTAATAGATAAATTTTCCGGCTGAACATTCGCTGCTTCACCATAGTTGCTCCAACTCTGTTAGTGTACTATGCAAAAGGGGCTGACTTTAATGCTTTTTCCATGCCGTATTTTGACTCAAATTTTTTGGGGTCTAGAAAATTTGCCGAATTCAATAGTACGTCATTATTGCAAAAAGTAAGATTGGTTGTTTAGTGTTTGACGAAGGCAGCCACTTTGGTTTGCGGAAGAAAAAGTTTTGCATTCTAGAGATTCTATGACATTCTAGAGATTGCCGGAAAATGCAGCTGGCCAAAGAAATTCCTTTCTTCAAAAAAGTCTGCCCCTTAATTCTTCTAATTATAGACCATTATCTCTTCTGTCTGTATTTGGTAAAATTACTGAGAAAATTATGTATAAACGTCTTTATGATTTTTTGGAAATACACAATATCCTGTACAGTCTTCAGTTTGGTTTTCGTGCTTATCACTCAATAAATCATGCACTGATAAGTTTAACAGAATCAGTTAAAAATTCTTTAGGCAAGAAAAAATTTGGGTGTGGCATTTTTCTTGTTTTACAAAAGGCATTCGACACTGTTAATCATCAAATCCTTCTTAAAAAACTTGAGCACTATGGTATTAGAGGGACGGCATTGTCTTGGTTTTGCCCTTATCTTAGCAACAGGGAACAGTATGTTTATGTTAATGGCCATAATTCCTGTGATCAAAGAATTACATATGGGGTCCCACAAGGATCTTGGTCAACTTCTTTTTTCTCATTTATATCAATGATATTTCCAAGGCTTTATCCAAAATATTTTTTATCTGTTTGCTGGTGATACCAACATTTATTATGAGTCAGGAAATTTCGAGCAGCTTCGAAAGGTTGTAAAAAACGAACTGAAGTATGTTTAAAAGGGGCGTGATGCATACAAGCTTGCATTGAATGTTTATAAAACTAGCTTCGTTATTCTTCATTCACCACAAAGCCCCTAAATGACACTATTGACAAGATTTATTGAGCAACTGGCGAGGAAGGCAAAATACGTTAAATTTCTCGGTCTTCTCCTGGAAGAAAATCTTTCTGTTAGTTTTATCTTTCTGTATGTTAGTTTAAAAGGTTAGCAAGAACCTGTGCTATATTCTTTAAGGTGAGACATCTGCTTTCCAAAAATGTGTCAAGTATGCAGGTGCAAGAACTTTGAGCGGCATCCCCACCTTGATCAAACAAGCCAATTTTGTAATTACCTTCCGTCGGCAAGTTAAACTCAATTTTTTCTCCATCAACTATCAGTCGTAAGGTCTCCATCAACTATCAATGATGACTTTCTGCAAATTGGTTCGATGCACACCTTTTTCTGAACATAAATGATTTTTTTAACGAAGGAGGTGCTCTCTCCTCGATTGGCTCATCTATTGAGAGAACTCCTCCTACAAGAAAAATTCCCTTCATGCAAATCTCTCCTTTCTTTTGTATTGTACTTTGTTTTGTAGAATTGTATTTCATTAATTTTGTAAAGCTTTTGTTGTTTAATTTAAAGTAATATTTGTGAAATTGTACTTTAAAGGGATTTACTAGTGGAATTTTAAAATTAAAGGAACTGAACTGAACTGCCTTCGAAAGCATTACTCTTCTAGCAAAACATGGTCCATTTTCGGAATAAAAAAGTTAACTTTGAGGTTATCCGTGAAGCTATAGGTCTCAGAAACTTTTTCACCTGATTCTCATTCTTCAAAATCATTGCACTTCTATAGAACAGTTTACGAATGCAAATCCATCAAGTCAACCATTCTTTGTTTTTATATAAAAATGCACTAGATATTACTGAACCAGAATATTTGTCTTAGCTTCCGATTTATCTTGATCTACGAGAAGCTCAGGCACGTAAATAATAGGGGGCGTGGGGGCGCAACGCCCCCCCCCCAAAGTTTGGAAAATCCAGTTACAGTTGGAAAACTTAACGGTTGACTTGGAATTTTTTTCTTAAGACCAAACTTTTGAATTTTATATTTTAAGAGGTTTTTTTACTTTAAAAGTAAAAGTTCTAAACATCAAAATTCACAGGCTGAAGCTGACCCATCCACTAATCGTTTTATATTGTGAATCCCGTCTCCACTGGATCCAAATTGCACAATTGCCCCGTTTGCTTTCTTTCTGACGAGAGTTGAATCAAATTACGAACAGGCAAGGTGATTTTCTTGATAAGAAACTTGAAACTTTACAGTTTGGAATAGTAATACCCGCATTGATCAGAAAATATTAGAGTGGGAGTTTTGTAAGAATCTACGAGTAGTTAATTCAATGAAAAATTAAGAATCTTTCAGAACTAAAAATTCCCAACACTTCTTATAAATAAAAAGTTTATGCTAAACTCCCCCTGTTATTTGTTAACGTAAATTCTATGACAAAAGTGCTGTGAAGCAAGAACACATTGCAAAAGCTGCAGTAGAAGTATTTGATCAAAGAAGAGTGTTTCATCTTTCGAATCAGGCATATGCACAAGTTTGCTCTCAAATCATCATTTTAATTGTAAAGAACGAAAAGGCATTTGGCCCTCTAAAAATTGTTAGTAGTTTTCTTCGATCAAGAACAAAAATAAAAGGCTCGAATTCTGGGTGCTTCTATATCGTGAAAAAAATGTATTTTAGATACATAGATCTGCATCAATTGGTCAATTGATCAATTTAGATAAAATTGATCAATTGATCTGAAAGAATAATACTAATCATTAAGTATATCTAATACTGGTTTTGCTTATATGTTGCTTTATTTCTTACAGTAAGTTTAAATGTTTGTTTCATGTTAATCAAAATTTAGAGATTTAGGCTTTTATGCTTTAGGCTAATTATTGGCCAAGTTCGGGCTATTTACAAATATCAATTTGGTAGGTACAGTAGATTTACTGATCGAATGAAAAATTTCTCACTTAAAGTTGGAATTTTCATCCTTCCACGCCCCTCCAAAATTAGCAACTTGTTTTCGTCCCTGGAGAAGCTTCTCTCTGTTTTAGTCTCAGCTTGTGCCTTCACTTTTGCTTTCAACGAGGGATTCTGTATCAATTCATCAGTGCATTTGACTTATCAGTGCAGTGCTTGTCAGCTTGTTATAAGTCCTCCGATTGGATGTATATTACACAACTGCAAAATAAACAGTATTGTTGATGATCACTTGCAACTGAAACACACTAAAAATACTTTTATATGACATTAATTTGCATGCTTAGCCCCTAATCAGTATAATGCAATATGGTTCCTGTTCTTAGTGCATTTTAACACAATACAAAATTCCCTAAAATACTCGTCATGGGGTTCACAATAAATCCGAATATGATATGCAGCCCTAAACTTTCTGTGAGAGCCCCTGATAGCCCCTGAGAGCCCCTGAGAGCCCCTGAGAGCCCCTGAGAGCCCCTGAGAGCCCCTGAGAGCCCCTGAGAGCCCCTGAGAGCCCCTGAGAGCCCCTGAGAGCCCTGTTAATCCTTTCTCTTACCATTCTCCAGTTTCTCTAAATTTTGAATTTTATATCGATAATGGCTCGGGGGAATGAAGGGGGCGTTGTCCTGAGTAGCCTCGAGTTGTAAAAGGCCTCTGATTGAGATCTTCGATCGGCGCAAAAGCAAAGCGTGTGACCACTGATCTGCGTGAGTGTGACGCGTAAGCCTGGCGAGCTGTGGTGGGAAAAGGCACACATTGAACTGCAAGAACGATGGCAAAATTACTCTCTGGTAATAGAAATGGCATTTCAAAAATTGCTTGCCAGGTAAGCAGCGTTCAGCCAATCATTATGCATCACCCCTGACTAAAGTTGTGAAGCTCCTGTATAATACCAAGTTGCATAATTTTTCCTTCATACCTACTGCCTGGCCTAACATGGCCTAACATTGCATATTTTTCATCAAGTCTATATTTCAATTTATACATTAGAGATTGTAGAAAATAAGGATCTGTCTCACCATCGTGATTTTTATTTTTGTGCTTCTCGTACATTGCCTCTAAGAGCACTGGTTTCCCGAACGACTCACTATACTGAATTGTTTTCAATTAGAAAAATGCCTAAGCCAAGATTCTTTATTTCCAGGCAATGAGAGCAAGTTTGGCGGCTCGCTGCTACAGTCCTGCAAGCTCTGTTGTAAGTTGAATATGTTTTCACACTATTTTCCTCGTTGATATCTTAGCAGAAACACATGCATATTTTATTTGACCTGTTTTCAGTAATAATAGTAAAAGTGACTGTTAGGACAGACTAATGGTAATGATCTGCAGTGTGATAATGTTAATGTTGTGATATTTGAGCTTCAGTGCACATTCAGACTCCTAGACTCCAATTTGTAATGGCTTTTAGAGATCTCTTGATATACTGTAGTTTTTGGAACAGAATTTGGCTCCTGTAAAAAGCTACAGCATTTGAAAAAGCAGTGATGGGCCTTCATCATGTCAAAATCTTGAAATGGCTAAGATTATTGTACCATTTTCTTTTAAGTTCAGGCCAGCGTGAGGAAATTTTGGCTAAAAGATTATAAAAATAAACTTCGGTGAACAAGAACCAAAATGTGTTCTTTTAATGGATATGTACATATGTATCATATTGTGTTTTCAAGATTTTCTACTGTCAAAATGTACATTTTCCTAGCTATGTTCCAAAAGTTATTTTATTTTTGTCTGTTACTGCCAAGCTTTTAAATGGATTCACATGCCTGAAATAACAGAGAATTGGCAACTCACCTCACTCTAAAATCTAGCACACACTGCAGGTTTTTATCAGGGATACATGCAATTTCTATCTTTGAGGAGAAAAATTGTGCTATGTGCAGCAGAAAATAGTCCAAGATATTATTGTGAACGACAGATTTCAGGATCAAACATGTTTGGTTTTTTGTCATTGATGATCAGAGACAAGTATCATGCTCTGTGCTGTGCTCAAACAATAAAAATTGTTGAGCTGGAATGGTGCGGTGCATAGCAGTGAAATATTTCTACACTCCTTAAGGGACAGTCTTTTGTCAATAATGTTTCTTGGACTCAGAAATAACACCATCCATAGCAAGTTCCTGTGATAAATTATTAAAGGCACCTTACTGCATTTATTTCGAAATAATGGATGTTAACCATCTCTGCACAGCACAGCCTTCTTCTACTTCTAAGGAGTAGAGGAATGGCCAGCACTATTGCATACTTGCTTCTTAATGCCATGTTTTCATTGAACATATACTTTGAGTCTGGCACCAACTGCCTAAAATGAGGCTGTGCTGTGCAGAGAATTGCAATGAAAATTGTGCAGTATGTGACAACAGAAGATTTTTTTAAAAGACAAAAACTGCTTGTATGGCCCATAAAGATCTGCATTGTATGCTGGGCTTTAGTGAAAGTAGGCAAGCCCAGGACCCTTACCAGTAAGCCATACTCACACCTAACCACTAGTGTCTTATTTATGTGATTCCACATGATGGTCCGGATGATGGTATACTGGTCAGGCCAGGGTATGTTCTTCATACAAAGTCACTAAAAGTCAATTTTTAAGAAGGGAAGTAAGAAAGCTCTTTGTGTTTGCTTCCACAAAGTGAAATTTAATCTGAGATTTTTCCCCAAATTTGGAATTAATAAAATTGAAATAGAAAACAGTTATTTCAAATTGATTGAATTTGATTCTCCATGAAATAAAACTTTTTAGAATTACAAACAATTGCATACCTATTCTGACTTATTTTGTGGGGCATTTTCCCTTTGAAATAAAAAAACATACTAATTTTTATTGGTTCTTAACTTTTTATGTGGATCCATATGTTGTTCATGTCACAAATTGGTAGATTTATTTTGTATTGGGTTTTGCATGAAGCAATATATAGTACAAATACATTGAAAAACGATCAGTATTATTTTAGTCTTATCTTAAATTAGCTGTTTTGATCTTGTCATCAATTTGACTTTTTTGCAGCCAAATACGAAACTTCTGATTGATGGAAAGTTTATTGAATCACAGACCAATGAATGGATACCACTTTATAACCCAGTAAGTCAAATCTTTAAATTTATATATATACTACTATAATATTTGCTTCTTATTCTATAGAAGAAAAATTATAAATAACGGCTGCAAAGGAAGCCCATGGTCTAAGGAAAACACAATTTTTTTGCACTCATCTTTTTCATTATCTTTTGTTACTATTAGCTTTATAGTTGTAATAGTTATAGCAAAATGTTAAGGGACTAGTAGCATTTGTATGTTTATTAAAAACATGTTGTGATGGGAGTGAGAGGAAATTGACAATCATTAGTGTTTGTCATATGTAACTTTTAAGGAAAACCTGACGTCCATCCATTGGAGCCCTCAGTGTTAATCACTCCCTTTAGCCAGTAAAGAAGGGGAATCCTTGCGTCATCAAATGTTGCTTCCATCAGGGCAACTTAAGTCTTCCTGTGACCCGACGAGAGTCATGCATAAATTTCCTACTAGAATGAAAGAATAAAAGAAGAAAGGGTCATGTTCCAAAAACGGTGATGATGTGTTACCAGTTTTATTTAAATTAAAGTATGAGCTACATGTATATATATAAAGGTTTAAGCAATTTTACAACCAGCATAAAAGTAATTTTCTGTTTTGGTGACTTAAAATGATTCTTTATTCATGAAGGGGCTTAACTATAATATTAACCATCTTACAGGTGGGGGAGGGGGTAGACATAAAAATAAACAACATTCAAAAATAATCCTAAAGAGATCAATCATATGATGTCCATGTATGTATGGATGTCTTTAATAAGCTATTTGAGAAGAATATAGATCAGAGCTCCGAGAAGAAACCAATTGCAAAAAATGTAAGAGAACATTTGTTTTAATCATTAAAACTACTGTGATATGCGAGATACATCAAGGGACTTTGGAGCATCGACATAGCAAGAATTTTCAAGAATTCTGAAAATTATAACAAAAATTCTTAAGCCAGTTAAAGAGGCACTAATATATGATAAATTGCTTTTGTCTTCATGTCTTTCCTTTTGATGAACATGAATAAAACAAGGTGCTTCTTGCAAAAGATTATATTCTTAAAAATTTTCTGCAGAACTTTTTGCATGAAAAATTGGTCAGGTATGTTCCATGCCCTCGCTTCCATAACAATTGTTCTAATTGCCAAAGAAGCAACTTTTTACAAAATATTTCCCAGCCCTTCCAAAGCTTACTTGTGTCAAACAACGAGTCAACTTTGCTTCACACAGAAGATATCCTGGTTATGTTATTTAACATCAGATTAAAGTAGTTGTAGAGGCTAGAGCATATGACATCCCTTTTGCTGATTATATCAGTGTTAACCAGTTTCAACAAATTTTTTGTGAAGCTGCAAATGGTTTTTTGATCCAGCAAAGAAAGAATAAGATAGTAGTATAATGTACACAAAAAGTAGGCACTTTTTAAAATGATAGTGACAGATAGATAATTACCATAGACCAATTTGTTGTGACAAGAGTATTTTCTTAGTTTTTTGCAAAAGTGTAATTTTCCAGGACCAGTCAGTGTGGTTTGTTGTCATTGGAAGTATTCTATAACAGAGTATCTTAGAAAGAGCTTACACTGTGCAGGCCTTGCTCTAAGCAAAATGAAGGTGCTCCATAAAAAGAGCCCCTTAGAAACTCTAGGCGCTCTATTTAGCACCTTTAAATAAAATATCCTTGAGAGCATCCTTCAAGAGCTTTGGAAGATCGAGAGCTTCATATCGAAAGCTTTGGAAGAGTGTTAAATAAGAAATTCAATGGTGATACCAAAAAGCACCATAATATTAAATAACAAAACATGCAGCAAACACTATGTTAATACAAATATAGAAATATAGGAAAACGCATGGCTTTAAGTCGAACATTAGCTTTGTTTCCCTTTTTATGCTATCCATTCTATAAGAGACACTAGAACATCTACTACTCACGAAAGCAAATGAAAACTGAAAAGCAATGCGGTAATTTGGACAGAAATGTGATCTCTGATTTGCAAAGGTGATTTTAAATTATTAAGAAAAACAGAAAATAATACTTCAACAGAAGATTAACGCTTGCTCGAAAATCAAATAAATCTTCCGGAGATGAGGGTTGATGGCCTGTGACCTTGGTGGTTATTAGCGGGTTATTAGATTAAAAATGGTATCGAAAACCCAACGTTGAATTTGCTGCATTTTTTTCTCAAGGGGTGATCTTACGCAAATCATAATATTGCGGTCTATTGGGAAGATTGTTTATGCTTGATCAAGTTTATTAGACAAAGGCCAAGAAATTATTTTGCTCCGTGGTAATATTGTTTTGACGTTTTGAGGGGCTCTATAAATCGCTCTCCAAGGCTTCTTTTGGGTGCGCTATAGGCGCGCGCGCTCGATCGAGCGCCTTTCCGGGCAAGGCCTGACTGTGATAAAAATTTTTCAAGGCATAGTGGCCAAACTAAAGAAGAAAATGGCATTTCCAGTATATTTCTCCAGTTATTTGAGCCCTTATTTTAATTAAACCACTTCCACCCCCTCCCCCTGGAACAACAAATAAATGTGAAATCACTGAAGCAAACTCACCTGCTTTGTTAAAAAATCTATTGAAATATAATCTTTGTAGGCAACAAATGAAGTGATTGGCCAGGTACCCAAAGCAACCCAAGGTGAAATGGAAGCAGCCGCAAATGCTGCTGCCAAGGCTTTTCCTGCCTGGTCCAACACCTCCATCCTCGCACGTCAGCAGATAATGTTCAAATTCCAACATCTTATTAAAGAGAACATGGTTAGTAACAGTTAATTATCTTTGTTTTTGCCCAAAAACACTGGATCTCTAATATGCTAGCATTCTTCTTGGTCTTCTTTCTATTTATTCTGATTTTAACCTTCAAACTACTATTTCTATTTCATGACTACTGATTTTTGACAATCTTTGAAGATTTAGAAACAATTTTTACTTTGAATTAAAATATTTTATGTAACAGGATAAACTGGCAGCAAATGTTACTTTGGAACAAGGAAAGACCATCCCAGATGCTGAAGGAGATGTCATGAGAGGATTACGTAAGCATTTTTTAAACAGCCTTTGTGATCTTGAGTGCTTATTCGGGCAATCTAATTTACTCATGGTGAAATCTGTTACTTGCTGAATTTTTATTTTAGTGTGTCAGTGAAGTGGAAGGACATACCAGTAAAGTAAAAATGCAGTTGACTCTTAGAAAAAGTCCCAAACTTATTATCCAAATTCAGTTACATCAATTTTCTCTTTTAAAACCCTCTAATCTGGGGTGGGCCGGTTCCAATTGCACAACATTTTGCCGTATTAATGCAGTGCTGCTAAACAACATACTTTTGTGGTAACTAGATGACAGTATCACAGAGATCTCAAGTAATGCTGATAAAGCTATTAACGACAAAGCTATATAGGTCCAGTTTCTGAATATGTGGCTCAATCATTATGAAGCTATGTCAAGAACAAAGTCCAATAATTTTGTAGCCATTATTATAATAATATACATAAAGTACATATAAGTGTTGAAGGCATATGCTGGAAATGACACCCTTATTTACGTTAATGATATTTTATGTCAGTCGTTGCTAAAGACACTACTAAGTTGTTTAAGTCTTTTAGCTTGAGGATCTGGTGAGTTAATTGGATAGAGTTAGAGTGTCTGCATTAAACTACGATTTTCTTTGCATGTTGCATTTTATCTACAGTACAGTACATATGGTATACTTACGTTATGAATTTTTATTTTTTCAGAGGTTGTCGAGCATGCTTGCTCAGTCACGTCTTTGCAGCTTGGAGAAACTTTGCCATCAATCTCAAGAGACATGGATACCCATTCCTACCGTGTCCCAATTGGTGTTTGTGGTGGAGTTTGCCCGTAAGCATGCGCTGCGTTTACAGTTTGTTACAAATCATTCTCGCCGCAGCAATCATTCAATTAAGAGTAACCAGCATCATGTTTTCTCTAATGAGGCTCGATATAGTTACATCTTTTCTGCATTTGTTTTGTATTTTATTTTAGTGAGCCCTAAGCATGCTAAAGAATTCAAGCTGATAGGTAATATTTAACAGGCAAACACAGAAGACTATAGTAGATATATTTTTAGTCTTTGTTATTTTACTCAATTAAAGATTTATTCCAGTTAAGTTTGGGAAGGACATTGTTTTAAGAAGAAGTTGTTGAACTTGAATCGAACATATTTTATTTGCGTTGATATGTTTATTTGTTATCTAGATTTTTAACTTCAAGAAAGAGTATTTTGAGATGCAGAGCGAAATAAGCTAATTAAAAGACAACCAAAACGAGATACGAAGATGCAATGGCAGCTCTTTATATGTTGTTGTTGTCCTCTTTAGTCCCTCACCTTTCTCAAAATCTGACCTTTTTTTCATTCTAGATTCAATTTTCCTGCTATGATTCCTCTATGGGTGAGTCAAACGGTTGATGACCTTAGTGAAAGTAGTTTAGCAAAATAGACCAAAAGGTCTTGTTATATGTGAGTTTCTTAGAGACGTTCTCGGCCTCTCAAACTCTATTTAAAACGAAAGCTTTATGATTTGGAATAGATGCCATGGGCAAACAAAGTTCTATCGTATAGAAGAGTTTTGAGTAACTGAAAACATAAGAGCTTAAATTAGGAGAAAGCGTTAACATTTTCACAACGACGAAAAAGACGCAGGCTGCATTTAGATATCGTATTCCCTCTAATGAGCCGTCTTCTTTTCAATGAGCAACCTTCTCTAATGAGCGCCCACCTTTTTGAGCAAAAAATTGAATGACCGCCGCGCTTCAATAAGCCACCCCCCAAATATTTTGAAGACAGATGGAGACCAGCAAATCATCACAATAGAAAATTTAGATATTCAAGATACCACACAATTATTTATGCAAATCGACGAGGGTTCCGACTTAAAATAATTGAAATCTTGTTAATGTTTTGCCTTTAACAAGGGTGATGCAAATGGAATATAATTTTTGTAAAAATAATGATCGTTTGAATTTCAACGCTCAGTTTTTTATTGGTGGACTTTTATCCATTTACAGTGAGCGCCTCTCTCAAATGAGCGCCCCCGTCTCTGAGGCCATAAGTTAAATGAGCGCCTCTTGCGCTTATTAAAAAGAATGCGGCAGCTCCCTATGGCACATAATATTTTTCGAATATTGGGCATGTTATATATGTACAGACTACTATTCAGTTTTCTATCATTTTTTTCTTCTGTAATGTAGCCATAAGATTCCTCCAACTTGAAACAAAAAATACGACAAAAGTAGTGAATAATTTCTTATTTATCACGTTTGCCTCGCTTTTTCTTGTGTTTAGATGTTCCCTCTGGCTATTGTTTGTGGCAACACATATGTGATGAAGCCTTCAGAGCAAGATCCTGGGGCAGCAATGATGCTGGCCGAACTAGCTCAACAAGCAGGGGTGCCTGATGGCGTTCTTAATGTCATCCATGGTGCGAAGGAGTCCGTTGACTTCATCTGCGACAATCCTACCATCAAGGCCATTTCATTCGTTGGATCAGATTTCGTTGGACAATATATTTACGAAAGAGGATCTAAAAATGGAAAGAGAGTTCAGTCGAACATGGTTAGTTGCTAGCTGCCTTCTTTACCTGTTCACTGTTTTTTTTTAATTTTTGTTTACAACGATGCTGTGTAAAATATATCAATTTTTCAGTCAATTGTTTTATACCGTTTTATGAAAGAAAACTTCCGTGCATTAGAACTACCATTCTCGTTTTTGCTACTATTTGATATAGTTTCGATGTAACTTGGTTGAACTATCTCGTAGGGTGCGAAAAATCATGGTGTGGTAATGCCTGATGCTAACAAAGAAATGACCCTTAACCAGGTAACATCAACATTGATAGAGGATTCTATTAAAATGATATTTTCCCAATAGGTTTTATTAACAAACTTTCATTGACAATCCATATCAGCCAAGAGATAGCTACAACTACAAAAATAAAAACTATCAAGTAAAACTTGAATAATGTTAAAAGGAAATTGCATACAGGGGCTAGTTTATTAAATCAAATTATACATTAACGACTGGAAGGCTCCAAAACTGTGTAGCAGGAAGTCAGCAAAAACAACAAAATAAAACTGGACATCTTGTACAGACCATTATTGAAAGTCTAGTTATCCAGTCATGTCCAAGTTATTGAACTCTAGTTCTCTAGTCATCCCCATACTTATACGAATATTTGCTGTGCTTTTTTACGTGGTTTACACCCATCGATAGACAATAGGCTTCCTACTGTTCACTTTTTCAGCGTCATTGATGTTCTAGAGCCGTTCTATTCTGTATTTTACTTGAAATTATATTTATTCGGGTGGAAATCGAGGCTGTTTACCACAGCTTCAGGAAATGTTTTCCCTAACCTACCGCATAGATCGAATAAAAAATAGCTAGCTTTACTTTTGCCAAATTATTGGATACAATTAGTAATATTTGCTCAATTACGGTTGGGCTGTTCTAGCTATTTTCCGGAATCAGATTTCTTTTTTCTGTATACGCTACGGTAGATATTTATAGAGTTCTGTGAAAAGTGCCTCCATGAGAAGATATCCATTCATCTTGTAGTTGGTTGGGGCTGCCTTTGGCGCTGCAGGACAAAGGTGCATGGCTCTTTCCACGGCTGTTTTTGTTGGTGAAGCAAAAGAATGGATTCCTGAACTTGTTGAAAGAGCAAGAAAGTTGAAAGTCAATGCAGGTAAGAGCTTAGTCTAAAGAACTCGAAATGGCTAAAGGCATGTACTAATCTGTATTTTTTAGTAGTTTCTGCATTATTTTGTGATTTTTGTAAATTTGAATTAATGCTGAATCTTGTATCGTTTCAATCTGCTCCGTCAACAGGTGACCAACCGGGGGCAGATCTGGGTCCACTTATATCACCTGCAGCTAAGCAAAGGGTTCTCGATCTTGTCCAGAGTGGCATAGATGAAGGGGCAAAGGTGAGTCCAAATTTATATTTTTATCAGCGGAGCAGAACCTTTTACTGTGATTGATTTAAAAATAATTTGCTTTGTATGTTAATTTTGAAATGCATCTTTTCAGATCGATTTGGATGGTCGTGGCATCTCTGTTCCTGGCTACGAAAAGGGCAACTTTGTTGGACCCACAATTCTTAGCGGTGTCAAGGTTTGAAAAATGTCATTCGTGATAACAACCCTGATGGTATAATAAAAAACTGCACGCGTATTATTAAAATGATCTGCTTGGTGTCTTATGTTATATTCTCCTGAGGACGATTCTCCAAACAGGGCATGTTACTTTATTGCAATCAAAAACGCATAAAAATGCTTTGCATAAAACACAAAAGTGTTGCTTTATTGTGGAATGCCTAAATTATGGCTTTCTACCCAAACATTTACTATCTATGTATGTTTAATATGAACAAATTTTTCCTATTGTAATGAATTTGATTTTCATCTAAATACAGCCAAACATGAAGTGTTACACAGAAGAAATCTTTGGCCCTGTTTTGGTCATTTTGGACACTGATACTCTAGATGAAGCAATCGAAGTTGTTAATTCGAACCCCTATGGGAATGGAACTGCAATATTCACTGCCTCTGGTGCCGTTGCTCGAAAATACCGCGACAGTGTCGATGTAGGACAGGCAAGTGCATTTTCAGTCATTGTTACTATAACTGCCAATCTACCAAAAGCAACATGTTAATAGGAATTTTTCGATTAAGGTTCTTCTAAAACATTATCATTTGTTTCTCTATCAATGGTCAATCAAACAGGTTTTTTGTAAGTTTCTCTTGAAATATTCTTTGCAAGTCAAAGTTGCATTTAATGGGCTTAAAAAACAATTTTATGTTAGGAAGCACTAATCAGCTAAGACCAAGCACGAGGTCTTTAGGATGAGGTCAGAAGCAAATTCACACTTTCCTGTTTTAAGGTTGCCGAGTCATATGGCCAAAAATGTTTGCAGTGTAAGGGCTGTCATTGCTTTTCGCAAATGAAGGATCGTATTTGATCGAAATGTTCATCATTTATTGTAATCAAAAGGTTCATTTTGACGCTTTCAAACTTTAAAGTTTCTGGGACTTCAAGACTTCGAATTCATAAGAAAAAATCACAAACAAAGCCAAGGTGCATGAAATAATGATGACTTTTATCAGCATAGAAGTAATTGAGAGGTTCGTGTTTTGAACGAGTTGCAAACTATGTTAAGAATATGAAAATGGACTTATCATTGGCAAAATATGAATTCTTAAGAATACCTATGTAATGATGACTTGCAGAATTGAATAGCAGTGTTTATGTTCCTCGAAGCCAACGATGTATTGTATGAAAGACCGTAACTGGCACTGTGGCAACATATTTTCTTCTTGCCATATAGGTTATTGATGCATTGTTTTGTAAATCTAGTAGAAACTGTTTTAGCATGCCGGAGAACTGACTTGATATCTGTTATCTGGTCTCACTTTCTTTAATGACATAGAGAAGCTGCATATTTACTTGATTTCCACCAACAGTTATCGTTTTCATAATTGCCAATTAAAGTTGATTCATTCTTCATAACAGATTGGAATTAATGTACCAATTCCTGTTCCGCTTCCAATGTTCTCGTTCACTGGATCGCGTGGTTCTTTCCGTGGTGATATGAATTTTTACGGCAAAGCTGTAAGTTTCCATATTCGATTTATGTAACACAAGATTCTGTGACGTTTCTTAGGACACTTTGATTGATGCATCTCCAATTTAAATGCAGTTAGAGACGCTGCTCTGTCTAATCACGTTGCTACAATGTTCGATATCCAGTGATAAAGCATTTTTGCCTTTGTTTTACTCTGCTTTTAAGAAAGTTTTTTTTTAATCGATCAACCTTGTCTGAACCGCTCTTGTTAAGAGTGTGCAATCGATCTTGTCGAACCAAAGTGCAAGCATAGTAAAAGCGGAACGAATTCTGGACTCGGTCAAAAAGACGAACTGTACTATATTTGTAATATTTTATTAATAGTAATGCTGATCATGTTCTTTAAGAAACAGAGACTCTAATCAAAATTGAGATGTTATGTTTAACTTATTTGTTCTAGGGTATTAACTTTTTCACACAATTGAAGACAGTGACAAGCTTATGGAGAGCAGAGGACACTTTGAGCAAAAAGGCGGAAGTAGCCTTCCCAAAACTTTAATTTTATGTAGTAGCGTCAGACGTACATAGCCACTGATAAGCTGTTTTTCAATTGGCTACATCATCACACTGTATTTGTATCTTTACACGTGGGGACATCTTGGGTGAAGTGGATGTTGAGATTTCTTCACCAGCTTTGTATTTATAACTGTTAATTTCGTATACTGAATGAATGCTTGTGATTAAATGAATTATTGTCATATGTGCATTTTCTGTGCCTAATATGAATCTATTTTGAAATGAATACTATCTATTTTGATAATTATATCATTACTCAATCCTTGTTGTTGTTAATGGTACCGTATTTCGATTTCCGTGTCTATAAATTGAAATGACTTGCTTGCACCCTTCAACTGGGTTTTCTATAATGTTGGATTCTTAGTCTAAAGATATTTGTAAGCATTGCGAAGAACTCCTTTCCAAACAGCTGTCAAATTCTTCATAAAGACAGTTTTACATTGACTTTACACTGGTTTCACGTTTGTTACTATTGTTGTTCCTATAAATTGAAAAACAAGTATTTTTTGTTGGTATATTTTAGTCACAGATCCAAAGTGTGGCGTCATAAAAGTACAATTTTAGATTTTTTTTACTTTGTTCACATTACCTGAGAGAATACGACAAAATACCTCTAAAGGTGAGGAATCAGTTGAATTGATTTGATTGCAAACTGACTGAGGTATAGCAAGCTACAGAACGGAGTTTTGATAACGGGTTAAAAATGAATTTTAACATTCATGCAATGAGGAGTGGTGACGTAAAAAGCATGGTTACGCTACTCATTGTCCTGTACTACAATACTTGTTTGATTGAGACAAACGAAAAAGGTTTGAAAGGGGCTAGTTACAAGCGCAGCAGCATATGACGCAGGCCTGCAACAACGGTTAAGCTTGCAGAAACCACTTTATTTCGGTAACAGAAAATAAAAACAGGAAAAATGGATTTTACAAAAAATTCCAATATTGACTATCACATTTACCACAAGTGACTGCATTTGTAACTGAAAAATTACAACTTTGGGTTTTGCTTGGAATTAATTTAATAATCAACTTAATTCTGTGAAAAATATATTGACAATTCCACGTTGAGATGGGCATTTCACAGTCCCCATCTATGTTATTGCTGCCCACATCAAGACTGGAGGGAAAGAAACCAACGTCTTTCTGACATTAAACAAAACATTACACTGATGAACCATCCCCAGACAGACGAAATGACGTATTCCGTCGTTAAAAAAAATTCTTGGCCTTGGCGAAGGATAATCGTTATGAGTCGGACAATGCGCCGTATTTGGCCTGCTGTTAAAGAAATGTTATGCTTTCTGAAACGCAAATGCGGCCAGTTTCGACTTGCTGTTCTTTGTACTAATGTCGATTTTTTCCTTTTCCTGGCTGCAAACTTTAGTAGAGCTTTTTACAACCTCAAAGCTTTTCTCTGTTTTCTCTTTACTTCGATCGTCCAGTCCATTTTGGTTTTTTGCCTTTGCATTCCATGTCTGTTTTTCTTCGCCGGACAATTGTTTCCATTCAGCAAGTGCTTTCTTTATAATTTCTTCGGCATCCATACCGTCCCATTCGGTCGAGACGTGTTCTCTAAACAACAAAAACCCAGTTTTCCTGCAAAATTATAAGCATTATCAGCACTGAGAAAGGATTTCATTTTTATAAATCAATCTTTTTTGTGAAGTTATATGTGAAATACACATAAGAATAACGGATTTGGCATCATAGAAAAACACTATCTTCATGATCAGTTTTTAGCAGTTACGTATAGAAAGAGCCATGCTATGACAAAATTTGATTGGTGGTAATTAGTCTTGTACATAAAAAACTTGGAGTTCTCAGACAGCTGAGGTGTTCGCAATAATATGAATTTTTGAAAAAATTTTCCATTGTAGATATTTTTTTCAATGAAATACGATTATTTATTTTTAACTTTACTTATAGTGATAATAATATAACAATAATAATTATAACAATAATAATATAATAATAATAATATAATAATAACAATATTGGATGGAAAACTAATGACAGCATAAATATCAGCTGTTTGAAAAATATACAGGTCCATCTTATTTTCATTTGAGGAAAAAATTCAATTGGGAAACACCTTTACCTGGAAAACATTGATACATTGATTCTAAGAACTACAATGTTTTTAATTTTATCAGCGAACAAAATAAAGTTTCATATCCATGTGAGCAAAAATAAAAATACTGCATCGAGCAAAAATGCCGTGACCAGGATTCGAACCTGGGTTATTGCGGCCACAACGCAATGTACTAACCACTATACGATCACGGCCATGTAGGGTGAGGAAGCAAATATCCGACATAATGTAATATGCGCACCCGTGACTGCACGTGGTCAAATATCTTTCGCACAGTTTTGAAGCAAACAAGAGCTTATAAACAGGGACGATTTAATAACATTTTATTATTTTTAAATTATACTCTTGTCACAAGTGACCTTGAGCCAGGGCCGTCGAGAGACGGGCCGGGCCCCAGGGCTGGGACTGTCATGGGGCCCCACCGTCGAAGGCTGCAAAAACCTTTTTTGGGTTACGCCCTTAGTAATGCAGTTAGATGGACTGTAAAAGGCATGAATTTTGAAATCAACGCCCCTGAAACACTTGAGTTTGTATTTTAAGGTCTTCAACAGAACATGTAATTAGTGACTATATAAAACAAATCATTAAAACAAATCAGTTTAAAAATCAGAGTTAATTTAATGTTTAAAAAACTGCTTTTCTTGCTTTCCTTATGGCGAAATCCTTAATCTTTTCTTGCTTTCAACCATCAGAAGAAGTCAATTTTGATTTTTGCATGGCAAACAATAGAGTGCAGCCTTTGTAGGACTGAAAACAAGCCAGCATCTTACTACCTCCCCATTTTGCTGCTTTACATTTAGGACCGTTTTTGGGAATTTGTGGCTGTCGCAATCTTTGGGAAACTCTGGAGGATGAGGCAAATGACCAGTTCTAACAACCTTTTCTAACTCCTTTATCGTTGGAAATCCGGTCAATGTGCCGACATCAAAACTAGATGATCCACTATGAACAGTATCTTGATTTAATGATGAATTAGTAGGGCTTTCTCTACTTTCTGTGGTGTCATGGTCTACCGAAGCAGCCAAGCCGTTTGTGTCTTCTTCTTCTTCAGCAATGCTTTGAGCAGAGCTTTCGCCAGGTTTATTGAAAGTTGAATTACCTTCCTTGTCTCTTTTGTAAGCACCTACCTCAAACAATGTGCGAGAGGCCCTCTTTGCTTCATTTTCTCGTATCTTTTTTTCCTGCCTTTTCTGAGCACCAGACTTGTGCCTGTAAGTTGACATCGCAGGGGTTGGTTGGATCGCGATCCCGCTTAGTGATTTTGGTTAAGACTTTTATAGCGTTTGGATTTGTTATGGTTCTTCGCATGTGCTTCTTCTCTGGTGTACGCCGTGAATGGAAGATTTACTTTTACGTTTATAGGAAGTCCACACAAGGAATAACTAAAACATTTGACCTAAAAGTAGATATATGTGTGTGCAATCGAATTTTTCGGCTTCCGGAGAAGTATATTATGATCGTATCGTCAATATTTTAATTATAAACCAACAAGAAAAGGCCCTCATCATAGACCAGCTTTTTGATCCCATGTTGCAAGATTAAATTTCGAATATCAATCGGGTCATGGGCCCGCCCTGCTAATGCTGCTAAGGGAAAACTCATAGCCAAAAATACATACCTTATTTTCTACGGGCCCCTCAAGGCCCCGGGCCCCCTGGTAACTACCCTGGTTACCCCCCCCCCTCTCGACGGTCCTGCCTTGAGCCCATCCTGTGACATTCCACTATGCGTGGTTTTGGTGGACAATGATGTTAAAATTTAAAAATCCTACTAGGAATTGAAAAATTACTTTAAAAGGTGTACTACAGAAACTCGCTACACTCTTTTTTTATAAGAACCAGTAAATTTAAGTTCAGGCTGACTGTTCTTAATTTTTTCGAAAATCTGAGGCTGGATTGTTCTTAATTTGTTCTTAAATTAAGAGGGTGTAAGCAGTGCTATTGCTAGCTTTTTCGCTCTAAGGAGGTGTTCAGGCCTCATTTGCCAACAAAGTGCGTGAGACAGCCTTAATTTGCTGACAAATTTGCATATTCACCGAAAAGGCACCCACACATCGCTAAAAATCCTCGATTTTGAGAAAAAACGTTGTTCAAATTGCATTTTGCAGAAGCACAGCCCCAGCTTGTTCTAAATTTGTTCTTAACTTTTGACCAGTTTTGAGGCTCGTGTTCTTATAAAATTGTTCTTATAAAAAAAAGAGTGTATTAGAAAAGAGTACTAGGCAATCTGAAAAATTTAAGAAAGTCATCTTCTGACTTTTTCGAAACTTTCTGTGGCCATTTGAATTTTGGCTATCCAATACTTTTTGCTGTCGTGCCGCCATTTCTGTCTCAGCTTGTACAATACTTTTGCTCACGAAGTGTACATTCAGAAGAAAACAAAGGAACATCCGCTAAAAGTAGTACCATGAGAAATTAGCCTTGTCCTGTGAATAGTGTATACAACCACGTGTATCAATCGCTTAAGTTTCACAAAATTCAACAAAATTATATTTAAGTCTTGTTTTGAATTCAAATATATATATCAATTCACTTAAAATACTTACGTCTTGTTTTTCGCTGGCTTTGTTCCTTCTTCTTTTGCTTTCGCACTTTTAGTCCCTGTTTTTTGAAAAAGAGTGGCTTGTCGAGAATCACCTTTCTTTCTGTCGGTCTTTGATTGTCCATTCATTGATCCTTTATTTGTTTCTGAATGAACTGCAACAATGAAAACTGAAACTTAATAAACAAGAAGCGCATATAATTTGAAATAGCTTTTACTTTTCATGTTTTCACTCTCTCTTTCTTCTATAATCAGCCAGACATCCAGATTTTGAACGAAAAACCAGCAAAGTTTATTTAAGTATGGTTCACATTTGCAAGACAGATGAAACTTGGGTCTGAGAAATCAAGTTTTAAAGGGCAAATAAAGGCAAACATGGCGGACAAAAGATGGACTGATATTCTTGGTTCCACGTGGTGGTAAGCATGGTGCTTAGAGTTATAGTTGTTCCAGGATTGTTGCTAGAGAATTTTTACGTCGCCATTAATATGCAGAACCAGACTACGTCATGTCTAGTGCTGCTACAGACAATACAGAATCTTTACTTTTGTTGTTGTTTATTAGTGGTATAAAATTTTCAGCAGTGACATAAACAAAATTATTGGTATCTTACACTAATAAATCTTTCTTTAGGTTTGAATTTGTGCCTTGTCGTTAGGCGATTACAAACTTTACAGCCTTTTTTCATAAATTGAAGATAGTAATTTCTATGCGACAAAGGCCGCTGGAATACTGTGGCCACACGAAAAGAAAAAAACAACTTGCCTCTCTGTATTTAACACGAGACTTCGGTAGCACATGCAAAAAATGAAGATTCAGACTGGAAATAACCTAGTTTCTTTGTAAACAGCTTAAAAAAGACTTTGAAGTAAGAAATACCTGGTTTGTTTTTTGGCGGTAAGGTGCTGGTGAGGCTTTCAAAATATGAGGTTCCCTTACTCGAGCTCAGCGCTTTCGCCTTCGTGTTTGGGGTTAGTTTAAAAGGGTTGCTCCGCCCATCATTGAGCAAGTAGCTGTTGGCTTTGGCAGGCTGCGTTGGCGCATCTGCGTCATCTGCAATAAATAGTTGGAGCCAGGGAATGTCATTAAGACACACAAATTTCTTTTCTGTAAACGATAGCAAACTTTGTGAAGTGTAAATGCAAACTTTCTATGAACTATTACGCGGATAGGTACGCAATCAGCTAAAATCAAAACATTGAAAAAGTTATAACTGACTTATAAGATACCAAGAACAAAAGATCTCTATCCTTGCAGATTTCTCTATTTAATCATGACCACCAATAGTTGCAAGGAAAACTCAATTGCAATTCGCACCCTCAACGTTTCGGAAGGTCAGCCTCTAAAGAGAAACAAATCATCCTCTGTCTTATCAAGGCAGAGATCTCTATGGATATGTATCTGTATAATAGCCCATGGAAGAAAAAGACAGGCGCATATTGATAAAAAAACGTTGTACATCGTCGTGTGCTTTAGTAAGAAGGTTTTGGTATCTCGTTTGAAGCACATAATACATTTGGGATTAAAAGTTTTTTAACACGGACAAAGCTTTTTCAGTTGATATCTTCAGACTTTCAACAACCAACAAACTCACTTTCTTGATAATCTTCCGCTTCTTCTGCCGCATCCATCAATGCGATATCATTGTCAATGTCGTCCTCATCTTTATTATCTGTCTCCATTTTGCCATTTTCGTCATCGAAACCATCCAGCGAGTCGCCAGATGACTCTTTGCGCAATCTCGACTTTATTTGCGGTCTACCTATGCTGCGCTTTTTGTTGTACGTAAGTGTTTTTGAATTTCTACAAGAGAAGAAAACGTAAGAGCAGTGCTTTCAGAAAGTCATGCTGATATCAGTGGCGGACACTTGGGGGGCGACCACCCCCCGATACTTTAAAGGACAATGGTCTTTTGTTCTAAAACAATGGGAAATGTGACGTCATCTTATTAAGACAATAGGCTTGCCCCCCTAATATTTGATCAAGTGTCCGCCCCTGGCTGATATCTAGTACTGAGCTGGTTTATCAGAACACAGCAGATTCTTCCAAGTTTGGTTACTATCTCAAATGCTTTCATAGCATCGCCCCTACGCACTGAACGTTATGTTTCTTTGTGGTAAAGCTGCTAAAGTTGAAGATAATACATCATGAGCGTCAGTAGTGTTTCTGGCTAAGATTGTGAGCCTGTGTAAAATGGTTGATTTATTAAAAATAAAAAGAATGTATGCAACAACAAAACAACAACCGTCATTGATGACGACAATGCAGACTCTGGAAAGGAAGCACACGAGAGCTGATTGTGTATACAAAGATGGCGTTTTTATGCCCCTAGAGAAAATGATTTCGCAGCTTCGAGCTGATTACTGCAGTAATAAATATTGACATCTGACAGAACAACTAGGCAGAAAATTGGAAAGCTCTCATTTTCATTCTCATACAACATGCTTCGTGTCCCATTTTAGTTACATTGGAAACAAAGATGAATCAGTGAAAATCTGCCTCAGCTGACAGAATTAAGAGTACCCTGAACTCTTCAAAATTTCAGGCTATGAATCGATAGACGCTACAAGCCCAAAAGGAAATATTAAGGCACTTCTATGTCCAAAGAAGGAGTTGAAAACTGACTGCAAAAGAAAATAAACTATAGGAATATAACCATAACTTTGCTTTGCAGAGTAAACTTGTTGTTTTATTTCTCTAATGTATAAAGTTTGTTATTCGTACCATATATAAATAGGCTGCCAATTTTTAACATTTGCATCCTTGTCTCTATCTGAGAGGCAGTAGTTGGGACTTAGCAACTTAAATTGTTATTTGAGCCTAGTGTGATTTGCTTCGACGTCAAAAGATTAAGTTTACCTCAATCGTTTACATTAAAAAAACATTGATAGATAATGGCCTTACCTATTAGCAAAAGGTTTAATTGATGGAAAATGAGATTCTTCCTTGGAATAGCTGGAAGTTTGATAATCTGCCATTTCTTCTTCTTCGTCATCTTCCTCCTCTTCATTTCCACTTCTTTCATCTTCCTCTTGTGCTTTTCTTCGAGCTAAATCACCGAGTCTTTCGGCTAAATTCATTCGTTTCATTGCTGTTGCATACTGAATGGCTAGACTCACGGTGTCAGCATTTGGCATAAGTTCACAAATCTCGACAGCTCGGAATATCCGATCAGATTTGCAAGAGAGCTAAAAGAGTTCAAAGATAAAAGAGTACAAACTTAATCAAAATTTGAAATAAAGAAGCCAAAACTTTGTATTTTGCATTCAATTTCTTCAGGGATTTTCCAAGCAGAAGTTAAAAGAAGAAGGACATATAATCTTAGTTAAACTCAAAGCAGGAAAGTGTTGACTAAGTTGACTTTCGGGAGATAAGGTATCTTTTTATTGGTATAATTGCATCTTCAAAAATACCCCAGCCTGCATTAATAACAGAAATGTTAATGGAAGACAATTAAGTAACAAAAAAAAAAGGATAAAAATAATTAAATATTTTTCATTTCTAAGAGCCTGTATAAGTGACACTATTTCATTTCATCAGTGTCTCGCTGCAAGCATTGTTCCGTGTGATCATAGCCTCATAGTATCCATTGGTACAGCTGCTTGGAAATCTGGTGTAAGATAAATCATAAACAAACTATAGCTAAGCTTTTTTAGCTTGATGTAATACAAATAGAAACAAAAACGTCCTAAAAGATAAATACCGCAAACAGTTTCATCAAAAGTTTTATCTCCTCGGTTTTGGCATCTGAAATGGCATCTTCGTCTACTTGCATTCGCTTTCGTCGGTAGTAATGGTGATGTTGACTCATAACTTTGCTACATAACAAACTTTGCTAAAAACAAAATAGTCATAATTGCCCATAGCTCTGAAGGGTAATAGGCGCTGGGGTTCATAAAGTAATAAAAAGAAGTGAATTACAAGAAGATTTCACTCCAGTCTCACCTTAAACATGCCGAATAAATCAAATAAATGGTAAAAAATATAAAGAAAACATCTAATATGTAATATTGCTAGGTTTTACATTTATCTTTTATTTTACAACTTATTGGCATTATTTGCCTCAATACAATTTGAGTGTAGCATTTGAAACGATCTCATTTGAAATCGGCGACAACATTGCACAAGAAAGGAAACTGGCCTCGTACAAACGCATCTGTCAACATTTCGTTGTTGTATCTTTTAGGTCAGGGATCTAAGCGAATTGTGACAAAAAATTGAGAAGCAGTCAAGTTAATAACAAATGGTCTGAGCTCTTGCTTGAGAAGAGGACATATACATACTTTACAACTGTCGATCAAAATCGAAATATGTTTCTAAACAAATGCGCATCAATACATAGATTTAAGTGGACGTAAAAGCCAAGAATAAAATGAGTAGCAAAAACAAACCAATAAATAAAAACAAATAAATAAAAAGAAAAAAGAGACAGATGAGCTTAAAACTATTTTAGGAAAAACTTCAAAAGCAAAAACAACTGAGAGCAAACACATCCAGTGTGAATCGTCATGTATTAGAGACGACGAAGCTGGAATAAAGTTTACTGGTAAGTGAAATCGACTCACTTCGAGTTGTCCCTTCTCTGTGTCTTTATCGCAGACTGGTATTTTAAATGGAACCGAGCATGGTACAGGTCTAGGGAGCATCAGGGGGAAGGTCGAATCTTTGCAAAATATTGCCCTTTTAGAAGGAAAAATAAATCATCAGACAAACAAATAAATATGGCAATGAAATTCAGACACTATTATATCTTAATAGTAAAATGCATTTTCCATTTCAAATGATTGCATTAAGCGTGAAACTCGGAGTAGCAACTTAGAACCATCCTGTTCTAGACATCAAGCGTGCCCAGCATTACCTATACGGCATCGAGAACTTAAAAAACAAATCGATTGACAGTAGTTCTTATATATTTAAAATATTGGATTTCTGCAATCGCTTCTTTTCCATTAGATCTCGTAGGGTCGCCAAAAATGTCTAAAACACCGTTTCAAAGATGTTTTGTTACTTTTGATCCACATTCTTTATTTACAGGCAAAGTTTTGCGAGTCAAAGTTACCTTAGATCATTTCAAGGTAATCAGAAACACTAACCTTGATTCGGCCGGATTTTCAGTTACTTCAATAATCCAGTAATTATCCGATTTAGCTTTTGTCTGTACGAGCAAATGAAAATTATTAGAATTAATTTGCATACAGCAAGGTAATTTGATTCATTGACATGTGCATGATATTAAAGTCAACAAAAGGTAAGGGCAGCTGGCTTTTGCTAGAGGGCGGGGGCAACAGCAGTCTTACAGTGAGTGAGATTTTCCGCCTTCTTGGAGTCAAAGTGCATCCGCACTCAAATTAGTCATCACTACGCATGCTCGTTAACCCAAACGTGGGGAAATTACGCAATCGTCAGGGGACTTTTGCTTGCTTATCTCTCTGACAAGCTTCAGAATACTTCACGTCTTTCAACAGATAGTTAATAAGTACTGCTTGTAGCAGAATAGATTAGGGGCAATCTCATATATAAAAAGAAAGCGTAACTGCCATCCGATAAGCTGCCTTTTAAACTGCAATCGTTATATTACTTGATGCACTTATGATATTAAAACATAGGCTAGATTACTACGTATTCTTCCAGGTGACAAAAGCTGCTGCTGTAGGAGCAATTTGTCTTTGTCAGTACAAAATGAATCTAGCAATTATGTCCCTCGTAAATTGGTAGAAACAGGGTAGAATTAGTTTTATTCTGGTTCAAGGCACCTACAAAACTGACCTTGCGATTGTAAAAATATCTACCGCTTAAGCACAACCATGTGCAAAGGTTTAAATAGCTTGGATTGTATTAGCGGACACCAGATAACTTTAATATCAGAATCAACTTAAACTTCATCAAAAGTTCACAAGAATGCGCTCTTTTGTTAAAGAAAAGGCAGGCAATCCACGCGAAAGTGAATTTTGTCAGCTGAACATTGTCGTCGTTTGAATGGGCAACAACAGAACTCTGCTCGGCAAATCAGTCCTAAATCATGATCTGATTTGTCAAAATACAATTACAAAACGAAACGTAACAAAATACGAAACAATTACTCGGTTTACCTGACTCTTCAAATTGATAACAGGAGCCCATGTGCATCCAAACGTTCTCTGGAACATTCTAACAATGCCACGTGAATCAACAGTGAATGGGGTTTCTTCAGATGAAAATCTGTAAAAAGATGTTTTACACAAATTTTCACCATCATAGGTTTTTTCTTCGCATGACGGTTTCAAGATTTCATGCAATAAATTCAGTTAAAATCTATAAAATGGAAGATGTACAGAAAAAGCATTTAAGACATGGAAAAACTAAATGTTGTTATGCTTGCAGGATTCAAATTTCATCTTCAAATTTCTTTGTCGAAATTCTTATCTTCGCCTATTTTTAGCCGATATCCCTCATTGCTCTTATTCAAATGAACGCGCAATTCCAGCTTAAAAAAGTAAACAATAATGGAAAATGTTTCTAAGGCATTGCAAGATGAGAAGTATGCATCTGCTACCAAATAAATTACGCCAGACGATGCAACATACCCAATCCAGATGAGATTCGATTTCTTGCTGATCGGCAGCTGTTGCTCCACAGATAGCTTCCAACTAGTTTTCCCGATTTCTAGAAGCTGCATGCCCAAACATTGGCAAGAAGGAAGTCCTTGAATTGAAATATCACAAAAAATAATTTAGTAAATTTCATTCAGGCAACAAGAAAACAAAATATCATTCGTCGTATTTTAATGAACCAATACTAATTCAATTCAATGGTGAAAGTTGACGGTTGAATTCAAAATCTCAAGAATCGTGTTAGTGTTTTAAGATTTTTGACAATAATATGCTGCTATGAGGTTCTTACAGCGCTCTTTTATTGAACGCATGCAAATAAACACACAGGCCAAGCATATCAACTAAAGCTATATTGCTTTCAGGAGGATGGGACAAAATAGGTGCGATATAATTACTTTATTCGTATAAGTAGAAGAAAAGTAAGAGTCATCTAACTACAAAGCATTCTTAACATGAAATGTGTCCACACCTTGAAATTAGGGTACATTGTAAACAATTTAATTTGCTTTATTACAAAAGGCCTCTCTTAATAACTTGTTTCGTTACCTGTTCCTTGGTGATAGACAATCATCATTTGAGTCTCAGAAAATGACATTGCGACAACTGGTCCAGGGATACTGAAAATGTGGTACTGCAGACCACCCACTGTAAACAAACGCACAAGCCTTGCATCTGTTGCAACTGCAATGAACTTGCTATTCACCGCAACACTCTAAGCGGAAACCAAGACAATTTTATTGGGAGTTCTTACTACTCAAAATCTGCATTTAAATTTTCTTCAAGGAAAAGTGTCATAACCAGGTCTTCTTGATAATTAACCAATTTTGATACTACGAATCCGGAAATGGCTTTGCAAAAAGCAAACATTTTACAACCTACTAAAAGCTTTTCGTTTGAAAAGTATAAAACGTTAGAATAAGGGTCCGAGAGAACAAGATGGGAAATATATACCCAGTTATGGATCGAAATAGGCCAATTAGAAAAATGCAAGCACATGACCGGCAAAGTTGTCCAATCAGCACCGCGTGCCTATGGAAATATTAGCACTGGATTCCAAGAGAGAAAACGAAGCCTTCTGTCTGTTACCGGTCATGTACATACAGTTATCATTATCATTATTATCTTTCATAACATCGTTGATTATCGATTATTTGTTTAACAAATCCAAAAAATTGGAAAACCTGATCACCTTGATTTCTTCTCCTTTTGGCATTGTCATACTCCATTCCTTTGTGGAATCCCAGGTTCCAAAATGAAGGCAAACAAATTTACTGTCAAAGTAATAGAAACAATGTATATAAATTCAGTCTTTGGACAGTATTTACAATTGTTTGAAAGGAAAAAGAGCTACCAAAGGCATTCGTAGAATTGCTTTTTTATTTACACTCACGTCTAAAATATTGAATAATAGTAAACAAAAATAAGTTTTTCTTTGAGTTTTCAAAGGACTCTGGTCCATACTTGTGCAAATATGCACTTGGTTTTTACGTTATTCAATTTGAAAACGACAATGAAGTTTATAATTCGCACACCTGTGCACATCATCTTGTGAGTCGCATGCTAAAACTGCCGCCGTCGTGGACAAGGCAGCCATGGAATGGTTCATCACGTTTGTAATATGCAACGGATGGTGAAGATTGGCGTCGTGAAACTCGATGTCTATTGTTGAGATATCGTCCTCAGAGTGTGAACGAATAATGCCAACAGAGTTCCAAACCTGGCAATAATAATTGTGGATGGTAAAAAAAGCCAAACAGCAAATCTCTCAGTTCCAAGGGTTTTCATGAGAAACATTTATGGCGTATACAACTTAGTTTATAGTCTCTCTTTGATGAAAGTCAATCATTTAAAGCTATTTAAACTATAAGCAGGTTGATGGATATTACTATAACTTTAAGTAAGGATTCCAAATACCTATAAATTTTAAGTATAAATTCACTCTAATGACATGCAAGTTGTGTGCCGATTGGTGCATCAATTCTTTAAAGCTTTCTAAGTAAAAGTTTTCTTTTACATCAAGTGACAAGAGTAGAAAGCTTGCTGATGCCAAACACAACACAAGGAAACCGTTGCCGTAATTTGAGTTGCATTGGGCTGAATCGAATGAAAATAAACTGTAAATATAAAATCAATTAAATCCAGTTCAAATTACAGTTTGAAATTGCTTTGGTCGATTCTAAATATGATTTCCTGAGCTGAATGTGACTAGCAAAATCGAAGTATCACTTATCAATACTGTTTGCATTCTAGTCAATCATAGCTGTTCATGTCGACATACCATGTAGCGATGCAGCAGATGCACGGGGGTTGATCCTGGTTGAAAAGCTTTCTGCAACGGCGTTTGAGGTGCAAGAGATTTTTTTGGCTGCAAAAGATAAGACCTCATGAGTAAATTGTTGGAAGGGTTGAGTGAGGCTGGTGTACCGAAAACATGCTCGATAGCGCAAAAAGGTGGACATATTTTCTGGATACATAAAACGGAAAGATTTTAAATGGAAATTTATCATATTATGGAGCTTTTGGTGGTGCCAAAATTTATACCCAAGCAAGCTTCGTTCTCGGTATATGATAGTGGACTTTGTCATTTTACTGAAGTTTCAAACAACAACGAATGTTGTCAGCAGAAAACTCGTATCACTACACTGGACGGTTTCTTATGATTTAGTTACAAACTGTACAATACGTTAGCAGAACCGAAGAAAGAAAACTGCGTAACTTAAACAATCTTTTTGAATACAAAAGGCCACAGAAACGAGAATCGTTGGAATTACCCGTTGCACAACTCTAATTTTCATACACCAAGGTTAGTTTACCTTTTCATCGACTATGAAATCTCGCAAAGAGGCTTCGTCGGCATCATCCAGAAAATGTTGGGGTTCTGCGGGTAGCAAACCCTCTTTGATAAGATCTGTAAGCAGAAAACAAGCTTAGAAAGGATCGGTTCTTAAATAGTAAAGAAGAAATGCAAAAATGTCTGCAAGATATTTTTCTCTTTCCTTTTCATTTCGAAAGCAAGACTGCATTTTTTATTATATGGCTGATAGAATAATTTAGTTGTTAATAATAGAAACTCTCTTTGCTCTAGTTTTCTTAAGTAAAAGCAGCAATCATTAAGGAAGTCATAAGTTGAAGTGAGCATACTAATTGAAACTTCTGGATCATCATCATCATCGTCTGCTTCGTCATCTAAGAAATTTTCAATGTTTGTGATTCGGTGCTTCTTGTGCACAGACCCGACAGGCTCTTCGTCGTCTTCATCACTATCATCAACTCTTCGTCTTCGTTTCTCAGATTTCCTACCCTCAATATCCCAGTCTTCAGACAGATCTTCATTACGAAACTCTTGATTCTGAAAATAAAATAGTTAAAAACTTGCTTTGGTGTGCATAGAACAGAACGATTCAAAGTCGCAACTCTGAGGTTGAGGCTTATAGTCGTCAACATGATGTGCAATGATCATTCTCAGAATCTACATTAGCAGTATGTTTATAGTGTTGACTGACACTAAGGTCTCTAACAACGCCGATAACATGACTCTGTATGCTTGCAACAAATAATTACAAAATGTAGTTGGTAGCTTACACAAGAAAATAAAATAAAATAATCAGAAAATAAACCAAAAATAATCAATTGTTTTCTCGACAATTAAATTAAATCAAATGATGCAAAATGCCATTTAAAGCCATCTAATGCCTCTAGCACTGATACCTATTTACATGGTAGCAACGCTCACATGAAGGAAAGTGCTGAGGGAAAATTGATGGGGGTAATTCTCGACGAAAACAGTATTTTCAAACGTCATGTCAGCATTATTTTTAAGAAGGCCAATCAGAAGATGCATACGCTAACGAGGATTTCAAAATACATGGAAACTGGAAAACAGGCTCCGTTCCATTTTGATAGAGTGTAAACGCGATGAAAAAGAGGTATCGTGCCCAAACAAGAACAGAACCAAGGAGTACCGTTCTTTTTTCTGTGAAATAAACGGGGTCTTACTGATGAAAACTTTCACTATGTCCCAGTTTAAATATAACCCCTAGTTTAGATGTTTCACGATAGGAACTTAATAGCAAAATAAAAGAAGATGAATTTAAGGGCACAGCGAATCGCATAAAGGGACTATGATTCTGATTTGAAACGTTGTTGGAAAGGTGCAAATCAGTGACAGTTCATCAACGCAACCCACAGTTGCTTATGGTCGAAATTTATAAGACGAAAGAAAAACTAAACCCTGAATATATGAAGGTCAAATTTGTAAACAATGTGTTTTACAGCCTAAGAAGCGGCAATGATATTTTGCAACCAAATGTAAGGACCACATGCTTTGGTACTGGAACCACACCGTTTTTTGGACATACACATTGGCAGCTGTTGCCAAAACTGTAAAAACTGTATAGCGGTTTTGAAAAACCGAATAAAATCAGGGGAAGGGCAGAAATGCAACGATAAGTTTTGTCGAATCTTTGTTCCAAATCAAGATTTTAAAATGTAAATAATATTTTTAGATCGAAAATTCATTTTCTTCAAATTTAATTTGGTTAGTAGACCTTCATAAGTTTTAAAATTTGCTATTTTATACTAGCCTATTTAAATAAAGAACTAAAAATTATAAAAATAAAAATGATCAAGCAACTCTCGCCTCTGCGATCGAACTCTGTATGACAGACCGGTAAACAGTAATTCTCGTTGGATAAAGAGTAATTATTCAGCGGGACGTCTGTCATTTAGGCATGCATCAAAAAGCGCCTAAAGGGCTTTGGCCTTACAACCTAAAGGCAGTTTGGTGCAAATGAGATGTGCCAAAGAAAGCAAATGTTTGCATCCACTATCAAACGTCTGGATTCAAAGTTGTCATAAAGTAAACATTATCATGTTATCACTGAATTATTGTATCCAAAAACACAAACCTGGATGTCAGCAGGTACTGCATCTTTACAAATACCAAATTGGCCCTTGAATGACAACATATATTAGTTCATAAAAACACCTATACCTACCTCAAACAATGAAAAATATAATAAGTTTTCGAGATGTTTGAATAAAACTGCAGTAAATTGGATTGGCAAAGATAACGCTCTTTGGGATCATTTCTCTGGAACCTACTTATCATTTCACTCCAAAATGGTGAAAAACAAGAAAGATATATTTCAAATGAGGATAGAAACTATTTCATGGATAATAAAAACAGGTTAAAAGAAAGCAAAGCCTAAATTGGAAAAAAGCCACGATACTCAGGCACAGTGTAGTGATGGCTAGTAGCTATAAGCATTATATCTTTCGCCCTTGCTAACAGGTAAGCTTATAAACAAGTTGCTAACTGACACAAATAAACTTTAAAATGTCATAAGAGGAAGGGAAAACATACTTCAAAGCTTGGTTGAAGGAAGCATAATTCAAAGTTCGGTTGAAGCAGGAGGGAAAATAAATGTGTTTGGTTGAGTACAACTTTTTTTATTGTCAATGCTATTCAGACAAAAACACATACTTCAAAATCAGCAATAAGCAGCTCGTTGCATTTTTTCGGATGCCAATCGATGGAGCTGATTTTGTGGCCGTTTTCGTGCTTCAGCCTAAGAACAATTGACCAAAACCACATTGAAATCAAATAAATCATTCAACCAACATCAACGTGCACAACATGAAAGGCACAAACAGAAAATAAAAAATACAGCAAAGCATTTTCAGTAAACATAAAAAAATTAATTATGAAATTAAGCATTCTTAACTAGAGACTACTGTAGTTATTATGAATGATACCAAAGAATTTTCAGCAAACTATTTAATAACAAAGTGTCTTTTGTGAAAATGAGCATCTAGATCAGTTACAAAAAGCAATCATTGACAATGTTAACGAAACAGAACCAGAACTCACAACTGGAGCTCCTTCCGTTTGGACAAATCCCAGATGACCATTTCTCCATTCACACTTGAACTTGCGAGAGTTGGACCACAGGGTGAGCAACTGACAATTGAGACTACCTGGAAAATTAATTGGTAAGCATGAGTTTATGACTCTTCTTATTCGATAGGAGAAAAGTCTTTATATTCTGTATGCCTCTATTCTACACTACGGCCAGAGTAACCCTTGAAGTGCAAAATTTTTAATCAAAAGGTCAACAAGTTCCAAAATATTACAAGGTTTAAAGTTTTGTACAGAGGTTGAATCTTTGGAAGTGACAAATACTAGTTTTCAGGAGTACGTGTAATGCTTACAAATTTCAGTTCTAACCTTTAACAAGGTTGTCTTATTTGTAGTTTGAAAACGCGATGCCCTTTTTATAATATTGCGATTTTATAGCATCTACCAAACTGCCTTATTCTAAGACACTACTACGCTTAAATACTGGCTAGAAGGGGAAGCTTTCCTACCAAACTGAGTTGGGAAACCAGTCACTGATGGGCAATTCTATTCTTGCCCCACAAACTAGAACTTCATGGCTGAGTTATCAGATAAAACACATCTGCTTCATAATTGATCGATGCCAGTTCCTTGATATTTTCTATGAAGTGAAACAACGCAAGAAATAAAAAATTACTCACTTCTGTATGACTGCCTTCCATGAAACATAGCTCTCTCCAATCTTCAGCAGAAATTAGCTGAAAATAATAAAGCTGACATTAAATGCAGGTGAAACCCCAGGTTTAAAAGTAAAATGCTACTCTTTTAGCAGAAGAATCGTTCGGCAGACGAAGGTAAGGAATAGTAAGACTGTGATCTAAATACAGCCGTATGAGGCAGCGTATTTTCTCTTTAAAAGTTGGGCTTCTGTAGACAAACAATTGCCAAGTCTTTAATAGAGGCAGTGTAACTCACCTTGACTCCTTTTCCACTGGGCACTGCAATAACCTGAGGTAGAAAATTTATTTTGAAAATTCTTGAAACCTTAAAGAATTTAACGAAGGGGTATTTCACTTTAATGGTTTACTGGAAAGACTTATAATGTCCAAGACTTCCAAAGCCTTCTAGTTTCAGCTAACCTTTTTAGTATACAAATGTTCAATGGTCTTACTTCTATAAACTATCAAAGAAAAATAATGAAAGCTGATCAAAGAGAAACGTTGAAAATAGTTGAATAACTTCGTTGTTTTGAAGCAAGCAAATGAAGTTGAAATTGTGCTCACTTCAGCAGAACCAAGGCATTACGAAACACACAAGCAAAACTTACAAAATTGCCAAAAGAACTAAATGAAATGTTAGCAAAATAGTTTTGATTTTATTATGTCATTTATAAGGTACCTGTGGATCACTATTGCACCAAGCTATTTTGCATAAAATCTTTGAGGAACTAAAGATGAAAAAAATAACATACATATTATTAAACTGTAGACATTCCTGTCCACTCATAAACAGAAAAGAATGAAAGTATTTATTTAATTTAAGGCTTGGTAGGAAATTAATAGAAATAACTTTCATTACATTATTGACTAGGAAGTTGTCAAAAAAGCTTTAAAAAGACCTTTAAAAGCTAGAATGACATTACCAGATTTGCACTCTCCTAGTGAAACTAGTTCAGCAAAATTAATCCTGTAAAACTCAACAATTTATGAAATTCTCGACACACATTAGGTGAGATGCTTCATTGGTGGGACAAGATAAGTTAGTTGAAAACAACAATTCATGTATAAGCAATTATTACAAAATTTTAACAAAAATCAAAACCTTTCCTCTGACATAGCCCTGAGGAAAAAAATTAGCCCAATTCTATTCAACACAAGCTTCATTTGTACAGTTCTGAACACTTTGGTTCAAGAAATTTGGTTGGGAAGAAATGCTGTGTTGCCTTTGTAAAACTTTGAGAAAGTTGAAATGGCTACCTGGAAACTAACAAGTTTTGGTGAAAGAAAACCAAACCCATGTTTCTGATGGTCTTAGTCTGCGTTTGACACTTTGGTTCAATGGGTTTGAAAAAATGCTAAGAACAGTCCAATAAATGGTGAAACAGGCGTAATTGAATGGGGGTGATTCAAGTTCAAAAGGGCTAGGCAAAAATTTCTATAATCACCTTATATCATTGCATTTGGGCAAGATGTTCAGTGTTTTCAAGCACTCCTGAAATTTCAAAAAAAGTATCTGGTATGAAATTGACAAAGTAAAATCAATCTCTTTATTATTATCAAACAAGATTTGTACACTGCTTCAGCACTGGTATGCTTTGTAAGCATATCTCACTTGTACTGCATCAAGATGATTCAAAACATGGTAAATTACACAATAAAGAAATGAAAAAACTCAGAAATGAAGTTTCCCAAAGTTGAAATCAATTCTGAAATTTTTCAAATTTAGTATTGCCGAAGGGGCACTTTCAATTTTCTTTATCTAATTAAAAGCATCAAAGTAGTTCAAGTTTCATTGTTTTGAAGGATTTCTAGCTCTTTCTTAAGCCATATAAATTTTTAATTTGCACATACAACAGTTGGAAGATGGAGACAGAATTCCAAATTTAAAATATTTTGAAATAAAATTTGAACAATTTTCTCTACAGAAACACAACTGTTTTCAAAAGCACTTCCAAAAGATGAAAGCTTGCCCTTCATCAGGAAAACATAGCAATGTTTCTCTATTAAATTACCAGGGGCAGATTCTTGTATCTGTCTCCAAAGTCTGAATTTTCCAAAAATTTCAGGTTTCACTTGTATTCCAGTAATACTACATGGTAAATTATAATAAATATGTTTGATTATTAACAAAATGATAATACCTGGGTATCTACATTCCATATCTTCAATGCCCCATCACAACTTGATGATGCCTTGTAAACATAAAATTCCAACTTTCAAAAATAAGCAAGAAGATATAAATTTACAATTCATTTGTAGTTTAATGCATTGTATGGGCAGCTGAGCAGACAACTTTACAACTGCCCCCAACCACTATGTTTTTTCAAACTAATTATCTGAAAGTCACTTTTCTACCATTAGCTTGTCCTGAAAAAAACCAAGTCATTACAAAGTAATTAAACTGTATAAACCCACAAATAAGAATCAAGACAGTTCTGTATTTGTTTATATGTAGTCCCTAATGATAATCTAATGGCCTGACAAAGTGCCAGTAAACCTCGTTTTTCAAAAGATACCCAATAAACAAAAAGCTAATAGGACCTGAAAAATTGAGGTCTTTCTTTCTAGGTCATTAGTTTCACTTTTAAAATGATTCCAGTTCTTCAGAGGCACAAACAACTAGTGTGTTACATGGAACACATTGAATGTATGCTGTATTGAACGACCAAAGATGTATCTAGATATTTTCGTTCCAATCAATTTTTTTGTTTAATAAAGTACTATCAGACCAAGCCAAATGAACTAGAGGGCAAGGCAAAGATAGTATCAGACACAGCAGGGCTGCAGAAAGCTATTGTGCTCAAGGGGCTGCTCAGGTCCAAGATTGCCAACAAAGTGGGTGAGCCATCCATTATTTGCTGACCAGTCTGAGACTGTGCCAATAACATGGCACCAAGTTTTCCAAGGGGGGGGGGTGTCATACCACCATAGTGAGACAGAAAAAGTTCATGTGATACTATTGAAATACTATGGAAAGTGCATACCTACAAAAAATGTTTTTTTGTGACTTTTGCAAATGGAAATAACTTTAAACACAATAATTGTTCATGTCTGTCCAATCTTGAAATTTTGCAGTATACAAGTCTATCATGAGTCATATATAACAACCGTTATGACCAAAGCATTTTCAAACTTTGGTTTGCTTTTTATAATATCATTTTCCAAAACCAAACCTCCTTAATATGGTATACCAGTTTTCTGGCTAATTTCCATGAACAAATTTCACCCTAAGGTTCCAGATTCCATGATACCAAATTTATTATATATTGGATAAATTATTCCCAACATCATGCTAAACGAAGGGCATCTCGGAGGGACTCTGGGTCAAGTCATCCTCCAAAAATTGGGAGAATCAATTGTGTAACTTGTTTAGTCCAATGAGAATATGTTGGGGAAGGGGTAAGAGTATTTTCTGATCATAAAATTGGTATGCCCTAAAAAAATTTATTTTCTCTCCCTACAATTTGTCAGCTGTTGCTACCAGAGTGTTATTTTCTTCAAGACTTCTTGTGACCGTAAACTTTTTGTAAATTTTCTGTGAAATTAGTTTCGATTTTGTGATTCAAAAACCTCAATAATGCGATAAAATCATATTGTTGAAGACAAAAGGAGTCACATGGGTAAAAAATTTGCAAAAATACACCTGTGATAAGGGAGGTTGGTTCTTTCTTTATAGCCTGCATTTAAAAAATACCTCAAACACTAATAATGGTATGGGGTCGTAATGACATATCGGTAATGACATAATTTGTTACTTTTTGCAACGAAAGCTGATTCCCTTTAGCTCCCTCAGCACAGTATTACTTTTCGAAACATAGTTTTGATCTTTTTCAGTGCAATGAGGTGATTTCTTCTGAGCATTTAGATTCCTTCCAACCTGCTTAACTTGTTAAGTCTATAAAACTTTTATATTATTCATCTATGGTTGAGAAATTTCCTGTGAGAAAAATGTTCTAACTGATTTCCTGTAACCAATGGTCACACGGTCACGGGGAAAATAACGCCCTGGTTGCTACTGACCATACTAGAATCTCACTTACCCTTAAAAACTTTATGTTAGTACTAAAATATCAAGCAACTCAAAACGACCCACACCAGCCTAAATCCATCTGAACTGGCCGGAATCCACCAGCACAAAGTCTGATCCCATCCCTATAATTATTTTTTCCAATCAGCTGTTATTGTCATGCATTCTGTGCAGAAAGTTATAAATTGAATCAAAGCATTGATATGTGGTGGAAGAACCTTCTTTGAAACAAACACATTAAAATCTACCAGCAGTGTTTTTGTCTCATGAGAGTATATTATCATTCTCTTTGGTAAAGCTCCCGACCATTGCATACTTTTTGAGTTGACCCCCCTCCTCCACCCATACACCCACTAAAGCATAGAGGGTTGGCTTAATTATTTAATCAATTGGGCATAAACTGGCAAGCAAATGTAGAGCACAACAACACCATGATTAGACCACCACATGCAACCTTTAATAACATGTTTTTGTTTCTACCTAGCATCTGAAGGTAGTTTTTAGGACACTGTGAAGCTTATGCTTATCGAGCAGTGTGCTGGTCCTTCCTCTCGATGTGACCACACCTTGTGATTCCTATGCCTTATATTACAGATAGCTGGCGTCTCTCTTCACTCTGGGTGAAAGGTTTGTCATGCCAGGGACTCGAACCTCTGACTCTTGGGTCTGTAGTCAGCGCCTTTAACTACTGAGCCATCCTTGCATCAAACACCCCTAGTCTTCAAATATAAGGACTGCTGGGCTTAGGTTGATGTAAGATGATGGTGGGCCTATTTTGTGACATAAGCATTCTTTACTCTGTATGTGACTTTTGGCCTTGTACAGGTCATGGGACATGAGTCATATAGTCATGGAGTTGACCCCATGATTCTCATGGTACCTTAGTCTAATAGGTATTTCCATATAGAGTACACCTATATATATATATTTTATATACTGGCTCTAATACCTCAGTCATATGAGGCATTAATGCCTACACAAGCAACTAATTTCCTTCCCACCAACCCTTGTCCTGTTTTGCTCCTTTTTTGGCATTATACTCTGTGGATTATTACTCTTACTAAAAAGGTGACTTTGATTTCTATATTTTTCTATACTTCTAAAGTTTTATTTAGTTAGCTTGTTGTATCAGCTAGACATCTGCAATTATTCAATTGTTATTCCTTGATGGGTATTCAACTTAAGCTCAAATGCTACCTATTCTTGTGTCAGTCCTTATATTTAGGTTGTCCTTGTGACTATTTCTTGATGATAGTCAATAAAAAAGTGGTCAGGTATTTGTATCTGGAAATAATTACGTCTTGAGTGTGCAAATGAACAATGCCCCCGTTCTTTGGCTCCAGCTTTAGAGCATTTCTTTATACTGTTTCTTGGTAAAATTGGGTAAACAAAAATGTGAGACAGATAAAGCAGTCATTTATTCATATACAATAAAGAGTGAAACAACATACCAACAACTTGTCATTGGGACTAAATACCACACAAAGAATAGGACCTTCATGACCAGACATTTGTTTGTGTGAACCATCTTCCTGGTTGATAACTTTGACGGCAAAGTCGCTACAAATAACACAAACATAACATCAGTTACTGGCAGTGCATTTTCTGTCAAATTAGCTATTTATAGCATTCCATATGTTTTGAACAAATGGAAGGGTAACCAAAAGTGTAACATGGCGTCTTTGACCAGGCCTTTAGTTTGAGGCACATGTTTGCATGCCTGCGTCTTGGCACGTGCCCAGATGAGACAAGGTGCACTTTTTGTCATGCTCTTGCTTCTAAAAAAAGTGGCATTTTAGTGCACCTCGTCCATTCGCATTTAGGATTACTTTTTATCAGAAACGTTTTCTTGTTGCTCTGGGAATAATTTTCAAAGTACAGCATTCATCATGCAGGGAAGCACATTTCATGATATGCATGGTAAACGATCGAAAACTGTTTCGGTCGTGTGTGATAAAAAAACCATTTTGAATCTTTGTTACCACTGTTATGGCAATGATAAGAACCACTGTTACCATTACAGGAAGTAATTTTTAGTTGTTTTCTGGGTGTCCATAACACTTGAAAGTCAAGAGTTACATAATTCTTTGGTACCACAAAGCTTAAAAACGCTACGGAAATGTACTGATATTACCGCTTTTCCATGTGAAAAAATATTGTTTGGAGGCATGTGATCAGCCAACTATAATCTTTAAAGAGAGGCCTGCTTGACCAAGGGCAAAAAACAAACATTCTGATTAGGAGGGGCACAAAAAAATAGAGACAGACCCCAGCAAAGCAACTGACAGGGTAACATGTTAGAAGATTATTTGGGGCACTTTTCCTTATGGCCAGATGCTATACTCCAGACAACAAAGCTGATTAAAATCAAATTATGCTTGAAAAGCAAAAACAGTTTCAAAAACTTGAAATTAGCTGGAAGAAATAAAAAAGCTTGTTTATATAGAGTTGTTGTTGTTTCAGATTATTTCAGTCTGATTTGATTGTAACTAGTCATAGATTAAGTAAATCCCTATAAATTTGAAACTGAAAACTGAAATTTGAAACATGTTAGAAAAGAACCTCTTACCTTGCTCCAGCCACAAGACAATTCTGATGATGAGAATAACTTATTGAATTAACTTGAGCAGTAAATCGTAACAGAATGTCCTGCTGTGTCCCCTAGTTAATCAAAAAAATCACATAAGCTGTGAAATAATTCTGAAATTTTATCCCCTTCCCCAACAAAGAGCTATGTCAGAAAACTAGCCGAATTCCAACATGCAATCATGCCACGAAAATGGGTGCTTCTCAAGATTTGTCGCACAGATTATATAAGTGACCATTTTTCAAATATCTTTGGAATAAAATATATCAAAAAGCAACACTAATTATTTTAAAAATAACTTTATTTGCAAGACAAGTAATGATAAACTGATAAAAAATAAATTTTATTGATTGAGTTTTGATTGGATAGAGTTTCATCGACAGAAGCTGTCCTAACAAGGAGAAATTCATACAAACCACATGCATTATTTATCTTCTATAACAGGTAAAAAATATCAATTTTTCTCAACAGCCTGTAATCATATTTCTATCAAATTCATCTGAATTTAAATTTACCTACCTCTGGGAACAAAAATGTTCTTACATCATTGGTCTCAGTAGCTACTGCTATCTCAGAGCCCTGTCATAAATATGGAGAAAATAATTGAATAACATGATTACCAAAATCAAACTTAATTTTGAACAATAGAATATATGTAATTCATATAAAAAGCAAAGAATACAAGGAACTTACCTTAACAGCAATGGCAGTAACACAATTTCCGACTCGAAAGGAAACAGCATCATCATCATCAATACTCTTATACACTCGGACATCACCATCAATACCAGATGTTAGCATATACCTTGGTGGAAGCAAACATGTGATCACAAATAGGAAAAAAGTATTTTGCAAAGAATTTGCAAATTTAAACTTTGAGTTACACTCTTCTTCTTTTGAGCATTCTTTAACTTGTTTGAAATGAACATTTGAAATGCAGCCTATGTTCATTAATTACGTCAAAAAGTTGGGGAGGACAACAAAGACAATTAAGAGCCAGCTTTCCTATGTACTAAATTCTAACTATTAACAACTTAATCGCCATCTTTATTGGAATACAAAATATTTTCTTGAAATTGACCACTGCAGGAACCTGGGAAAGAAATGACAATAAATTGGACATGTGCTGGTGGAACTCTCAAGGCTTCTATACCATTTTTGAATGCTGAAACAGAATTAACCTAGTGGATTAAAGAGAGTGGTTAGAAATTGCTTCTGTTAGATATCAATCCCATACCAAATATGTCTGCACAGTATAAATTTCCAAGAATAAAACAAGTCAAAACGGCTGTGAAATATACTACGTAGAAATCTGTTAGAATTTTTCCTTGTTTACTTTGATATCATTTCTCTAGCAAATACTACAGTATTAGAAGGGGAACTTAGTTGCATACCATACTCTCACTAATGAGAGACGGGGGTGTTCATTCCATTTTTGCCTCAGGAAGGGGACACTAATTAAAAAAGATGATGGACGCCTTCGAATCATTAAGGTATTTCCAAAGCAAAATAAATCAAAGACCAAATAATTGAACCAATCAAACAGAAAATGCTCTATAGGAAAGATTAAATAAAAATACCAATCGGATGGAATAACAATACTTTTAGAAGGGTTGCTCCCTCCCCGGTTTGTTTATCTAGTTAGCGAGAGAGCTAGGCCGATTTTATGTTTTGATATTTTGTAGAATTATTGTACACTTTATTTTAATTGTGTATGTCGAGTGGAGTTTTGAAATAACTACCTGAAATAATTAAAAATAAAACTAGTTGGCAACTTTAAGTAAAACTGTTGTTGTTACACTTGATCAAATAAAATTGTTGACCTTGATGATATCTGCTGCAATGGCAAATAATACTGCTTTGCAAAGATAGAAACGGTTTTACAATTACTTACTCCCCAGTTGAATTATAGCTAGCAAACGTTAGGCCATCGGCATGGGAATATCTGAAGTCTTTCAACATCGCCATGGTTTTGTAATTTCAAATGATCTCGATCAAACATCTGAACTTCAACTCCCTACCATTTTATTTCGCGCCAAATCTGATGCTCCTTCGCAGTCAACACATAAAAATTCTACTTACATCGAGTGATAAATTGACAGTTACAAGCAGTGGCGCAGATAGAGGGGGGTTAGGGGGCCAAAAACCCAACTATAAAGCTAAATCAAATGCTCACCAGTATGGTACACGGCATGCCATAAAAATGACATTTTATAATACGCCAAAATACATTTCAATCTAGTATCATATCTGTGTGTTTCTTTGGTCCTAAATATTTGGAACAATATTCAAGAAGACATAAAAGATCGTTGTCTGTTGTCAGTTTTTATCAAAAGTTAAAAACCTTTTATTCACCAAGAACTATCAAATTTAATTCTGATGCGAAATTTATTGTTCAGTCACTCATGTAAATGATCAATTACATTTAAAACGACCTTAGAAAAGGGGGTGCTCTCTCCTCGGTTAGCTCATCTACTGAGAGAGCTCCTCCTAAAGAAACTCACCTGCAAACAACATCTTACGTGACTGCTATATATTGTCTGTTATTATAAGTATTTTGTGTTATGTGTGAAAATTGTATGTAATTAGTTGTAATGTAATTGTAGTAAGATATTGTATGTAGAGGAATTTTAAAATATAAAAAATGAACTGGATTGAACTTTGTTTAAATGTATGAAAAAATTAAAATGTTTGATAGATCTTTGTCTGAACATCGCAGCTTTTCGCCCCTCCTGTGAAATTTCCTATCAACGCCACTGTCAGCTGTTGCTATCTAGCTCCAAGTGATCTAGCGCTATTCAACTTGCAAAAAATTGATACAACAATACCAATTGATAAAAGTAAGATTGTAAGGTAATATAGACGTTAAAAAAGATAAAGATAGTTGAAATGAGATAAAGAATAAAGAAGTAATTAACGAACATTTCAAAAAATGAAACGATGCTTTAGCTATGCAGAATAATGCATATAACATCAAATAATTCAATAAATTTCACGGTACAATATTATAATATGGTAGCTTTGCCACCCATCAAGTGCTTCTGGCGTCCACAGGTTTTTATTAAATCATTTACGTTAAATGTTTATTTTTGTTTAACAGGCTGCATTGCCACGTGTGATGTAGCGAGACTCGTTTTTAAAAGAGGGAAAGAAACAAAGGAGAAGATTTTAGGCCGAAGTTCATTTTTATTCCTATTAACCACTCCATATTCAATTTCTTCTTCAGTTGTTTGATGTTGTGCTTAAAACTGCATAAAAGTGTTTACCTCTGACGTAAAAGCTGTAAGCGATCGAATGGCTTGTAAAGGGCAATATTAGCAACGTGTGATTCAGGAACTCATACTTAATTTTGAATCGCAACCAAACCAAGTACAAGTGAATACTGTCTCCCTTTTTTCATTATATTTTCTCTTTCATTTTACTTTGCTTAAAAACATGTTTATCTCTTGTTCTTACGTTGAATAGCTTGCTTGTCAGTCATACTGATTATTTCAGTAGAAACTGCACGCGTACCAAGGGCGAAACTACATGGAGGTGTACTGCAGGACAGAACCCTTGCGTCACTTAAAACCATTTTAGGTGCTACGGAAAGATTCGACCATTCTTTGATTACTGGATATCCAAACCGATGCTCTACCAGTAGTGATTTATCGGGACAAAGGTATGCACTCTGTGAGCAAAAGATCTCGGAAGCGGCCATAAATTAATGCAGTTAGTTTCATGAGCTTCTAAAGGTCAATACTGATGGTCTACATAGATAATTAAAGTGGCAGTACTGCAGAGAGTTCCTTATTATCAGGAGGATTTATGGAAATATGGTTTTAAAGTCCACAGTGCTTGTAAACTTTGACAGGGGAAGTCTTCACACGACATTGTCACTTTCAAGCAACACTCAGTTCTGCAGAGCGAAAGTCTTTTACATCCCCCAATGAAAATGAGGAAGTTACCATCATTAACTTGCCTATAACAGAACTTCATGATGACGAATTAGAAAACCAAGAAAATAATATTATATAATTATGGTCTTGTTAGGGAGCACCTTCGTCGCACCGAGGCTTATATATAAAATTTTATCTTCAACCTCTAGTGACAGGCAGACCTCATTAATCTGCGCGAGCGGCGCTCGCAGGCACAAAAGCTCATTCTCAAGAATTTCTGCAGGCACATTTCTAAATTTATTGTTATTTACCTTTGTTGTATTAGAGTCATGCTTTTTCAAACATTTTTCTTGGTATTGAAACTGACCGGTCAAATAGAATATAAAAGGTAGTAGTTGCAAGTCTTTATTACCAAAATGACAGAAGATCCTTACTCTAAAGGTGCCATTTGATTCTCAAAGTCAAGTTTGTCTCTTTTCCTCTATTATCTCTTGGTGGAAGAGATCATTTGCAATTATCGTTGTATCATTTTTTACAGAGTATCATGTTATGACTTGTTAATCTCATTCGTGCATAGTAGGCTGAAGAAAGGACACTTCCTTTAAGTTAAAGTCTTTAAGCTTATGAATCTGGTAGCTATCGATTTCTGAAATTTCATGCTGCACCTCCAAATAATTCATCAAAAACAAAAATTTTCGACAATTTGTGACAACCAAACAAGCCTCTATTTCTTCAATTTTTGGAGTAAAAGCATTTTCATATTAAAATAATCAAATCTTACAAGCATGATAAACTCAAAGCTAAAAAACGGAGTATCCTTATAAGATACTTTTTATAATAAGACATTTTAACGAAAGTAATTGGGAATAGAATCTTTCTTCGAAATAAGAAAAAACCAGTGTAATGTCGAAATTCTTGCAACCTTTGCCAAGGATGCAAAAGCAAAATCCTAAAATTCACAGACCTTAAAAGAAGAAACAAAACTGCTCCATTTAAAGTAAAGCGTTTAAGATATTGAAAAGCCTTTGATGAAATCGTGAAGATGTCTCTATTTGATGAAATTGAATCGATAACAGCAATAGGGCTACTTGACAGCCCAAAACAACCCATAGATAAAAACTGGATCATTCCCTTTCTTATGTACACAATATAACGTTAGTAGCATTTATTATGTTATATGTTCAGTTTTACGTGTAGTTAGATGTAGTTCATGATGATATTGATATGGTATCTGCTTTTGACAAAGGCAAGTTGGTGTAACAGAATTTAGCATAACATAGGTTCTCGATTTATCAGTATCTGACTATAAACTGCACCCTACTTTACTTGGAGGCACAATTTTACTCGGCTTTGCGCTCGCAGGCGCAAAATATTCTTAACGAGCCCTGGTGACAGGCCTAAATGTCTTCCCCGAATTTCTTTTCACTAAAATCCCTTGCTTAAAACGTCCATGCCTGCTTGCTATGAAACTATAATGAATCTTTTCTGGCGTTGTTTTTTTCAAGCTCTCCAAAGCAAATGTGAATATACATTAATGCCGAGGCATGAATAAATCAATATTTTGACTAGCATATCCAAATGTCCACACAACCGAATTCAAAAGGTTAGAACAAAGTATTTCATTACAGATAGAGTATTTGCATATTTTCTTACTTCAGTTTTATGCCGTTTAAAAATACATTATAATATACCATTTTCCAATAACATCATTATATACAACATTTGCATTAATTTGAAAAATCTCACTTGAAGTAAATCCTGTTTCCTTTTATTATCTTTGACTCAAAAATTGCAAGATAACTTTTAAAAACGTACGTGGAAACTAAAATTGTCGAGGATTCAATTTTGATTTTGAAAAGTCATGCACAGGTTCAATAAATTACATCGTGCAAAACCTCTTTTGCAGAAAGCATATGGGTTTCTTGGTGGACGGAATTATGAAGGAACGATTTTGTTGCTTAACATCACTAGCATATATACAAATACGTATAAAACCACGGTGAATTTCTAGAAGCTTTTCACAGCAAATTAATTTCCTTCATTATTTGCTTTTTCTAGCCGACTGAAATGTTGCGATGAAGCAGTCGTTGAACTTCTCCATCTGGAATTGAACTTCCCCACCTGGAATTGGACACAATCTTCTTTAAGCTTTATTCTATGTTGATTCAAAGCACTGCGGCAAACACAAATCTTTTGACTGTTCATTGTCCAAGAACTGGAAGGGCTTGTTGCTGAAACAGGTGCCCTGCCACGCAGCATTCGGAGCAGATCACAGTTCTTCATTTCTGTCTTATTTTTTGCACACGAAACGTTTGCATTGACAGCCCTGTACGACTTGGATTTTTCTATGACGCACCTTTTTCACTGGATCTGACGGACACTTGAAAAATACCTTTTTAGTTGTAATCTTCTTCGGCATACATGCTGTGCAGTAGGCAAAACCAGGATAATACTTTGATATGCATTTCCCGCCACAGAATTTATTGACAACACGCACTGGTTTGCAACCTGGTCTTTTGATTGTCTCTGTGTAGTTGTATGTTTGACATTCACCCTTGAGCATATCTAAGATCTGCAAGGCCACGTGACTCATGCTGTTTTTCGCATCTTGCTGATACGGCAGGCACATCAGCTGGTGGATCAAGCTCAGCATTGCAATGCAAGCAATAAACGCTTTCATTTTAGACATCTAGAAACAAACGAAACAACATATAAACCAATAAATTTGAACATAGCTTATATTATCTTCATTAGCAGCAAGGTAATGGATCGTTTTTGTACTTTTGGTGTAAGTTGGCCAGAATGGTGCTGGCACCTCCTGGACGCTAGTCCGTACCCTAGTCCTAAATTTATGCATGGTCTCGTAAGAAAGACCACATGCTGAGAGGTAAGTCCCGCCTAAAATTCAAATGCGGCTTTTACCCCTGGCCTCTCCCAACTTATGAAAACTATTGGTTTTGTTTGAATTGAGAAGGAAAAATTCTAAACTTCAGTGATAAAAACAAGCAACCGAAATTCCACGGCCCAATTTACCTCCTTTTATGATAGAGACATGAGTAACATAGAGTTTATAAGTATAGAAAACAAGCTAAACAAGCAAATGTAAGCTAGGCTACTCACCAAGATTTGTTTTAGTCAAAGCAAGCAAGAAAAAGACTTTAAGTTGCAAATTGCAATG